GAGGAGCTCTTATGCCGCCGCACGCGATCACGTATTAACGTTGATTGAGCATCAAGCTCACGTATATTGCTCGGTGTACGAGCCTCCCAGAGAGCCTCTGGCAGAGCAGCTGGAGTAGGTGTACGCAGCAGCTGCACGTCAAGTTTTGATAGCACGGCATCTGGCTGGAGAGGCACAAGGCCGGCGCCTCGAAAGGCTGAGCAGATATTGGCTGAGGTGAATGATTGATTGAACGCTGCCTTGAACGCTGGCAGAAACTCAAGCTTGGTGATATGGTTGATATGGTGGCAGATCAGGCTCTCAACCTCATGGCTATACGCGCGCTTCAACAGCGAGAAGCAGCCAACGTCAAGAGGCTGTAGTAGGTAGGATGAGTGAGGCGGCATACAGAGCGTATAGATATTGTTCTCCTTGCAGAGCTCTTGGAAGTTAAGAGAGTGGTGGCTCTCGTGGCCATCAAGAATAAGCAGGCGATGTGCTCCTACTACACAAGCCTTTGTGTGAGCGTTGAAGTGCTTTAGCCACTTAACTCCTAGCTTATTATTTGTCCAGCTGTTGTCACTAACTGCAATCACCTAGTTGCGTGGGATATTCTCCTCGTACTAGGCAGAGAGGTGGTACTTGCTAGCAAAGATGAGGAATGGTGGGACTGACCAGCCAGCTGCGTTGATTGCAGCGATCAACGTCACCCACTCACGATTGCCTGGCTGGATAGCCTTTGGCCTGCCTCTCCTCTCTGACCCTGTCACGACGAGCTAAGTCGTGATCTTGCCTATTATAAAGCTAGCCTTATTAAAGTTGTAGACGTCATCATCGCAGATACTGTACTTAGCCTTTGTCTCCTCTATAAGCTCAAACCAGCTTCTGATTAGAGCTAGATCCTCACACAGGGCTCCCTGTCTATCGTACGCTCGATTGAAACGCGTCGTGAGACTGTCTGTACGCTTGACAAAGTTTCGTGGCCAGTGGACGCCAACCTGACCTGCACCGCGCGCAGCCAGCAGCTTATCAGCCATATCACGTACAGCTGCGTACGTAGGCGCAAAACCACGTTGATCCAGATTGAGTATATAGCTGATAATCACCTCCTCTTCACGCAGAGTAAGCTTCTTTGAGTTGGGCTCGCAATCGCGTCGGGCAGGCTTGCCAGCGCGTCGGCGGCGGATTGTTCGTTCAGGTACGCTATAGATAACAGCAGCACTGCGATTGCTCTGTATCTGGTAAGAATTAATAGATAATATAGCAAGCTGAACGTCTGCTTCATTTGAAGCTGATAGAGCAGCGCTGCGTTGGGCCATTGTACGTTGAGATGAGAGAGGTGCACAAGTTTGGTGGGGTGCGGCGCTCGCTTGTACGCGGCGCTCGCTTGTAAAACACGTTATATGACTTTCCCTGGTAGCTCTTATATTACAGCTGCTGATTCTAAAAGACAGTAAAAAAAGGGGGAGTACCTAGCGAGCATGCCTATCCTAGGTAGACTTTTGCCAGGTAGGCTCAATAACTCAGTTAATGCTAGGCCGAATTAGGTAATTTTTTAAAAGAAAGCGCAATACTAGGCTCATCTATCGAAATATACATTACATAAGCGTATCTCTACTATTTAAGGAGCTAGAAGCAAAAACAAAAAAAGCCCACCCTACCCATCCGCCAGCCTAAGTGTAAGCGTCGCGTCTTGTTTAATTGCCTAGAGGGCAAGCTGTATTGCAGCTTATTTTAAGGGCTTAGATTTGTGTTGTTGAAGCATTGGGTTGTAAGGTAGAATATTGGTGTGATCTTGGCAGAGTGATCGGCTCGCCCGTGTGATCGGCTCGCCCGTGAGGTACGTTAACACTTTATTATAGGTTTGTTAATGCCCTTAAGCCCTAGATAGAGCCGTTAAAGCTCAGTAGTTAATGCATGTGTGCTTAACTCATACTTTATCATCGCGTTGAAACTGTGCATACACATCTAGTGCGTGCCTGCCCATTCGCGATACCAATCCAGACATTCGGCGTTTGCGACACTTGCGGATGTCTTGACGTTGAGACCACAAAGAATCTGCTTCACTGCACCCTCGACCCTGTTCACTATTAGCCAACCTTCTTGTTCTGAATGTCAGAGGACCTACTTCTTTCCATTCGTCGTCACAGGGATCTCTGGACACTCGTCCACGAGAGCCGGAACATGCCTTGCACTCAGCGAGTTCCTGATAGCAGTCTTGATCTTCAGCACCAATTCGTCCGAGATGCTGTGGCCTTCCGCCATCTTCAAGAACAGGACTACTGTTTCATCGGAATCGGTTTCTCTTCGTCGTCCAATGCACAGGGCATCCGAAACTTCTTCAGCAAAGACCTCTAACATAATGTTGTAGATCTCCGCTGAGCCGAAACGCACACCAGCTGGCTTCAAGATACCGTCACTTCGGCCCAGCATCCAAATTCCTCCTGTCCTTGGATTGAAGCGTACAAAATCGCCATGATGCCAGATCGGGTCGCCTTTCTTATTAGTGAACTTGTCGAAGTACGAGCTTTGATACTTCTTGGCGCCCTCGCCACCCCAGAAGGCGACAGGTTGGCAGACGAAGGGCTTTGTGCATACAAGGTCTCCTGGCTCGCCAGTAGACGAGATATCCTCGCCCTTGTAGTCGAAAGCTGCGATGGCCATGCCGAGACCAGCTGCCTGGATCTCGCCCTCGTAAACGGGTATCAGGGGATTGGGCGCGCCAAAGAGAGAGATGATGTCAGTGCCGCCAGTAATACTGCCAAGGTTTATAGTGGAAGGGAACGCGGAGTAGACATAGGAAAAGGTCGAAGGTGCCAGTGGAGAGCCTGTTGAGTAAATGGCTTCCAATCTGCTCAACGCCAGACCAGCAGCTTTTGGATCAACTGACTTCTGCTCTAGGATCGAGAGGTACTTCGCAGAAGTCCCGAAATGCGAGATTTCATACTCTTCTATCAAGCGGTGCATGGCGAGGTCATCGGGGACGGATGTTGAAGGGTTACTGCTATCAACGTAGCGGAAGGGTGATCCATCGTAGAGCACCAGTGTAGCTCCGGAGGCCAAACCAGACACGAGCCAGTGCCACATCATCCACGTACACGTTGTGAAATAGAACAGACGTGAAGAGGGGGTGATGGAGGAGTGGATGATGTGCTCCTTCTTGTGCTGGAGAAGTGTACCAATGGCTCCGTGGACGATGCACTTTGGTGCGCCAGTTGTGCCACTGGAGTAAAGGATGTAGACTGGGTGGTCAGGACTTAGCTGCTCGAAAGTCAACTCAGGATTCTTTGACAGGCTCGCAAAGTCTGCATAGAGGTAGGCTTTGCCTAGAGACATTTCGATGGAGCTTGGATCAATGTTGACCGAGGATACAGTGGGAAAAATAACAACAGCCTGGAGAGAAGGCAGACCAGCTGCAATCTCCTGAGTCTTGGGTAAGACTGGATGGCTTCGGCCATTGTAGAAAGCAGCGTTGTCTGCAAATAATATCACCGGGTCGATCTGTCGCAACCGCTCCAAAACGGCGTGTACGCCAGTGTCTGGGCTAACCGCTGTCCAGATACCACCGAGAGAGGTGGCAGCAAGCATGGCGACGAGCGCATCGGTATGATTTGCGACGTAGCCTGCGACCCTGTCACCTCTCTGTAGGCCAAGAGCCTTCATGCCAGCCTGACATTGTCTGACCCTCTCCCTAAGCTCCTGCCACGTTACGGTCTCGCGCGTTGTTTCGGTCACAGCTATGATGGCGGGCGAGTTCGAATTGACTTCTTGGGTTGGAAATAGGAGATTTTCGGCGAAGTTCAGCGTTGCGCCCTCGAAGAATGCTGGCCGAGGGAACATAGGCGCATTCGGACCTACCGCCTAGTACGGATCAGCTTAACAATGTGCGCGTTGGTAAGTTGCTGTCTGACCCTTGTTGCTTTCCCTTGAGCTCTCACGCCCACGAACTTCCAAACCTCCTGCCAGAAATCATTGATGTTATCGACGCTCCATTGGTGAAGTTCCTGATATGTTGACAATTGCAGTCCATGACTACTGTTCACTTTCTGAAGGAAACGGTACATCGCGGTGCTCTCGGGCGCGGAATGCTCCCATAGAAGTCGTGCGCCCAATGACGTACCATTGGTCCCGTTTGTGCCCTTCATTGTGTACGACGAAGAAGGAAAATCAAACTATTGTACAATTGGCGGTCTAAAGAGCGTGCGCGTTGTGATAAGAAAGAGCCACGGCTATCCCAGGAATTTGTTGCCGCTCAGTTCCGCCCCCACCTTTTCCGGCCACGCGATGGAACCTACTTTTTAGTGCGAAAACCGGACCCACTTCTGATTCGTCTCAACTTCATCGTCAACACGCACAGACTCCAGTCTTCGGCTATACAACTCGCAGCAACAACTTTTCTGTGTCTCCTCCTCCTTCTCGTGATCCATGGGATAGTCTTCGCCTCGCTGCATTGAATGTCTGGCGCGCCGTGCCATCACGTCTGTAGTCCTCCATTCATCAAAACGCCTGTCCAATGTGCACCTTTCGCACTGACAACCGCACCTTTCGGTTACCGAGAGCTTTCAACCTTGTACAGGGACACCCTTGGTGCATTCGATCCGGTTCTGCGACCCCCTCGCCTGCACGACCTATCTACAACGAGGACTGAGCTTCTATAATGCAGCATTTGGCTTCTAAATCCAGCGATCCAAGCCAGTGACCCCTTTGCAGATGCGGAGTCTAGGCGTCTTTGACAGCATGACAAACATATCTTTTCAACAGCGTACTAGTCCACCGCATAAGTCTACGTTCGAATTTCTGCATGCTCAAATCATCTATCAAGCTTCCGAGTTCTGAAATGAGACAGGAATTCGCTGGTTGAGCCATGGCTTCCCCGAGTCCAGCCTAACTTCACGAAAGCATGAGTTGATAATCCAAGAGCCTTGAATTGATTCAATTACCTTCATCATACTTGACCTCGTTCAACGATCAGGGGCCAAAGCGGTGAAAGACAAAAGTGATGCCGCTCTCCCAGCTACGGTAAGCTGTCACTCACCGCTACCTCGACACTTGAATTAAGAACGCATGCATATCCGCGAGATCCATACGTCGCATAGCACGAGCAGCCACGTGGAAGCCAGGACCTGGAACAAGGGCGGCATCGCAGTCTTGCTCGAGCACACGTCAATGTGCTACTTATGCTCATCACCATAGGTAGGGGAACAAGAGGCACTGACCTTTTGCATGAGCGGCCACCATTGTGTACAAACTTCCAAATTGTCTACATCCTACGGCCCTCACCGCTGATTACGCTTCCTCTTTGCCTTGTCTGTGATCGCATTTGGGTAAAGCAGGATAGATCCAGACGAGGAACGGCTGGAACGCAACTGTGTGGAACCACGTCTGCTCGCGAGTACACGTCCACTTCTGTACTGGTCAGCTATGCGGTCGTTATATTTTCAATGTTGATGCTGGAGCCCAATATTCAATGCATGGCGGGTACGCCATGCATTGACTGAACGGCGGCAGGAGAGCCGAAAGCATCGAATGCCTTGCCACGCTGGAAGTGCGCTGCTGCTATCGAACATCAAGGGTGGTCAGCACGGCCCGCGGACATGGATGTACATGCTGTGGGAATGTAAGTCACTTCAAGGTGCTGGTGGTGGCAAACTCGAGCCTTGGGGTAATGGCCAGCGAATTAAGGTCAGCAGATGACTGACTGATGCCGCACAGCCACTAGAGGGTTTGAGCTTTCACAAGTCTTACACGTGAAGTCATGACAACCGCCAGTCCCTCCCTCTTAGAGGATTCAGACTCTGTGTACTTGCGACATCGTTCTTACAAGCGACCGGCTCAAGTCACCTTAGCCAGGTATTCATTGCTCTTCAGTTTTGTCGTTCATTTGTTGCTAATCTCACACAAGAGAATAATCTTTGCATGATCGCCTTGCTAGCATGGTCGCATTACTTCCCGCCGCTATTCTCAGTTTAGCAGGCTATTCACGCCCCACCTCCAATGTGTCGCCCATGACTTTGTTTGCAGATTGTATATGGAGCGAGCTCCCTTGTGGGATCCTCAAACACCCACCAGCTGGTATAGCTTCTCGCGGCGGGTATAATTGTGCGCAGACCTCAACGCAATAGCCGGGTGCCTTGGCTTTAGAGCTTGATACTATCATGGAAGAATGTGGTATTGACGTCGACAACTCCACGAGTCCGTCATCACTCGGAATATTTCTCTCTCACAACGAGTCTATGGGTTGTCAGCATCTCCTGACTATTGCATTTCAGCTTACATACCTCCACGACTGTTGGCAGCGTTGCCCATCGTTCCCAGAGCCCAACCAACACCGAAGTGACCACTGCCGTGGATGTTGAGCTGGTCGGAACTTGGCACATTCTCGATGGCGCGCGCGAAACTCGTGTAATCCTCCTGCGCCAGCACGTTACCAACGAGCGCAGGGTCGGCCCAGGTATTCATGACGCGAGGAATGAAGTCCCTTCGCAGACAATCTTTCGTGGGGAAGTTGAGCATGAAATCTGCCGGTACGAATGGTCCGTTTTTCACACGGCCTTCCCAAGTGTCACCAGAAAGGTTGTACGGGTTTGTCCCAGAAGTCGGGGTAGTGTAATGGCAATTGCCGCCGAAACAGGTTTCGGGATCGAAAATGGCTGAATCGAAGACTTTTGTGAAGTTCGGTGTCTGAGGCTCTGTATCTTGCGAATAATCCCAGTATCTGCACTGCACATTAATCTTACTATCAAGATAGTGTTGCGGGGGGCTTGTTGACTCACGGCTGACCTTCAGCACAGCCACTCTTCACGCAAAGCCTTCTCGTATGTCGCGACGAAGTATCGATGCCAAAGAACGAAGTAGCCCACCCAAAGGGTGTCCAAAGTCTAATTGTTGTGGACTGCTTCATGGTCGTCGAAGCGGTTGACAGCGTTTTCAATGCTTGAGATGGCCTTCTTCTTTGTTAGACACAGGATGGCGTCGATGTACGACTTCTTCTGCTGCTTCGATAGCTGCCGCCTGCAATGCTTATTTCAATAAACCATCAAGTTCTTTTCGGTCAGTCGTTCACATACCATTCGAGCCGTTAAGGCGGATTTCTACACGCACCTGACGTGTTAGTCGACGGGACAGCCGCAGCGCTCGACACTACTGCGAGACAGCAAGCAAGAGACAGCAAACTTATAATATGCACGTTTTTGGCACGTTTCGATGATACCCCGGAGCCAATTGCGCGCTTCAAAGTTTTGTGATAGAAGCGGATCTGCTTTATGTGCAGTCGCGGCTGGCGGTGCTGGCAGCCTACCGAGTGCGGAACATTACTGTCGAAGGTTTAAACTTGCCTTTCTGGGCACAAATCTCCAATTCTGGAAACATGTGCGGAGATTTTGCAGTAGCTAGATGTCTTGTGCAATTAATACCAGTGTCGGTGCCCACTTGCTAAACCCAATGCTGCCAACGGGCGGATGCTATCAGGATTGTAAGTCATTCGTCATGACAGCACCCAGACTAAGCGCCAGGAACGATATCCTAGGCGCTCTCCGCCCCCAGACCAAGACTGGTCCTGGTTTTGACACTTGCAGAGGTCATGGTGGTGCTGGCACCGCGTTGTCCATACGAGGAGGGGACTTTTCCTCTGATCACTAATCGCAGATTCACGTTGTTCTGTCCACTCACGGTTGCATTTCATGGTCATTTGCAAACCACATGTTAATACGGTGCACGATAGAAGCGAAAAAGTGAGACGACAGTGGGGATCTCACAAAGACCATAGATGCAAGGGTAGGCAAAGTATGAGATGCTTGAAAATACCCTTGATTATATGGTGGCAACATTATGTTGACATTACAGCAACCTTCAGACGTCCCCTCCTTTCGGTTGAGCAGTGCCTTCCTCCCCTGCTGTACAGTTAGACAATGCGACTGTGGCCACCATCTTGTCCTGACATATCTCTCCAACCCAACATCGACATAGGTTGTGCTACACTCAGGTCCCAGGGAAAGCCGCTGCAACTGCTTGTCCGCCTCCTCGGATAGCTTGTCCACGACGTTGCTGTCCTTGTCAACGACTACCCTCAGCATGGTGTTCGAGAAGCCGTTCACGATTGTGAAGATAACAAAACCAACCATTTATTCGCCTGAATGTATGGCGGCCCAGTTCTTTGTCACGAGAGAGATGTCGTTGGGATTGATGTGCTTACTATGGGCGCTGTAGTTGCGGCGGATGAGAAAAGCCACATTCTCTATGCACGTGTTAGCTTGAAACTCGGAAGATGGTTCTGGATGTATCGCAAATAATCAGGGCCTTACACTTGTCGTCACTAGGTGGAAGACCGTGGTGGTCTTGGTGATCCTCCTTCATCTCGCGGACCGGGGCGAAGAGGCCGTAGATGCGCTGCTCGAGGCTTTCGGTAGAGTGGCCTGGAAGACCTTGAGAGCCAAATGGTCCTGTTTCGGAGGTCATCATCTGCATCGACAGTGTAATGGGTGCTGTAGGTGTCGAACGTCCTCTAGGAGCTAGCATACTAGGCTGATCACTGGGCGGGAGAGAAGTAGCGTGGATAATCTGTGCATGCGAGACAACGTAAATGGACAGAATGGTACTAAAAGTAAGGAAATAAGGAAGGTGATCGAAAATAGGATGCGTTTGTGCTTGGTTTGTGGGTCACGCCGGCTCTCCTTCACCTCATATGACTTTCCCGTCTGCTGTGTGCGAAGTCCTTCATGGGCGAATCTTGCAGTTGGAATGGCAATTTACTTATAAATTAACATTTTTTGTAAAGTCTGGTTTTCTTTGGATACTGTACAATCGGCTTTGCCTATAGGCTTTGCTGAGATCAGTTCCTTCGGGTTTGTAACAATGCAGGCGGCCTCAATGATATTTTGCATTGCTTTCACATTAATGAGACGCGACTTAATTAGAGGCAGCGAGCTCTGAACTAAACCGCGAAAAGCGTCAAGTATCAACGAGTCTTGGACATGATTCTGGAAGTCGATAAGGCACGGAAGAACGCACTCTTCCGTACAATGCCTTCGTGTGCATCCAACTACAGAGTGTCTGTGCAATCATTGTTCCGTATCGCGTTCGCTTTAACTTCGAGGCAAGATGAGGGGTCCATGTCTTCTCATTACGCAAAGCGACCAAAAGCCCTTCTTGGGTACAGGTAGAGAACTATGAGACCACCTGAAACACTTTATTCTAATTGCCCTTCTCCTGAGCAATACTATGCCCCGAAGCCATCAATGCTTGGTATACATAATTTGCTCGCAAGCGTGTGACAACCGTACTGAGGGAAATGGTCACTATCTACTGGCGTTCCTCGCTTTTAGCTCATTGTTGGATACAGGCAGGAGGGGTAGAAGCTGTGGCCAATATCATGCAAAGACTTGTGCGCCGCAAATCTTGTCCATGTCTCAACATCGATTTGAATCAAATGTTTTGCGACACCAAAGCAATTTCACTGTGTTTATGCCCATGAGTGAGATACCAGATTTTCAATCTTCTGAGTAGGTGCGGGTGACAGTGAACACATGAGTTAATGTTGGTAGCATCTGCACTGTGCATTACCTTTCACTGTCCCTCATGTCGCCTTTCACACATAATGATAAGCTTGTTTCAGAATCGCATTCTTTAAGCCAGATTCTCCCTTCTCACACACCACGACTATGACTGAATTTTACCATGTTTTACCGACTTTTGACCGCCTTGCGTGGTCGCAGGCTTCAAGCGTACCAAGTCTCGCAATGGCGTCGGGTCAATATGTCAAACCCGATCACAGAGGACCGCCATGCCATCCAACAGGCTTGTAATTGCCTATTCAAGGCCATGGAAAATGCCATCGATTTCTTCCACCCACGAGACGCCGGCGCCTTCTTCTCGGTCGTACAGAAATGTGTCGAGTTATTAGTTGTCTGGATTGGCTTCGAGCTGGATGAACTAGGGGTCGGCGAATTCAATGTCTTCAGTAGACGACTCAAAGACTATATTCGATTGCGCTTCCCCAATGCATCCATTTGTACCCCCGCTTTAAGAGAGCTAATAACGCTGGTTAAAAACACATTGCATCGGGCGCAGGATCGAAATCCAGAATATGCGACTGTCATGGCGCAGGTGAGCCAGCGAGACTGGACGGAAGAGCATGGCAACAGACTGTTTCTCGTGCACTTGGAGATTGTAAATGGTATCAACCACGCGCTCTTCCAAGGGTTGCTTCCAAATCTGCGCTCAGATTATTCATTCGTCGAGATGGTCACGTTCACTCGCGGTCATCGACGAGAGAGCTGGAATCTGGATGATGACTTCCCAATGCTGCGGGATGATCTCGTCGAGCTTGAGGTCGACGAGACGGAAAGAGAATACGGAGTGATCGGTGAGCGGATAGAACTCTCAGCGTTCTGCGGGCCTGTCACGTCGCTTCCTCGTGGCATGGAGTGCTCGATCTGTGTTACCGAGTTCGATGGCAAGGAAGTTGAAGGCGATCTACCAGTTTCGACGAAGTGCAGGCATTTCTTCCATGGAGATTGCTTAGACAAATGGGTCAATGAGTCGGCGATGAAGTCGTCTAACACGTGTCCCACGTGCCGCACAGTGCTGTGCAAGCCACGCAAGCGTGTTCACGAATCTCTGGAGCCCATGCCTGGAGTTGATGATGAAGATGACACATCATCCGTCACCAACAGCTCGGCCATTGCGTCGGTCATCGCTGTGCCGTTGTGGCCACGCTTGCAACGACTCAACGCTCGCATTGCGAACCATCTAAGCCGGCGTAATGCGCGTTCAGCGGATGAGGAATGGTCGGACACAGATGACTCGAGCATGTCTTCAAGCGATTCTGTCGAGGCTGTGGTGCCCCAACGGGTGCAGAGATGATTCGCGAAGAGCTTTCTGATCGAAAACGTATCGTCAATGTGTGATCCTCCGTATGTCAAGGCTGGCGAGGCCTTTGGACGAGCAATACTTATGTATTATGTACGCATTTCTTCAGATATTCCAATCATGAAACAGTTCTTACTTGCCATTCAATCAGGTTCTTTCAATTCGTACAGCCATGCCTGACCATCTTGAGGACCTACCAACCCTGAGCGTACAAGCAGATCAGTGTTAGATGCTCATTCATTCTGTGAGCCCTATTCGGTCTGCAAGTCCGAGATGTGAAAGGGTCGGTTCGAATATGCGCTCTCGTTGGCCTCCATCCACCACTCGCTGATGGTATCCGCGAATCGTGACGAAATCGTAAATATTTGGCGGGCGAGTAGTATACGGTAGTGAGCTTGGCGGTGGAGTCCGTCAGCTCAGTTGGTCAATCTCGATATGTCTTGCAACTCGTGGTATTGCACGCTGAAGAAGAACTGAATGTGACGCGGTCTCTGGCTCCGTATTCTAAGACCAGATTCTTCTCCATTGCGCCAATTCCGACCACGGCCACTTCCCCGGCGAGGACACATCGGTCGGTCACCCTCGGAACTGCCACGTTGTGAAGACCTGCCAAGCCTAGTCCGGTCTTTCTTTGCGATTTGGTTCACAGAATTCACTCTCCTTCTCTCGTACTCCATCGTGACTCCGAGGCGCCAGATCGGCTCTTGACGATAGGGCACGACAGGACCTTGATGATGAAGCCGCAGTAGATCCCCACAAGGGTTGAATCCTTCATGACACTCTAAAGCATCATCATCTCTCGGCGTCACACCATCTTCTCCATGTCCAGGTCCACAAATCTTGTGCTTGGGCAGTGTTTCCCATCCCATACTACATCCTGATGCAAATGCTTCCTTTTCCTCTGAAGCGCCTATTAGAACTGCCGCAAGCCATCTGCGAGCCTCTCCCGCAGAGCCGCACCACCACACATCCCAAGTGAGCAAGGCTATCCAGCTTCAGCCTTCCTCTTCGGCCTCAGCGCCTTTGAGACCCGTAATAGTATGCCGCTCTTCATGCCTGACCACACGCTTCTACCCGACTCCAGGTTCACATCTTCGTTTCCAGACCCCGGTCCTGGTGCACATCACCTGCATAAGCGTTAGTACCTTGCTCTTGTTCTCTTCGGACTGTGCACCCTTGTTTCCGTGTGTCATAGCGTCGACGCGCTCCAGGCCCTCACGAAGGACAGCAAACACGTGAAAGCATCAAGTAAATGCGCACGTTGTGCTTCGGCCTACTTCCCGAAGTGAAGCTTGTGCGCAATGTGCTGGCGTGTCAGGTAGAGCTGTGGGTCTGTTAGGCCCCGCAGTGCGTTCGAGATCTCTTCTAGTGACGGGTATGCACGGACATGGCTGAGCATGAGTAGCCCTTGCCGAATTTGTGAGTGTCGTGACTCGTGAGCTGGGGAGAAAATCCTAAGTCGTTGAGATGTGGCTTGGCAGCCGTTTGCGGCATGGCGGGTCGCTGGATCCGATCAGTGTAGTTGTGGCGCTATTTAATGATGTGAGTGAATTTTCGCAGCGGTGAGTGCGGATGTGCCTCGATGCAGGGTGTGGTGGCGTGAGCTTGCGTCAATGTTGTCAAAATTATGTGGGGAGCGAGTGTGGTGGCTCTGATCTAAAGAATACACGAGTGGCATGTGAAGCAGGCATTGTGAGGATGGATTTGCAGCTCTGCTGTTGTGCATTACTATGTAGTGTATTGTTCGACAAACTTTTGTAAAAATGTAGAACGCCTGTGGTAAACCATACAGAGGAGCTCGTGTAGGCTCAACTCAACCACTTCCCAGAACGCCTCGCTGTCTGCGTAAACAAGAGTAGTGTAAAAGCCCACGTGGGCACGCAAATGGGTATATCCTGCACAGTCCACCAGAAACTCAAAACTGAATAGCCAATCGACGTGAGAAGGAGACTCGTAAAGCGTTTTGATATCGCCGAAATCGACGGTACTAATGTCAAAACGATGCAGGGTTTGCTATTCAGCTCTCGAGACTGAAGGATGCCGAGCGAGAAGTGGTAGCGCTGTCAGATGCGGGGAACTGAATCTCAACGTCGTCCATGTAAGTGGGTGGGCTAGCGGGAACATCCTCGTAGACGGGTGGCTGCTCCTCGTCCCAAGCGATACCCATGCCCGAACGCTCAGTAAGAACAAGGTGGAACTGGGTACGGAGCACGCGAGCAGCACCAGTGGGGGTGGCCTGGCTGAGCTTCTTAAGCGGAGCCCACTCTTCAGCGACAACCATCTCGATGACGAGGTTGTGCTTGACGCTCATGCCGCTCTGGCTATCCATGTCGCAGAGCGGCTTCAGAGAAACATTGCAAGCAGCATTGAACTCGACGTCAATCTCGCCGCGCTCAAAGTCTGTCTTCCAGCCAGTCTTGACTTCCTCAGTTGCAATAGCACGGACATCTTCGTGAAGGACGCCCTTACCCTCGCCTCCGACTTTAGCGACGTGCTTCGAGCAGGCCGGGGCAATGAACTTCTGGGTTTCCTCAATGCGCCAGTTAAGCTTCCTGAGCCTCCAGCGGGTCTGCGAATCAGCCTTGTTCTGGACGATGCCTGATAGGCGCATAGCGATAGGGAAGTCACCAATCGGGTGAATGACCGGGGGCAGCGTAACCGAAGCAGTCAGGTTTGTCGGTGGGAAGATGCGAATGGAGTGCTTCTCGTTTCCGGGGAAAATGGCACGCCTAACGTCGACAGCACGCCTGTAGGTGATCTTGTCACCCCCTGAAGTGGTCGCTAATGCAGACAGGTAGTAATCGAGGGTCGCGAGACTACCATGGGTGGTAGCTGGCAGGTGACCAGGGAGGAGGTGGCTGAAGGGGTAGCTGTGTTGGCCACTGCGCAGAGAAGTGGGGTGTGTCAAGAAGTCCCATGCGTGAATCTCGGTAGACTGGTTGGAGCAGTCGCCGCAATGCTGAGCGACTGGTTTCTTAGTTGTGACGATCGCGAGGAGCTTCATCTCGAACTTGTCCACGGTGATGTGGGGCTCATGCACGTTGAGCAGGAGCTGGCCAGTGAAAATGGCGCCCGCTGACGTCTGTGGGGTGTTGTAAAACACCACTGGTGGCGACTCCACGCTCATGTTCATGGATGCAGCCACATGTGGCTCCAGCTTTGGGCTGGTCTTTGGAGTGCCCTTAGGCGTACCCTTTGGGGTGCTCTTCTTGTTGCCATCGTGGCTGTGGTGACGCACGAAGGGAAGGCGAGCCATGATGAGGTTTTCCTGCGACTTGTTCCTCTCCTCGACTGGTGGTGCGTACGAGTAGCATGGAGGGAACAATGGCTGGGGAGGAGTGGGCTTGTGCTGGTCGAGCTTGGGCAACGGCGACGGCGCTACCCTTGCAAGAGACTGCAGCAAGCGGCCTGGCATGGCTTGAATGAAAACTCTGGGGTGCAGCTGAGTGCTAGGCTGCGCGGCAGAAAGGTAAGTGACTGTCCAATGATGGTGCGGCTTGGGTCCGGAGAAGCGAATGCAGCGAGGTCTACTGTGGCGCTATGCTTCAAGAGTTGATTTTGTGCGAGTTGAGTTGGTGAGTCAGGTGTTGCGGCAGAAACATGTTCTGGGGAAGGGTCAATCTCAAAGAGCAGCAGTCACCTGGGGAAGCCGAGTCCTTATAAAGAAGTGCTCAGGACTATTTTGACTTTTTACCTGAGAGAAATTCCATGACTGGGTGCCTCAAGCGCCTTGCGCATGATGCCATTGCGAACGAAGATCCAAGCTCTCGCGTGAAGCCACTAGTCCAGACGCAGCAGGGCCACCCCTGCGCCTTCTGCAATTTTTGGGTCAGGAGGCAGGCGCGCACAGGCTGCCGCTTCTCTCGTGATCGCCCGCTGAAGCGACGCGCGCTGTTGTGCTCGCGTTGAGTTTGGACGCCAAATTGCGAGCGACCGGGCCTCAGTTGCGTACGCGCCGGGTGCAAGAGGCTGGCTGCACTGTGAAACGAGCCGACCGCTTGCTCAGCAGCCCGCTCAACAAACAGCGCAGCATCACGCAATGACTGCTTCAAGCAATGGCGCGCTACTCAATTTGCTTGCGCCCGGCCAACACTCGCTGTTCGCCGACGGCTGCGTGTCCTTCAGCATGCCCACATCAACGACGCATCAAGCTAACCATGTGTCTCCACCGAGAGCCATCTCATCTGGGGTACTCAGCTTCCAGAATCACGGCACGATCAGCTGCCGCCTGGAACCATTCTTGGGTTTACCTCCGTCTGCGGTTGACGCAGCAGTTGACTTCCTTCAACACGGCACCCCGCAAATTGGCGCTGTGATGCTGCTCAATCTGGGTGAATGTTGGACATCTCCGTGGAGGTCGCGGTTCGGAGTAGCTTCCCCTCATACTTCAAGGGTGCTTCGTCACCACTGAGCGACCGCCTGACTTGCTCTCGCAGCCTCTGGTGACCCCTTGCACGCCCTGTGCGCTCGACTGACATTGCTAATTGTGCAGCACCGTCAACACGCAATCATACGCCATCGCGATTTGATGCCAAGGCCCCGGCGTTATGTAATGCTCAAATTTTCTTGCAGGGTGCGTGAGCCAAAGAAACCATCGAGTCGCGCCCGTGGCATGAGACTGCTCCACCTGCTCCAAGGCTCGAGCAATTTCTTTACACATTTTGGCACCCTTGCCCGGTGCCCTGTTTGTTGGACCAACTTTGGTGTCAGAGCAGGCCGGGAACCCACACGACGAGTCTCTAGAATACGCTGCAACCATCGCCGCCTTACTCGATCGTGCAACAAAGACAACGCCGATGCCACTACTCCGAGTATTCCGGAGTACCTCAGTGTCCCGTCGGGCACCTCCGAAAGGGCGTTTGGGTCCGAAGCGGTTCGTCTCAGGATCGGGAGTCTCAACGACACTAGATTACAGCACCAAGCTGATTTTCTCACCATACTTCGCTTATTGCCGGTGCCATCAATCGGACAGCCGCAGGTCCACGTCCCAATTAGGAAACTCGTCTGCAATCTCATTCGTCGAGTGAGTAAACTATGGGAATCTCGAGCCCTCGCCATGTGCTTACCATCCCCCAACCAAGATCGTGTTCGCAGCCGCAATCCCCGTTGGGCAATTGCAACTGCTCATATCCAATCTGCTTTACTCGACATGCCACGCTGTTCTTCAGAGTCATCGTGTTAAGACTTTGCATGCTCTGGCGCCACTACCTCGTACCGTGAAGTGTCACGCCAACGTCTGCTCTACGCACAAGCCAAGATGTCACCGCTTCTCAGGCTCTTTGTTCTCTCGTGGCTGCTTGCTGTACGGCATGGCTTCCGGTAAGCTTTGTCGTCGTTAGCGTTCCCGCTGACCTGCTTGCCCTGCATGGCGGCTGTCGTTCAAAATTCGGTTTCAATTGTCCCTATGCGGGCCGAATTGATGCATTCTTTCTGTCACGCGGTAATGGTCGTCCGACGTCACTTCGTGAGACTCGGTAACTTGACTCACGATATCCTCGGTGCGAGGCGATCATTCCAAGTCTCAGTGCCACGGCGAAGGTTCCCCGTGTTCGCCGGCACTCGTACAAGTCTTCCAGACTCCTCGTCACCCACGATGGGCCCATATGAAAGCTCCAGGCCTGTTGTGCTTGGAGAATGCATCGAATAAAGCCTCTACGCTGGCAGAACAAGTTGAACCCTAGCTGCTGACTGTGTGTCATGCATCCATTCTAGGTAATGTCTGATTTTGTCTGCAGTCGCACTGTCAACCGAAGCACTCGACGCGAAGCTTTACCCGCAACTGCTTGCTTCTTGACACGCAGTCTTGTTACGATTGGGTCGCTCCACCACCACAACAACAAGAACGTACATTCTACTCAGCAGCGCGAGAGCCGTCAGTAACCCCACGGGCGAGTAGAGCGTCTATACATGACATGTAGACCACGCAAAGGCTGAACCCACAGACCCAGTCCTATGTTCCACGCTATGATTACGGGCGCAAACGAGCATCCGCAAGTGTACCCACCTGCCAGGTCTTGCTGAGTCGACGACGCTCCACTCATGGCTGCGTGCAATGCTAGCGCGAAAAGGATGTGTGAAGGATTTTTTCCTTGGGAGGCAGGCCTCTGAGGGTTTGATGGACCGGTAAGAGGCTGTGGTTGCGTCGCATGTTTCAGCCCAATATGCAGAGAGGCATTCATCGTTGCCCTGTGTCATCACAGCAGCGAGCTTTAACTTAGAAGATTCACAGACAGGGTATCAAGCATAATGAGGCAATCTTATGGCGGATGCAACAATTCATTGATCGTGCTATCTGCCTGGTGGAACACCGCTCTTTCCTTTCCCGACCCGCACGCTCACCGAAGAGCGTGTCGCTGTCCTTGTGATATTGCGTTGCTCATCCATTAGAACATCGTACGCGGGAGCCGTCAGCGAAGACGTCGCGCTTACTCCTCGTCGTCCTCAGCCTCATCGTTGACGACGTTGAAGAAGCGGAGCTCGTAGACACCCTTGGAGGTGGAGACGACGCGGAGCCAGTCACGGAGCTGCTGCTTCTTGAGGAACTTCTTGGTGCTGGGAGCCGTTAGCAACTGACCCTTTGCCACCGCATCTTCAGTGTAGGTAGACGTACAGGTACTTCAGGTAGCGGCCGGAGAACTCCTGGTGAGCAATGACCTCGATTTTGCCATCGCCCTGCTGGGAGATCTGGACAACATCACCAAGGTTGCCAGTGCGACCCTCGACCTTGATGCGGTCGTGGAGAAACTTCTCAAACGCCTGGATGTCGAAGATCTTGTCGTTGACGGGCTGGCTGCAGTTGATGATGAACTTCTTCGTCACTTTCTGCGCCTTCTTGCCGGATGCCTTCTACGGGCGCATTAGCCTACTGTTCTGCACATCGAGGCGATGTGTGTGAGGCGTGCTCACGGACAGCAAAGCGGTGTACGTACGGTGTTGGGTGCCATTTTTGGTGTGTGGGAGAGCGCAAAGAAGTGGTTATCCTGCGTAGAGCGTATGTGGTGGTGACCTTACCCGTGCTCGCCAGCTGAATTTTGCGATCGTGGGCGCACCGACCAAGCCAAGATTTGCACCCCACTTTTTTGACCCTGCCACGTGCTTGCCTCACCATCAACTTGACTCTTGCACAAGCAGCAGCGCAGCGCGCCTCGTCACAAGAAGAACGTCGCTCAGAAGTGTCACAATCACCAGTAGGTTGAGCTATAGTCTTGGGGGCTGCCTATGGTAGTGTCGTCAGTCTGTCCCACCGGCATTACAGCGTTCCGTTCTCCTAGATAGAGACCAACAATGGCGCCGACAACAGCAATGGTGACCCCGGAGAAGGTGACCACCATAGAGTATTCCTTCTCACTATGACGCTTCGTCCAAGTCCACACTGTGCCGGGTGTGTGCGGCTCTTTGATCGCCCGAGCAAGTTCGAGCAGCCTTGCACCCCAACACGAGTATTGCCCACCCATATCGTCGTCATCAACATCCGAGTAATTCCAGTTGTCAGGGATCAGACACGACAGGTCAACACCGTATTTTACGGCGAGCTCGTCGCTCGGGATGTCGTTCTATCTGTATAGAATGAGGCGCAAAGTGTTGAGTGAGTCCTACACCATTTGGCGAGGAAGAATACTTTTGAAGTTAGCGAGATCGTGTTAATTCAATCGAGAGTATACTGACAAATCCATGGATACCTGATTCTCTGGCGCCATCTGATGGGCCTTGAGAAAGCCGGTATATCGAAATACATACAAGCGCCTTATCTTCCACTCAAAATCCAAGTACAGTCTGAGGTCGCTTGTTCCCGAAATCTTCACACCACAATCCTTCAGCCTCATCGCTGATAAGCCAGCTATCGGGCCCGCCTCGTCCCTCGAAAGCGTTCGTCCGGCTCTCAGAGCCGTTTGCACAACCTTAAAAGCAGACCGATCGTCTTGCCAAATTCCTGGTGGAGCAGGAGCTTGGTATTGCCTATGAAAACAGTTCCTGTTCAAATTCGGTATCGTGGCTAGTGTTCTAAATGCGAGGTCCACGGCTTGCCGCTTGGTCGTGCTCGTCAGCTTTCTCTACAGCTCACCGATACAGGATTCCCAAACACACTGGTTGAAGCCTGTCGAGATACGCATGCACATCGTTGAAAAAGAGTGGAAATGGCTGGTGTTCCCAATACAAGACGGCATTAGATCATCTAGAAGTGATCCTGGCTAGTGGCAGACCAAGGTTGACCTCAGCGCCAGATGCAAATACTATCGGACAGGAAATCGCACGAAAAGGTGGAAGAATGCCTTGATTGGCTGGCGGAGCAAATGCATCTCATCAACAAGCTCAGACCAAATTTAGCAGGAACATTTCGTGCCTGGGAGCGCTTCAATGGAGATGTCGACGACCTTTAGTCCTGAATGCCAACAAGTCCTCCAGCAGATCAAAGAGATCCTTGAAGCCCTACTGGATCTCGAACAACTCATTGGTAGCCTGACTTCAACGGCCCGAGATCGTGCACACGCTGTAAGGCAAGCAAAGGAACGAAGTAGCACCGATCATCGACATAAGAGACAGGCTGAAGTATACATTACATATCGAGGCGAGAAGCTCAGATTGGAAGGCAACCGCATGAGTAGGATATTCGTCCAACTTAGTAGCGAGATTGAGATGTTCTGTTGCGGTACCAAGGGCAAATGTACATAACGAGTGTATTGTGTTGTTTTCTGTTGTTGTTCTGCTTGTATCTTTGCTCTCCAAGGCTCGCTGCGAGGTCTGTTTTGATGACGTGTTTGTGATGCAGCTGAGGTAAGAAGTGCTCAACAGCATGAGGAAGCAGCACCAGACCACCGCCAACAACACGTGATCTGCTTCTCCTCTCAACCATTACATATTCTCTAAGGATCATACCAGATCATACGACGCCCGTGCTCGCGAGTCCGCGCAGACAACTCGAATCAACGTTCAGTTGCTCCTCGTACGTCAATTATATACTGTTGGAAGCAGCAGACTGACCACTGTCAGTTAACGACACCATTCGTTCTAGCTCTGCAATGTTTCGGCGCGGAGAAGGACACCTTCTCCTTTAAGCGCAATCCCCGAATATTCAGTTACTTCATCTGCGTACTCTTCTGCGTTCTTCCGCTCTTTAATTACATCCCGGGCTTACTGAATAACTACTGAGACAATTTGGTATGACGTTTCAATGACCCCAAGGAGGTCGAACATTCAGATGAGGCTGTGTGAGCCAAGGTTTGAATATCTCGTAGACATCGAAAGATGGCATCAAGAAGATGAATCGAAATACGTCATGATTCTGAGAACGAGAATGATGTTGGGTACTTACTGCGGGCATTTCACGGGCATTTGAATGTCAAGGTTGTTTTACACTGAGTCAATTGGCCAGTACGCTACATGTAATGAAGCTTCTGCGGTCTACTCACTGGAACACACGCTTCCACACCCACAGGCTACGACTGTTGCAATAGTGCTTTAGTCCTTCGATACCCCATTCCATGCCGATGCCTGATTCCTTGTGACCACCGAAGGGCACGTCAGGAGCCACATCGAAGCTGTAATTGTTTAGTCAGAGATGCATACCTCCAGACTTTTATAACTTACTGTGAGTTCACCCAGACGCTACCTGCGGACAGCTGCCTCGCCATCCGCTCAGCACGCTTCACGTCCTTAGCCCACACAGACGCTCCGAGGCCGGACTTCAGTGCATTCGCGCGGTCAATCACATCTACTTCATCCGACCATTTGAGCAGAGGTACGATGGGGCCAAAAGGCTCCTCTTGCACGATACGCGAATCCTCGGGCGGGTTGTCGATAATCGCCGGAGTGATGAAGTAGCCATGCTCGAACTCGCCAGCCTGTCCAGACAGCGCAGTCTTCCAGTTGCTCCTCTCAATCTCATCATACAGATCTTTGACCTTGTCGAATCTAGAGTTGTAAGTACATCATCAAACCCTCCAGGCCCTTGCTGCAACTTACTGCATCTTATTCTGCACCGGCCCGACCACAACACCCTCCTCAGTCCCTGCACCAGTCTTAATATTCCCCTTTGTGAACTCCACCATCTTATCCCTGAACTCATCGTAGATCTTCTCATGGATATAGATCCGCTTAGTCAACATACAAATCTGGCCCGAGTTTAAGAAACTCATCATCGCGATCTTTGGTAGACACTTGTCGATGTCAACGTCCTCGCACACAATCGCTGCATCGTTGCCACCCAGCTCGAGCACGTAGCGCTTAAGTGTCTTAGCGCAGCTTGCGGCAACCAGCTTTCCAGTCGCGGTTGAGCCGGTGAATGCGATCTTGTCGATTCCGGGGTGCTCCGTGATCCAGGGGCCGAGGTTGTCGTCGCCGGAGAGAACTTGTACGACGCCTGGAGGGAAGACTTGGGCCGCCAGCTCACCCAGCTTGAGGTCGCAGTAGGGTGTGTAGGGCGAAGGCTTCATGATAAAGGTGTTGCCTGTGATGAGTGCGGGACCGACTTTACCTAAACCAAGCAGGATGGGCCAGTTCCAGGGCACGATGCCTGCGCAGACGCCGATCGGTGGGTAGGTTGAGTATACTATCTTCTCGTCGTCTTCTTTCAGTACCTCATCTTTGACCTCCATGGTGGCGAAGGTACGAAGCCAGTGCAAGGCGTTATCGACCTCGGTATGGGAGAGTGAGAGCGGCTTACCCTGCTCGGTGGTCAGAAGCTTCTCCAGCTGGTCGCGGTTGGCTTCGATCAAATCCGCATACTTCAGTAGCAGATTTGCGCGTTCTGAGAAGGGTGTTGCGCTCCATGACTTGAATGCAGCTCTGGCATTTTGGACAGCGGTGTCGAGGTCTTCCTTCCGGGCTACAGGGACCTCATAGAGAGCTTTGCCAGTTGCTGGGTTGATGGAGTGGCGAGTCTCCGGTGTTGGGACGAATTCATTGTTGATGATGTTGCCTTTGTAGGTCTGTTCGAGGTTCGTTCAGCATGTCCATTATCATAGATGTTCGTTGCTTACTTCAATGTCGAGCTTCGACACTATTGTGATGGACCCCATGGTGGCTTTTGAAATATCCAATACAGATCGTCGGATACGTAGTACTCTCCTCCCACCTTGATAATTCAGTGTACACAGTCAATTTCTGAAGGAAGGGCCACGCACTCGGCTTTTGTAGAATAGAGGAATCGAAGGTGGGGCTTACACATGCGGGGCTCAGTCGTCAGCCGAACTAGTGAAGCTTCTTACCAACCTCGCTTCCGCCCACAACATACGCGACATGCACGAGACACGTGTGAACACAGTCAGCATGGTGTACCGGCTTGACAACTTACTTACGGGCGGCTACGGCCGGACATTGATACTTTATTCTTTGCCAAGATCGTGTGTTGAGGTTGTGTTTCCTGGATACAGGTCGACATTCTACATCTGCGACTGTAGCCGTGTGAGTGTAAGATGGATCTTTGGTAGACATAGTAGCTCTTGCTTAGGCGGGAGCAAGCGTACGGTAGCGACACAGCTGCGGGGTATTCAATACGCGAGATGACAACCAACAGGCAGCAGGAACGAACGACACAACAACCAGTACGATGTCATGGCAAAAGAGGGGGTCATGATGATTAAACATTGGTCATTGATTATGATACAGGGCTATTGTGCTGCGATCAAAGCCATTGCACTCAACCAAAGCAGCGAGACGTTTATTTATCGCTAGTGTCGTGAATCACGTTGGGCACAGCGCGTTCTACAGATTCAGAGAGGATCTTCTTGGGCACGACGGGGGCGTCACCACCATCCTTGGCGTGTGTCTTGGAGGTGGATTGGTCGGCATTACCGCCGGTGGGGTGCACCTGGCATGCTGTTAAGTCTTACTGTTCACTTTCTTGGATGTAGATGTGGAGCTTATAGAATCTGGAAGAGCCTCCTCGAGGCCCGACGGTGCCTGCTCCTGCATCTTTCCAGGCACGGCAGAGTCGCTGGTGGCGTGGGACTTGCCCTGTCCGTACTCATTTGTGGAAGGCATTCTGATAGTGTTGCAGAAAATGGGTGTTGTTCGGACGATAGGTCTTGTGAGGGCGCAGAATTTAAGTGCTGCGGAAGACATTGTGAGTGGATGGATATATACACAACTTCAATGTACCGTTTATGCACGGCCACACTGGTGTGGGCACGTCATCGTCGCGCTCATAACACCTCATCATTCCCACTTCTCATGAGCCCATATGGCGGCGAATCAACCCGCATCCTAGGACGAGACTCTCAGGTCGACGTGATGCAGAGGCGGAGTGTGCAGCTGTCAGCCTGCAATGATGCGGTCATCTCGTAAGTAAAGGCTCGCAGCTCAATCTTCCACAGTGTGATTCTGAATGCAAGGCATTCCATTTGCAAGTAAGCAGCACAATCGATGTCGATATCACCCGAGAGAAGCGCAATCGCTCTTTTCAATGGGTCTTGAGTGTGGAGTTGTTGCTGCTGTCGGAAGGATTGATGGTGGTGTTGTCGGCATCACGGAGCCCGCGAAGTCCAAGACGGACAGAACATCACGTGTTGGGACGCACGAAAGTGACGCGAACATATTACTTAACTCTTGGTTCGACATACACCAATGCTGTTAACCAAAAGGAGATTCAGAAGCCGAATGATGCCAAATTTCCAAATATGATGCCTGCAGGCTCCAGCCTTCCCCAGAAACGAACATGTGCAGATGATGAAATTAGTATTATTAACTGGGTGTCTATACAAACCCTCGATGCGTCTACGCAGCAAGAGCAAGTGTATTATTACATGCTTTGATCGTATGTCCAATGCGGATGAGAATGTTAGACTTCCGCCGCGCACTAAGCCTCTCTAATATGCAAATATAGTAGCGCTTAAACAATGCCGTCGCTCACGTTAGGATCGAGCGAGTTGCCAGGGAAGGATCGTGTATCGTAGAAATCATGTGTGCTGCAGTACAAGCAGGTTGCACAGAATGAAGCGCCAGGAGATGCAGAGATGAGGCTCAAACCAATGAACGCCTGTCCGAACTCCTCGCAGAAATGATGTAACACCGTATGTAGGGCAGCTTACAAGATCAGAGCCGCACCGAAGACAGCCAATAGTGCTGCGAGACACGTCGTCGGTACGACAGAGGAGAACACAGCGGCAGCACCTCCAGACGCCGGGGGAGCTGCACCGCTAGCAGTAGCCGACGAACTCCCAGAGGCAGAGCCTGTCGCAGAGCCACTTGTCAACTCGCTGGCGGAGCCTGACGCAGCAGCACGAGACGAGCTGGCCGAAGCTACAGGCTGTGCGGTGCTGTTGCTAGCAGAGTTGGATGCGGCAGAGGGCGAACCGCTGGTAGTTGACGACAGAGTGACACTCGCTCCTCCAGTAGAGATCGAGCTTAGGGTGGAACTGGCTGAAAGAACAAGCGAGCTGGAAGGTGACGAGTCGACAAAGCCAACAACAATCCTGATCTCCGAACACTGGTCACCGATGGACTCGTCGTACAGGTTTCCGAATGTACCGCTCATGCATCTCCACCATCTAGTCGTGCCACCAATGGCAAGAGAATTATTCTGGCATACCGAGAAACCGCCTGTGTAGATTGCACCTGCTTGGGGTGGACCGTCGAATTGGAATTGGCGGTTGGCTACGACAGAGCCTGTACGGCTGTATTGGTCGCGGAGGATACCATCTTCGAGTGTGCACAAGAGCGCTCCGTCGGAAGCCTAGACACTGAAGTCAATAATGCACGTACAGCCGCATGAGTAAGTGGTCGCACCTCCTGGGCAGTTTCGCGCTTTGATCTTGCAGAGAAGGAATTCTCTACGCTAATGGTGAAGTTGCCCTTGACGGTAGTTTCGCATCCAGCTGGTGCAGGCGAAGATGGCGCAATGCCCTCTTCAACAGCCTGAGCCAAGGATTGGGTGGCGAAGATAAGCGGAGCGAGGAAGCTTGAAGCACGCATCGTGAGATTTGACGTCCAAGTGCAAACCAACCAGATCGATGTCGTGTATGAGTTTCGATAGTACTAGCGATAAGATAGACGATTGCTATGGTATCGCACAACACTCAATACGGGGGTGCGGGCAGGTAGAATAACGATACTATTATCTTGTGTTGAAGGGCAAAGGCTGGGGAGGTCAGGGAGAGGTTGGCATGCGCGTCTCGGCGTTTTGTTGTGCAACCGCTATCTGAAGCAAGGAAGACACCCTGCCGCCAAAACCTGTCGTGCCTGCCGATCTAATGCTGCATTTAGGCAGGTGCGCAGCCAACCGAAGGCATTGGCGACTGAGATTGCGTCTCTACATCATTGCACCCAGGGTAAACATACAGAGGCATGTTGGGACAGGCCAGGATGCCTCGCGTCGATAGTATCACGGCGAAGCAAGGTAGGAAACCTCCACACGTTGTTGTTGGTGAACTCACTTGTCTGCAGCGGTTTGGTTTTATCGACGGGATACGCGTCGGGAACTAGCCCCCGCCACTTATGCCTGCCGCTAAGGCTCGGCAAGCGTTGTTTGTTTATCCCTAGCTAGCACTGCATATGCACGCAATCAAGAGGTCAAAGTTGGTGAAACTCATCGATACTGATTCGATTGTCGATGATAGACCTGGTGGCCGTCACGCAGAGCCGAGACAGCCGAGACCAACCCAGCCACCTGGATAGCCTCCGACAGCACCTGAAGGTAGTACCGTGGTTCAGCGAGATTGCATTGCAGCCTTGGTCTCGTTGCAGACCTGATTAATGGCCGCAGCCTGAATTTCAGCGGCTCTCGACTGAAGAGCTGGCGCTTCTGCCTTGTCCCGCTTAGTGAGGTCGGGATGGTGAAGGACGCCGGGCCTGTAAGTCTCAGGACAGAGCGCGGGCATCAGTTTGTTGACGTTGTCAGGACCATGCATCATCTCAAGAAAAAAGAACTTGTACCACCCAGCACGGCTCAAAGCTGGTATGTATGTTGCATAGGCTGCTGAATGTATTGGCACGGAGGCGAGCTTGAGCTCTTGCGCATGTGAGTGCCGGTTGAAGTTCCAGATCGGCGTCAGGGATGATTGGCAAGGTATCATGACGTGTGGAATACCCTGTAGGGTCCACAGCCTGGCGAAGGCACTGTAAGTATTGTAGGAGAAGAGTTCTGCATAGAAGTCAGTATTCAGTGACTTGTGGACCCCCCAAACACTTGGAAAATGCTTACGCGTGACATCTTTGGACAAGTCCATCCAACTCTTCAGAACCTTACTCGCTTCCAGCATTCCTGTGTTCTGGGGCTCAAACTTCCTGTCCAAAGCTTCGAACAGCAGGTCGGCAATGACATAGAATTCACGTGTAGGCAATTCAGTCAGCGGGTCGGCAAATCGCCACGGATCTGCGTACGGCGCGTTGCTTAGACTAACAGCCCGGCGTGCAATCGTTAAGCCAGGAGACGACGGCCCGGTCACTATGGGCGGTGTTTGGTAAGCTTGATACGGTGAATGTTGCCCAGGAGGCGGTGCTGGAGGTTCGACCAGTTTTGCTTCTGTAATGCTGAGGCTTCCTAAATCAGCCGGCAACTCGGCGATGAATTCTGTCAGGCACTGAATGGGTGCTGGCTGTGGGGCAGGAGTCGGGCTCTGGGACTGATGTGGAGAGACACTCGGCATGGCAGCAGGTTTACTCTGAAGCGGAGGTGGTGGAGGGCTGACGGAGGCTGGGGGTACTCTGTGCTGGGTGTGAAGTCCTGTTCCCGCTGAAGTCACTGGCGACCAACGCTCGATGTTGCCAGTGGACTGGTTCTGGACACCATCCGGAAAGTATGACTGCGTTTGCTGCTGATACGGGGAGGCCACAGACTGCTCGGAACCTGTGTGAGAATCCAGCCATTGCGCTTGCTGCGGAGGTGGCGAATGTGGCAAAGCGCTTGGGACTTGCGGTGATTGCGAGTACGATGTATGCTGAGTCAGTTGAGACCCTCCGACAACGCCCATCTGCTGTCCAATATGCTGTGTCTGCAGAGGCTGCTGCTGGAAGTGTCCATGAGCCTGGAGCTGACAGGCCTGCCCCGCGTAGTGGTGATCGTTTCGTGCATGACTCTGTTGCTCTCCAACTGTGGCGACCCCCTGACTGTACTGAGTGCCATTGTAGCTCAATTGCGAAGTTTGTTGCGGTGGTGAAACAGGTTGATTGTACGGCGTCTGCGGCGTTCCCAGTACTGGTGACGTGAAGTAATTACTCGGACCGTTGCTGTAGTTCGATTGCTGAAAGGGCGATTGCTGGACAGGGTAGGCGCTGGGCACTTGCGGTTGTTGCTGTTGCTGCGCTTGGGGGTTGAAGGTGTGGCTCTGCGGCTGTGTCTGAGGTTGCGTCTGCTGATCCTGATGCTGTTGATAGTTCTGGTAGCTTTGCAAGTGCTGTGGTGTCGCCGTTGTAGACGGCTTGTTCCCTAGTTTTGAGCTTATCGTTTTGCTGAGTTTGTTCAACATGGGCTTGCTAGTAGTGACTGCTTGGTTCATCATTTGCCCAAAGGCCCCTCCGCTACCCTTGGGTACCTGACTTGGCTGACCATATCCTTGTGTTGACGCCTGATATGTCGAGGCACCCTGCGACTGCTGGTAGCCCTGATGTCGCTGCTGTGGACCATGGCCTTGTGGTGGTAGGATGCTCTGGTTCTGGCTCGGCGGCACATAAGCTCCTAGAGGGTGCATGTTGGGATATTGTGACATAGCGCTACGATCGCAATGCACACCAGACATGCCGAAGAACCTTTCTGCACGTGGGGAGTGCAATGCCGGATGAGGTTCCACGCCCGCTTGGGCTCAGCCGCAGCGGATACGGGGTTCTTGGCATGGCAGCGAGGACATTCGAGTCAGCATCCGATGATCTGTGTCAGTGTGATGCACTTTGTGCAGTCTAATCTGAAGAGTGCGTATCTGTAAAGTCGCAGTACCTGTCATGACCAGGATTTATATTTTTAGGATATGCCCAGCAGCGACTCGAAGGAAGGTGAACCCTGGTTTGGTCCCGGGCCCAATCATTCTGCAGGGTGATCGACCGCCGCACCACTCAAGCCTCCCTGACGCGCCGCACATCCGAGTACTCGCAATATCAGCCTAGGCATATAGGCTCAAGGAGCTGTGTGTGATCGGAGTCGTTGTCGTGTATGAATTGGCTTGAGAGTAGGTTCCTGGGCCTGAACTTAAAGCATAGCGGGTTCGAAGGTTCGAAGCCTGAAAGCTTGACGCGTAGCCACGTCCGAGCTCGTTCAGTGTCGATGATGTCTGGATCGTGAGCTGTGGCTCTTGACATGGACCAGCATTGACGAAACTTTGAATTGTGTGCAGAGCTCAGTCAACTCATAAGCTTGAACTCGAAAGGAGATGCCAGATACTGCTCTATTGGCGGGTTTCAGTACATCAAAAGTTCTGTAGACAACAATGAGAATCCGCGCAATAGCCAAACTCTTGTGCAGTTTGATAGCCAAAACGATCACGTGTCATTCGAGTCGAAGAACAGGATCGAGAAGCCATGATGCGCATATCAAATCGGTCAACTGACCTGGTCGTCATCAATGCGCGCTCCTTGATGCGGCCTCAGAACTCTGAGCCATCATACACGCTGCTGTGACAAAGACCTAATGTCAAGCTTCAGACGCGTCTCTGGACGCGGTGCTGCTCTCAGACGGCCGGTCAGACATCCCGAAGTATATAAACGGACCCGTGTGGGGCAATCAAGACTGATCTTTCACAAAGCTGATCTTATCAGATCCGGCATTTGCACGTCCCTGGCAGGAGGTGCACAATGCAGCCGATGGTGCGGCCAATGGTGCCCGATTTGCGCATTTCCAAGCCTTGAATCAGCCGCGAAAGGCTGATCTAACGAAAGACGGAACAGAGCGTGCACGGGACGACTAGTATTGTGGTGGGCCGAGAGCGCGTTCGTGGAGGAACGCGTCTGCACGGATTGTTTTGCAGAGACGCGCCGTGGCTGGCGTGTCGCGACGGGACATTTTCGATATGCAAATCGAGCAGTAAGAATGCCAAAAGTGTGCGCAAAATGAGTGTCGTTGCAATGCGCAGATTCGTCTTCACGATCAGGAGAATTGTTGTTAAAGCAGCGTGTTGTGTCGCATCACAAGGCGGCTGCGATCACTTTTGCTCGTGGTTCACGTCATAGCGTTTTTCAGACACGGAAGGCGCGACCCCACTACCCTTGGCCATCGCGCCTTCCTCGCGTGTGAGCTAAGTCTCGTCCCATAAGTATCGCAGTCCTCGACACAGACACCCGACATCAACAGCATCAACACTTTACCTTCCTACTACCGCGTCCATTCTAGACTCCCACGGTTGCTTTGTAGAGTACATTACAGCACTGCACAAATTATCGTTTTCCTCACAATGTCTGCTCTCCAATCCACACCATCCAAGCAGGTACGCGTATCACCAAAACATCTGAAAGACGCGTCTCGACTAACGCGTGTGCAGGTAGCATCTGCCGTTGACACGCTCAAGATGTCTGATTCACCAGTGAAGAAGATCGACTTCTCGTCTGCAGACAAGGAGAACACATACAAGCCCATCGTCGGCATTCCTGACCTCGATGCTGCCGACGAGGTCGAGAAGAAGGTACACTCTGTTGCACCAACCATCAAGCCTGAGGAGGCTGAGGAGCCCATTCTGCAAGAGAACCCTCAGCGCTTCGTTCTCTTCCCCATTAAATACCATGATGTAAGTGCCGGCGCGTTCAACGCGTCTTCTGACGCGACAAGCATGAGCAAGACTAACACCATCCTTCTTAGGTCTGGCAAATGTACAAGAAGGCCGAGGCTTCCTTCTGGACCGCCGAGGAGATCGATCTCTCCAAGGACCTGCACGACTGGAACAAGCGTCTCAACGACGACGAGCGCTTCTTCATCTCCCACGTCCTCGCCTTCTTCGCCGCCTCCGATGGCATCGTCAACGAGAACCTTGTCGAGCGTTTCTCCGGCGAGGTACAGATCCCTGAGGCTCGATGCTTCTACGGCTTCCAAATCATGATGGAGAACGTCCACGCCGAGACATACTCGCTCCTCATCGACACATACATCAGCGAGCCCAAGCAGCGCACATACCTCTTCAATGCCATTGACAACAGTAAATTGGTTCCATCCAGACTACATGACAACCATACTAACGTGTCATAGTTCCCTGCATCCGCAAGAAGGCCGACTGGGCTCTGCGATGGATCTCTGACAAGAACTCCACCTTCGCCAACCGTCTGGTTGCCTTCGCCGCTGTCGAGGGCATTTTCTTCAGCGGTTCGTTCGCGTCCATCTTCTGGCTGAAGAAGCGTGGTCTCATGCCCGGTCTCACATTCTCCAACGAGCTCATTTCTCGTGACGAGGGCATGCATACAGACTTCGCCTGCCTGCTGTTCTCTCTCCTTAACAACCGCCCCAGCAAGGATGCTGTCGCGGCCATCATCACCGAGGCTGTCACAATCGAGCAGGAGTTTTTGTCAGATGCCCTTCCCTGTGCGCTGCTCGGCATGAACGCTACCCTCATGTGCCAGTACATCGAGTTCGTTGCCGACCGTCTCCTCTTGGCTCTCGGCAATCCCAAGCACTACAACGCTACCAACCCCTTCGACTTCATGGAGAATATCTCGCTGGCCGGCAAGACCAACTTCTTCGAGAAGCGTGTCGGTGACTACCAGAAGGCTGGTGTCATGGCTAGCACAAAGAAGGCAGAGCAGCAAGTAGAGGGCTCCTCGCCTCCTGCTGAGGCACAGGGCATGTCTGGAGACTTCTGCTTTGAGGAGGACTTCTAGACGCCCTGCTCTGCTAGACTTTTGCTTTCTTACCTGCCATATTGCCAACATTTCGCGCTGTATACCTTTTGGACTTTGGGCATGGGGTGCTGGGTTACCTCTACTTGCATTCATCTCTGCATCTTCAGAGTGAGACTGCGTGCATCTCCACTATGGACGGCTTGCATTGCTACTTTTGATACCTCTTTTCTGCATTTTGGAGTACTGGCGTTGGTGGTCGTGTTCAGCGACGTATCTTGGATGTTGCAGTTTCGCACAATGGACGTTGATGGCTTCAGAGTAATGATCAGTTCAATACAATTATTAAATAATGACCTTTTCCAGATCTTTCTCTGTAATGTTCCGCAAGACCTTGGCCGGTGCTCTGCACCATGACGCCACGCGAGCTTGAACAGCGAATCAACGAGAAGGCCCGAACTCCAAGCCTATTGAACAATGAGATCCCTACTCCGACTGCAGTTGTTTATGAACACGTCTTTCTCTACGAACTTCGGGAACGCAAAAAGCGTTTTCAAGAGATCTCGAGTTGTCCAATATAAGTGACGTCACCGATTCTGCGGCCTCAGCAACAGCTTCTAAGCAAGAGTGATGCAACGCGCGACAAGCACTAGGTGAGACGGCTGCTTACACTTCCCTCGCACCACCACCGCCATAATGACTTTGTAGCTATCCTTGACCGGTCAGGTTTATTGCCAGATTTACGACGCTGTCCTGCCTGTTTGAGAGGTTGTGCTGCGGCATGCATGCAAGATCTATCGATAAGCTTGTTTACTTCGTTACCCGGCCATCCCGCGACAGCCAGATCTTTGTGCAACCATAGTTCGGGACGCCCTGAACATCTATTCTTGCTTGAGAACGACGCATGAATCTCCCCTTCCACTCTCGGTATGGTCATTGCGCGCACTCGGCCGTAGTCAAGTGTGAGAAAAGTCCTTCTACGACCAGCACGCTCTCGAAGCCCGGTGCGACACAATGACGGAGCTGTTCCCAAAGTTCAAAGTGACGGACCCACACTCTCGCGCTGGGAGTCCACAGCATAGACGCGACACGTACAAGACGAGTAGCAATGGAGAAGGTGAGCAGCGAAATCTATCCGCGATATTCCTGGGCATCATGGCTTATTCTAAAGCCTAAAGGCAGCAACGGCAAGCTCGTCGCGCAAGCTCGCAGTCCCACCTCACCCACGACACGTTTGAACGACACATCGAATGGCGATGGTAGTGGGGAAAGACGCTCATCTGAAGCCGCCATAGATCCACTGTCGCAAGTATGTACAAATCGAGCGCGCGAGGCACACCGTGAGGCTGACCACGCATCCACGATACAGCAAATACTCAAAAGGACGAACACAGCTCCAGCTGTTCAGAAGCTGCGCGCACAGAATACGGACCCATATGCTGCGCACTCTCAAACGTCGCTCCATGAGGCGACACCAGACAAGAAGCACAGCGATGAAGCACCGCGCGACCTGAGCGCAAGCGCAAAAGCGGATAGGAAGTAAGTTTCCAATACCAATGTCCACGGCGAGGCTGTCCGGATGTGTCATTTTCGTGACGGGCCTAGCGCACTCTTCGTATCAGGCCGTATATCGTGTTGGCGCATCGTTCTGAGGCTGACCTGGTTGGCCTGTCGACACCCCCTCCTGACCACGCAATATCGAGGCCAAGCCTCGGTACCAATATGGTAACTGACCGTACTACAGGAAGGGCGTTTCATTCCTTAGTCGCTTCATCGGCAACAAAAAGAAGAGTATCCTCGACGGTGCGAGTGACAATGGCTCTGAGTTTGGTGACTTTCGACCTGAGGGCATGGACGCTCAGCTCTACGTCGATAACTTCGGCTTCAGTCCCAAGCACCCACAACCGCCAGCATACATCAAGGTCCGCACCAAGTTCAAAAGCAAGAAGGAATTTGATCGTGTTTTTCTAGCACAAGAGCTACGATCAGGCGCCGATAAGCACAATGGTCCTGTCGCAGGATCAAATCCAGCGCCTCAATCCGGATCAGCAGCAACCAAGAACCCTATATGGGCCACCGAGTTCAGCAAAGATGGGAGATATCTTGCTGCTGGCGGACAGGACCAAGTAATTCGCGTCTGGGCGGTCTTGTCGAGTGCAGAAGAGCGCCGCGCGCATAAGAGAGAGGAGAGCGATCCTGCAGGCGAGGCAAAGCATCTCAGTGCTCCGGTATTCCAGCAGAAACCCTACCGAGAATACAATGGCCACTCCGCAACAATATTAGATCTCAGCTGGAGCAAGGTACGCCGGATCGACGGGGAAAGTGTGACAACGCTAACATGAAAAGAACAATTTCCTGTTGTCTTCTTCCATGGATAAGACGGTGCGCCTATGGCACATAATTCGCGAGGAGAACTTGTGTACCTTTAAGCATTCAGACTTCGTTCCGTCTATCCAGTTTCATCCCATGGACGATCGATTTTTCTTGGCTGGCTCCTTGGACTCGAAGCTGCGACTGTGGAGCATTCCAGACAAAAGCGTTGCGTACACAGCCTCAGTACCTGACATGATCACGGCTGTGAGTTTTAGTCCTGATGGCAAGACTTGCATTGCAGGAACACTGGGTGGTCTTTGCAATTTCTATGACACCGAGGGCCTGAAATGGCAAGCCCAATTACATGTGAAGTCAACGAGAGGGCAGAATGCAAAAGGCAGCAAAATCACAGGACTCCAAGCAACATACTGGCCACCAGGTAGTGACTCCGGCGAGATCAAGCTCCTGGTCTCGAGTAATGACTCCCGATTACGGGTTTACAATATGAAGGACAAGAGTCTGGACATGAAGTTCAAAGGTCACGAAAACAACTGCAGCCAAATACGTGCAGCGTTTGTCGACGGCTCTGGTCACATCGTATGCGGCAGCGAAGACCGAAAGGCTTACATATGGTCAACAAGCGACCTAGAAGGGGACAAGAAGAATCATAGGCCAGTGGAGATGTTTGAAGCGCACAACTCCATCACGACATGTACGGTGTTTGCTCCGTTGCAGACACGAGTATTACTCAGCGCCTCCGAAGATCCGATATACGACATGTGCAACCCACCACCTGTCACTCTGGTATCGAACACTGAATCTGTGAATGGTTCCAGAGCGCCTGCAGAAATAGGGTCTGCGTTCCCAACACCAACGCCAAACCAGAACTTCTTCCCAAGAGCGAACGAGAGCCCTACATATACCGCTCGCTGCGAACATCGAGGCGGTAACATCATCATCACGACTGATTACAAAGGGTCATTGAAAGTCTTCAGGCAAGACTGCGCATACGAGCAACGCGTGCGGTCAAGAGACACTTGGGAGGCATCATCCAAGATCGGACGCCCGAGCAGTATCTTATCGCGGACGAGTCGGTCCCGGAGGGATTCAGTGTCCACACAACCACCCAACGACCGCATCATGACTTGGCGACAGGGTATCTCACATGGTAGCTTCGACTCGCTAGGATCTATTCGGCGGAAGAGCGGTCGCAGCGTATCACCTCGCAAATCTATGGCGGCACTCAGCCTCAGCTCATCACGAGCACCCGAATCACCGGCCCTGAAGCCGACGAAGTCTGAAGAGACCACGGAATCTGGACCCACAGGTACACCAGAGACTTCGTTATCAGTAGAGTGCATATCCGCGCAAGGCGTACCTTACTCTGAGATCTCCACGCCTCCCCAGATAAACGTACCTAAACCCTTCGGACCATCTGAGATCTCAGCAGAGCCTCGACCCGAGAAGCGTCCATCCATCACAAATTCATCCGCTGCGTTCAACGGACAAAACTGGTTCTTCTGGGCAAGCGAGGGAGATCACACCCAGAGTCAGAGACCAACACTGAATGCACGCGCAAGTCTGGTCAGCCAGCTTAGTCAAATTAGTCGTTTGACGAGCGAGATGAGCGAAGGAAGAAGTGAGAATGGTGAGGAAGCAGCAGCAAGCGAGCAAAGAAGGTGCAAGCGCTGTGGCGGCGAGGAGTTCGAGGTCGCGAATAAGGCAGTAGGACAGTTTGGTGGACGCAATAAAGTGGGCGAGAAGGTCACTTTCTGCAAGAAGTGCAGAGCTGCGGCTGATTAGGCACCGCTGCCCTGCTACGACATCCAGGCGGTATCATGCTGCAGCGGTACACCTGTTGCAATGTCTAGTGAAGGTACGTTAAAGAACAGCTATGTGCAGGAAATACGCACTCGTAAACCAGTTGAGTCGTCCTTCTCGGCCGATTGTGCAAGCAGCCTATGTCCTATCTGTTTGTCATCCTTCAAAACGCCATGGCAAATCCTTGACCCGATATTGCCTCCGCGTCCGCCTCGCTTTACTTCATCACCCCCTGCCAGAGCACAATTTTTCAACGGAAGAACCTCTCCTCATCCTTCTCTTTCACAACCTTCAACGCATGCTCACTATACTGCCGCACCGTGTACATGAGTGCGCCGGCGCTTGATTCTCCTATTGATGCTTGGCGTGCGGATTCGCATTGACTCGCTCCGCCTTCTTACAGGCTTCCAGGGCTTTCAACTGCTCCAGGAAGCCTTTTCTGGTGCTAGAGATTGAGCCGAAGGTACTGTTGAAGCTGAAGATTCGTACGTCTGTAAGGTCATCTTTATTATTTAGCGTCATCACAGAGAAGTCAAAGCTTGCAGATATAGTTACTGTGCAGTAACATGTAGGTCTCATTGTACGACCTAAGTAAACAGAACAGACTGCAGCGGCCATTTAGACATCTTGCTTCGCCTTCTCTTCAGCAGCGGCGGCGGCAGCTGCAGCTCGCCTTTCCATCTCTCTGAGACAAGGCGCCTCAACCAACTTTCCGAAGAACAAGTTCTTTACAGTCCCAGCAGCGACCACACCCCAAAGCAGCATGACACTGATGGCAAACACGGTTCCCAGAATCCTGAAAAAGGCAGAGGGCAGCTCCTCTCCAATCGTGATCGTCGACATGGTGAAAACACCCACTGGGAATGTGAATCCCCACCATCCCATGTTGAAAGGAAACCTGCTCCGGCTGATCGACGCAATGGCGAAGAACAGCCAAACAAGTCCGAAGCCCCACAAAAGTATGGCGACAGCCCAGCCAAGGACATAGAGAACCTCCCCAGACATGGAATGCAAGGTGCCGGTCTCAGGAAAACGCTTCGCGGCCTGAATACCGAGCTGCATCACAGCGTAACCGCCCTGTCCCATAGGCCCTAGGGGCAAGAACACGCTGACGATGACTTCCTGGGGTGGCAGCTTGTGGATCGCGAGGCGGTGGAAGTATATCGTCAGTATAACTATCGCAAGCGGCACGCCGATGCCCCAGAGGACATAGCTGGTGACGATCGTGATGACTGCATGATGCGGATCGGGCAGCACGGATGCCACGACGCCTCCAGATGCAGCTGCGACAATGGGCGCAACAATAGGCAGAAGCCATGCCGCTGTCATCGTCTCGTGGCGGGTCTGATGCGTAGTCATCATCTGGAATGGAAGCCACAGACAACACACAATGGAGACGACGACGTCAATCCACCACATGCCCCAGGCTATGTATGGCGTCCGGCCACCCCAAGCAGGTACGCAGAGAGCGACGAAGAGATTGATGAGTGTTGCGAATCCCATGGGCAGTGTGCCGAGGAAAAGAGACTGCACAGGGTGTTGCACCATTAGTGTCCAGGTCGCGGGGTAGAGCGTGTATCGCAGGATGCTGATGAGGAAGACGACGGCGAAGAGAACGATGTTGAGAATGAAGAAGATAGTGCTGAGGATGTTGAGAGGCGTCTCGAATGAAGGATAGAGTTTGGATAGAGCGTGGAAGAGGATTCCTACTATCCCTGTTCCCATGGTCACAGCGAACTGGTTTGGTTAGCATCGTTTGCTTGCGAGGGAGGCAGCAAGGAGCGACTTACCCAGGACGGTGTGAAGTTCTGTATAATACGTCGCCAGCCTCGTTGGTCAGCAGGAATAAGCCACTTCGGCAGACTATCAGCGTCCGAGCATGCCATCTGTCGTCGAACTTGGCATGGCGTCAGCCGAGACTGGTTTGGGCATGTTGCTTCCACTGCCGTCTCGTTCGAGCGTGAGCGAGCGGCAGCCTGAAGCTGATAGGACATCGCCATAGTCGCGGCGCAAGTCTTTATGGAGTGTGGGAGCCTTCAGGGTCGTATAGTCGAAGTCGGAAACTTGGTCTTGCGTAGTCGGGTTAAGGATTATTGCAGTTGATATCTCGACTGGTGCACGAAAGGTGTGGACAGAACGCAAGTGAAAAGACTCAATACTTATTTCACAATCATCGGCTACTAAAGAGTCACGATACTTCTGTACTTGCCACTTTGCGTCGTTCACCGGCCATCTCGGCGTATGGATTTGACCATCTTCGTTCGGGTCATCGGCGACAGTCCGACGTGGCTCACAAGACTCAATTAGAGTCACGCTCTTCGAGTTTTCTCATGTAACGCATCGGTAGGTCTCGCAATGTGGTCCTTGCTGGAGCGGAATACCTATACCTATGCAGAAAAATCCAGGGCTGGTGAAGACGCGTGATTGCGTGACATCAGCACAAGTTGGCGCTAGACGGTTCAGGAAAGGGCGAACTTGCCGGGCTCTCGAAGCCTCCGCGTTCCCTCTCTCGATGACGATGGACGCAACACAAGGATATAACGTGTACCGATCCGATCCAACATACGGGATAGTAATTCACAAAGGTACCCCTGTCATCCGCCAAGTCGTTCTGGTCAAGGATATCGAAATCCTCGTTACCGCGACGACAGACGGGACACAGCGACTGACATGCGGTGCAACGCGATATGATTGCGACAGGGAGTCTGCGTATGCTCGACAGCCCTGATGAGCCGTTGCTCACTATCCGTATCAACTAGGTAGTGACAGTCGATGGAGGTTTGGAGTTTGGGACGGCGGACCAGAGTGGAGATTCGTCTTGCGCGGGCGCAAGGGGGAGTGTGTGGTGTGTCCGCGATGTAGTTTAGACTAGAATTTTTGCTTAGATACAGGCGTAGAATACATTGCGAATCTACTTTTACATTTCAGAGAAATCTGTCGGAATCGATAGCCGTTTTGGCAGCATCAGATGCCTGCCAGAGCAAAACGGCTAGAAGAAGCTCCTCCAGCTCGCCAACAGCTGGCCCAACCCGTCACGCGTGTAGCGGACCGCGCTCGTGTCTGGTTCCTGGTACTCCTCATCATACGCTTGCGCGAGCATGTCCAGATAGCCGGGGTGAGGATCCCAATACACAGCGAGGAAACCACCTTCACCCTCGTTCCAAGATTCTTGGGGCTGGTCGATGATGAGAATGGCTCGTTTCCATTGGTCATGGCTATGGAACTCTGAGACGTAAAAGTCGTCGTCTACAGAAGTGTGTCTCGCAGCCATCTCGGCGGAGATGTGGGCCTTGCACTTTGCGATTCTGTCCTCCTCGGACGCGTCGGCGGCAAACGGCATGCCCCAGACGTCGATTCGATCAGGCTCGTCGCGGCCACCTGCTCCACGCTCTTCGCGCGTCTCTCTGTGGAGCGTCTCGGCCAGGGTCTTGAGGTGGTCCTGATCGGCAGCTTGGGGCGTCGTGTCGTAGATCTGGAGAGACCATTGGGGACGTTGGGTTGCGATGGTAAAGTCCGAGGCTGACCATCCCTGGGGAACTCGCACAATCTCTTCGCGCACCCAGGCGGTATAGCAGGGAGTATTGCCGTGGCTTGAGACTTCCTCGACGAGATATTGTTCACGGATTTTGATTGGTGGTAGGCCGCCTGTCGATAGTCTTCTTTCTGGTTCGTGGGACATGTGCGCAGGGTACTGTGGCAGCTGTGCTTGGGAGTAAGACCGCAAGAAGTACTGTGGCAGCTGAGCTTGGGAGTAAGACCGCAAGTACTGTGGCAGCTGTGCTTGGGAGTAAGACTGCAAGAAGTTTACTACATGTCTCGTGTGTTTGCTGGTGTTGGCCATTCTATGTACACTTGTCGGGCGTCAGCCTGGCCCACCCATCCAATGACGCTATATCTCATTTGCCCACAGATGCAGCCTCGGGATTCTACACTTGAACAAGGCAGAAACGACTGTTTCCCGTGCGGCACAGTGTGAATTTTTGAACGAATCCGTCATCCAAGTTACTGCGTTAGCCACCGGGCTCAAAGTACTCATGCCACGCCTCAGTCCCTACGTCTAGGTCGACGTCCCTACCGCCCCTTTGTCAACCCCCCAATCAGCCGCTCAATCTCAACCGCCGCACTCCCGCTCGCCCTATCCCTCAGACTGAGCAGCAACTCCGTGTCCCTGGCCTTGTGCGCCTCCTCGCCCGCCTTGACAAGCAAGCCGCACTTGAGCCACATGTCGACCCTCTCGGCGACGCTGAGATGGGTGCACTTTGGAATGAAGAGACTGGCGACCCGCGAGTTGCCGGCGGCGAGCACCTCGTTGAAGAACGGCGCCCAGCCAATGGGGCTCTTCTTCGCCTTGGCCCAGTCCTCGACGTCGATGAAGCGCCTCGACGCAACGAGCGCGCGCAGCCGGATCCAGGTGTAGCTCTTCTCAGCGATTTTGAACTCGGCGACGACTTTCTGCGCGCGCTTCGTGTGGCCTTCCTTGATGAGGGTGAAGACTGTGTCGGCGGCGGAGAGGCCGACGAGGCTGGTGGGGGTGGTGTCGCGGTTGGGAATGTCGCGGGTCGACTGTTGCAGGTCCCGCTCAAACTGCGTCTGCATGTGCAGCAGTTTCTGGGCGTCGTCGAGGGCGGAGCGCAGGAAGGCCGCCGGGGGATCGCGCGAGTCGGCCAGGTACTTGGAGGCGAGCTTGAGCTTGTCGAGCGCGGCGGGGAGCGCGGGCTGCGACAGTGCCGACGAGAGCAGCAGGGCGCTGCCGTCGAGGCGCCGGTCGTCCTGGTAGTACAGGTCTTTGAGCATGTCGGTGTCCTGGTCGCGGGCGGACGACTCGACGAGCGCCGTGGCCACGGGCCGCGTGTTGATGACGCGGAAAAAGGATGCGAGCGGCAGTTTCTTGCGCAGGTGCAACAGCACGTGGAACACGAGGTCGGTGTCGCCTGACTCAATGGCCTTGTCGAGCGCAATCGTGTCTTCCTTCATGCTGAGGAGGAGGGGTACCTGTTTCCCCGCGCGCGGCTCGTGGTCCAGCAGCGAGGTTGCGAGGTGGATGCGGCCCTCGTCGTAGGCGGCGCGGGCAATGTCCTCAAACGAGACGCCTGGCTTGCCCGCGAGCTTCTTGACGATTAGCCTGCAAATGTCGTCCTCTGGGTCGGTGGAGACGCGGACTTTCTGCTGCGCCCAGTGGCCATGGATGTGGCTCGCGGGGAGGTGCAGGTAGTCGGCGACGCGCAGGGCGAGCAAGTACTCGTTGCGGTTGGTGAGGCGCTCAATGAGCTTCTCGGGCGTCATGCGGCGGTACTGGTCGTAGCTGACGGGCAGGCCAATCTCGTAGAAGCGCACGGCATTCAGGACGCGCAGCGTGTCACACGTATCGACAAAGTCGTCCGACGAGCAGAGATCGAGCACCGACTTGCCGTACGACGCGGCCTTGAGGAGCGCCTTCTGCCAGTGGATGTTGTACTCGTGGGCCGCCGCGCGGATGCAGGCGTCGACGGCCTCGGCCAGGCGGGGGCGGATCAGCTGGATGAGGTCGTCGGCCCGGGGGCTCTTCTGCTCCAGCAACGACGCCGCCTCGAGCAGATTGGCGGCCGGCGAGTCGGAGCCCAGACGGAACACGGCGACCGTCTCGTCGGGCACCTTCTGCAGGAACTCGCAGACGTCGTTGGTCAGCAAGCGGATGCCGTCCACGTCCGGCAGCAGATGCACGCACGTGTCGTAGTAGAACTTGGTGGCGGCGCTGTTGGGCCCGACAACGTGCACCTCGTCCTCCCAGGCCAGGGCGACGGCGTTGGAGCCGCACCACTGCATGTCCTTGGGCACCGTCCTGACGCGGGTGTCGTACTCGCTGAGCTTCTCGCTCCAGTCGCCGCTGACGACCCACACCTTGGCATCGTCCGTGTAAAAGGCCAGGAACTCGGCGCGCGGGCTGACGCTGATGTGGCGGAAGGGGCCGGCGTCGAAGTGGCGGTCCTCGGCCTCGGAGGCGTCGACGACCCACAGCGTGCGGCCAATGGCGAGCACGACCTCGACCGAGCGCGACAGCGAGTACGCGGGCGGGACAATGTGCCACGCGACGACGGGGTCGGCGGGCGGGATGGCGAGCAGCTTGGGGCGCGGCTCGGCGTACGAGGCCACCGAGACGAGATGGTTGTTGGCGAGCAGGGCGACAAAGCCCGTGTTGTAGAAGCGACAGGCGACGACGCCGTGCTGGTCCGCGTCCTGCAGCCGTCAGCCGTCAGCCGTCAGCCGTCAGCCGTCAGTATGGGCCGGGGGAGGGGATGCGCACATGGCCCAGGGTGAAGGGAGCAAAGTCGCCCTGCAAGTCGCCGTAGCAGCGCACGGTGCCGTCCTCGGTGACGACCAGCAGCTTCTCGTCCTCTGCCCAGCCGAGGCCCTTGATGGCGCCCTTGTCCCACTGCAGCCGTCAGTCTCAGTCTCGTGCTTGTGCTCGTCGTCTGTGCGGCGCGCGCCCTACGTTGATGCTGCGGATCAGCTTGCCCGCGCAGCTGTACACGTCGATGCTCGCCCTGCCCGCGCCGGGCCCGCGGTATGTGTGCAGCTTGGCGTCATCGCGGTAGATTGCTGCATCCCCATCAGCACACACACTCGTCGTCTGGGCGGCGTCGGCGCGCGTGCCTACCTACTGCGCCGCTGTACGGCGCCCCAACCACCTTGTAGTTCTCGAGCTCGAGGTCCGCGTCGAACACGCCCGTGTACAGCTGCACCTTGCGGTAGAACTTGTCGCCGACCTTTTCCCAGTTGGCGGTTGGCTTCGACATGCTGGCCAGCCTGTCACGGCGTGGAGTGGGTGCAGTCGAGGCGCCGAGCTGGGCTGGGGTAGCTCGCCTCAGCCACACCGATGGCCAGCCACACCCTACCATGACTGCATTCACGGCATCTCACGTGATATCACTGCATTCACGGCATTTCACGTGACATCACTGCATTGACGGCATTTCACGTGATATCACTTCATCCGCTGACGCTAGTTATGTAGTTGGTTGCACTCACACTCACGCATCTGCCACGTGATGGCTAACACTTCATCCACTGACGCTTGCACGTGAAAATCACTATCCACTGACGCTTGCACGTGATAACATTCAACTGCGACGCTTGCACGTGATGATAGTTAACTGCGACGTTCGCACGTGATAACATTCAACTGCGACGCCTGCACGTGATGATAGTTAACTGCGACGTTCGCACGTGATAACATTCAACTGCGACGCCTGCACGTGATGATATATGCCTGCACGTGATGATATCCATCCACTGACGCTACCCAGTCTATATACTGTAAAACCAACCCAATCCAACGCCGTCGCTGCATGCATCCATGGCCATTCCCGCGCTTTTCCAAGTACAAACCCAACAACGCTACTCCTAATGCCCGCCCTGGTCGTACCCAGTCGCGTGCTTCAACGCATCCCCAACACCAAACCGATCCACGTCGGTGCCAACCTTCTTGCGGAACAGCCCCAGGTCGCTCAGAAACGCCTGCGCCTCGTCGTGCAGCTCCTGCGCCAGCTCGTCATGCTCGTCGCCCTCGTCAAACCCAGAGTCTGACCCCGCGTCGCTGCCTTCTTCGTCAGACGCTGCCTCGTCGTCGCCGTCCATCCAGTCTTCGCGCTCAAAGTCCGGTGTGCCGACCGCCCTGGGCGGCGGCAGCACAATGGGGTTCTTGAGCTCTCCCACAGCGAGCGCGAGATGGCGGCGCAGCGAGTCCATCTCAGCGCGCAGCTGCACATTGGCCGGCCGCAGCTCCTCCACTTCACTCGTGAGGGCCTTGATCTTTGCAGCCGAGACCTGGCGGTTCTCCTCCATCAGCCGGTGCATCATCGACACCTGTCGCTGGTACTCCTCCAGCTCCGTCGCCTCCTCCCGCTTGCGCTGACTGGCTGCATTGACGCTGATCTGCAGGCTGCGGATCTGCTCCGACATCTCGGCAATCTGCGCGTCCCGTTGCGCCGCCGACATGCAGTCCTGGTTGACCGACGCGCGCGTGCGGATACGCTTGGCCTGGTCGGCGTAGCGGAGCGTCGACAGCGTCTCCTCGTAGTCTGCCGGCGCAATGCATGCAACCATGGCCGTCTTGGAATTTCCACCAAGCGAGTCCCGGAGCAGCCACGTGAGCACCGAGTCGCGGTACGGAATCACCTGACGCTGCTTCTTGCTCTTGCTGTCCTGCCCACGTGCCGCCAGCGCGTTGATGACCCGGCCCAGGGTGCTGAGCGACTTGTTGATCTGGCCGCCCTCCTTGAGCTGCTGCCCGGTGGCCTGCGTCGACTTGGCACGCTCTGAGCCCGCGAGGTCGACGAGACGCATGCGCGCTGTGCGCTCAATCGTCTCGTCCGACGTGATCGAGTGCGTGATTTGCTTGAGGCGAATGGTAAACACGGCGTGGGAGCGCGACGACGTGTCGTTCATCTTGGTGGCCGCCACCGTTCGGCTCTGCGTGCGTGTCAGTACATTACCGTCGGCAGAACCGGGGGTCCACGTACGCTGTCGCCCTTCTTCAGATGGTACGCGATCTCGGCGTAGCTCTTGGCCTCCTCCTCGCGCAGGCCCTGCACGTAGACGCCGTCCTTGGGGCTCTCGCGGATCTTGAGGTAGACGGGCGGGACCGTGGGCGGCGCGAGCAGGTCGCGCACGTGCTCGTTGTAAACCTCAAAGTACGAGACCTGGACGTGGTAGGTCGTGTCAGGCTTCGGCTCGTGCTGGATGCGGTCGAACAGCTCCTCGCAGGTCCGCGGGATCAGCCCGGGGTTCTCGTCGGTGCCCATCATGGTGTAGCTCTTGCCCGAGCCCGTCTGGCCGTACGCAAAGATGCACGTGTGGTAGCCGCCGAAGTTGTGGTCGAGGAACTCCTCGCCAAACGACTTGTACACGTCCTCCTGCCCGGCGTAGTGCGCATCGCTCTCGTCGTGCGACCAGAAGGAGCGGTCAAACGTGAACTGCTTGTCCTCGACGAGCGACTTGCGCTGGTCCTCGGCATCAGGCTCGGGCGCGTGCAGCGTCGTCTTCTCAGTCGCGGGGTCCATGCGGATCAGGCACCGGGTGCCCTTCTCGCGCTCTGCCAGCAGTCAGCCTCGGGCCGCCCTCCTTGTTCGGCGCTGTTGCTACGCACCTCGCTTCAGGAACGTCCGGCATCGCACCACCACCTTGATGTTGCCCGGGTCGTCTTGCGTGGGCGGCGCCATGGTCGCGTACGGGTCGGCAGGCGGGGCGCGCATGGAAACCGCCGAGGCGGTCGTGTTGTGGAAGCTGGAGTACATTCGCGGGTCGAGAAAGTCGTGCAGCAGCGGATAGAGCGCGGCCAGTGACTGCTGCGCCCGGGCGATATAAAGCAGGTGCATGGGCGCGGCTGCTGGCGCTCGCGACGGCGCTCGCACGGCCCTGCCACCCCAGCCTCGTCCCGTATCCAGTCAAAAGTAAACACTGCGGGCGCGTCCCGTTGCTGTGGCACTAAGCGACGTCACCGCCTTGGCGCGCCCACCATCAATCAGAGGCCGACACGACTGCGGGCAGAGGACTAGACGCCTGTGGCGACTGGTTGCGAGAGATGGGGCTCTTGATCGATGGAGCTGCAGAGGATGCGCCCATTTTGATGCAGGGTCGTGATAGATTGCCTCTCCGCCCGTAGCGACCGCGCATTCCTTGAGGTGCTGGGAGACGAAAAATTGCCCGCATGGTCTGCCGCAAAATTAGACTGAGTCTTCACACCATGCCCTCGCACCTGACCCTGGAATGCATTCACATGCGCTTGTCTGCTTAGCTAACCAGCCCCTCTCACGACGTTTTTGGACATGGACGACGCCATCCTTTACATGAGCGATGAGTTGAAGCTCAAGGCGTTCGAGCTCAATTGGGCAAAATTGCAACCTCCTGCACGTCTGAACATCGATGCGGTTAGACTGTGTGTTCGACTCCTGCCCGAGCTTGGCGACCAAAACCGCGAGTCACATGAGAGGCTCAGAGACCTTCTCCTGCACCGGATGCGGGATGAAGAGCAGGACTCGCAGTACCTCTACCAGCTCGCCGAAGCTTTGACCAGCAACGCGTCGTTCGCTGTGCTGTTCTACGCATCGATCTGGAAAGCGGTGCTTGACGCTGCTCCGTGGTTTCACCAGCTCGGGAAGCAGCTGGACCCTGAATGGCAAAGCTTACCTGCAGAAGAACGCATACGACAAACGGCGGCCTTCCTCGCATTCCTGAAATGCTCCTTCTGGTTGCCACCGGACAGCTTGCATGTTGTCGGCCCTGGTGAATCAAGGATACTGACGTCGTTCATTGGCAGAGAGGGCCTAGCGGAGCCTGCGCTCGACGCGCTTTCCGCCCTCCTGGCACTGTCCAGTCGCCAGCCTCAGGAGCCAATACACACTTCCAACCTTGTAAGCCATGGAGTCTGGGCGAAGCTGGATCCCGCGTCCGGGAGATACGTCCTGGATGGGTCGCTCACCTACACTTCTCTCTGGTCCCAACTCAAGACCCTCAGCCTCGCACACTTCGAGACCAAGTCGAGCAAGTTGTTCAGGGTCTGGTTTCAGTGGATCTCGCAAATAGTCAAAGAAGACCTCCTCGTGGAGGACGGCGGCATACACCAAGAGCTCTACTGGGACAGAGTGAGGACTGGTCTGCTCACTGGGTTCGCTGACCAGCGCAAGTACTGCCTCGGGATTATACGTGCTTCTTTGCTCGCTGCCAAAACCGACATTGACACTCACACAATGTGCTTGCAGATTGACGAGCGTGATACTTACATCAAAGCCTACGATCGATACTTTGTTCTCTACGAGACCATCGTCCTCGACCGCTACGCAAACCAGATCGAAGCCTGTCTCCCAGAGCTTTCGGCACTGTTCGGCCCTCAGTCTACTATCACTGCTTCCATGGCAACAACTCTACTCTCTTCCGGTTTGGATCCCCAATTACAAGAAGGCATCCGCAAGATCATTGGCAACTGGTACTTTAGCTTCATGAGTGGTGACCAGAGTCCCCTCTCCAAGGACGCGGAGACTTTGGCCGAACACACAGACTTCCTCGTGAGAGGCTTCCTGCCGTGGGCCACTCAAGGCAGTCTTTTCACTGCGACTTTGAAAGCGAACCGCACAACTACGGAGTGCGGCCATGGTGCAGCTCTTGTCAAGCTCATCGCTCGCTTCGTCACATCAAAGTTTGCAGATGACAAGTACCGCGAGCGACTGCTCGTCTCCATCTTGAAATATGTGCTCGATACAGGAGGCAAGATCTTCCAGATGTCAATTCTATACCTGCTGGAGGGACTCATCGCAGGCTATGACACAGTCTCCAAAGACAGCGGTAAGACTTCCGCCCCCCTTCTTCCATCTTGAGACGGCCCGTCATACCTTGCTGCAATGCTGACAAGTTCAATCAGGAAGCACTCAGCTTACTCAACAAGCCGTGGAAGTCATCCTCCGCATCTCGAGAACTCCTGGCCTTCCAGAGGTTGCCACTGACCTTTACAAAGTCTATTGCAGGCGACTGTGCGAGTTTGCCGCCCCCCACGTAGACTTGGCCTCGGTGCCGGGCTTTGAAGCATTGAGCGACCGGGTTGAACAGCTCAAGGCGATCGAAGCTGCGGCCGAGTCGACTTTGGTCGACTACAGGCTGGCATCGGTGCCTCATTTCCTGGTGACACTGCGACAGACAAAGCACGCATCCATTCAGGGCTCCGCCTACGCGATAGCATGCAGTCAGCTTGCAGACTACTTTGACAACGCCGAGCCCACGTCAATCATTCCGGATGAGCTTCACGCTGCACTGGAGGCGATGTGGGAGGAAGCAGACCGCAGGGAGTTCAACAGGTCCGTTGCCATACATCTGCCTACCCTGCTTTTTCACCCGGTCTGCATCCAAGTCTGTTTGAAGGAGAATGTAGAGGCCTCGTCGACAGGCAGCCTCACAGCTCTTCTGACCAAGGCTGTGGAGACATTGCAACGACTCTCCGAAGGGCGCTCGTATGTCCTTGCCAGTTTTGCTACGTCCCTGCGAAGGGCTGCCTTCTCGTACCCCGCCATTATTGAGGTGCTGCCGTATGAAGACGTTATCCTCCGCTTCCTGAACCATCCACCGGCCGCAAAGTCTGAGTTCCTGTTCGAAGTGGCTGCTGCACAAAAGCTTGAGCGCTACATACCTCACCGAACCTACGGCTTTTACTATGGTCAACGCGAGTGGCACGCGTACGCCGCCTGGATCGACCTCCTCAATCGTTTTCCAGAAGAGCAGAAGCGCGTTGCGAAACGTGTGTTCGACAGGCTCCTTGAGCCCTGGGCTGGCCAGAAAGGATTCGTCCCTGTGATCGCCAAATGGAAGGACGTCTTCCAGCTGCAGGCCATGCTCGTACTTGTTGAGCATTGCATATCCGAGAGCGATGCAGACGCATACCTCGACAACTTCATGCACGCTCTGACTGTCGAGCAATGGCCGCGCTACCGCTTCGTTCTCGAATGGATCATCGCGCGCATTTACTTCCATTACCCCAACAAAGCCCATCGCATTCTCAAGGATCTGGCGCATCTCGACGAAAGTAGCCCAATCCACATCGCATCGCTGATGAAGCTTGCAGTCCTCACTGCACCTTTCTTGGGTTCGGACGAGTTTGCACTCAGCCTCATCATCCAGCTCATCCCCTTCTCGGCCAGCCAGAAAGTGCACATCAGACACGAAGCTCACCTCTGCTTTCCCATAATCTTCGAGCTAGCCGAACGCAAAGGCTGGACAGCCATCACCTCCAATCCCGGCTTCTCGGTGCTGAACACGCACATCCGGCAAACCGAAAAGTTCAAGACTCCGGCTTGGTCCATCAGAACGCTTAGGATTGATGCTGTTGTTGACTTCACGCTTTGCCAGATCTTCCAAGGGCAGTATCTGTACATTGAAAGTCCAGAGCCGGAGCGCGTTGCGCACGAAGACTTCGTTGCCATCGCCCAAGCCAACGACAAGACAACCATGCCACCTGCACGGATCGAACCAGGTAGCCCAAGGGTGCAAACAGCAATCCCCATGAACCCAAAGCCAGCAGAGTATGTCCTCGACGAGGACGGCGTCAAGTCCAACTTCTACCAGACCAAGTCTGGCTTCGACTTCACCTCGCTCCTCCCCGCTCCCGGAGCGCCGCACCTTCAAGACAGGCAGCCCGCGTCCGTCATCCTAATCGCCTCGCTCATCGACAACCCCACGAATCTGGGCGGTCTGTCACGTATCTCAGAGTCCTTCGGCCTGGAGACCCTGTACATCAACGACATCAAGAAGACCAGCCACAAAGACTTCAAAGCCACCAGCGTGACAAGCGAGAAACACCTCCCGATCAAAGAACTCCGGGAAGCGAGAGTACCCGCCTTCATCACGGATATGAAGAGGAAGGGCTACGAGATCGTGGGCATCGAGCAGACGGACCGGAGCGGTGTGCTCGGCGAGGACACGGCGGCGGGCGGCAAGGATGTCGGTACCCTGCCGAGACGCTGTGTGCTTGTGCTCGGGGCGGAGAAGAGCGGCATCACGCCCGAGGTTCTGGGCGTGCTGGATCGCTGTGTGGAGATTCGCACGGTCGGGGTCACGCGCAGTCTGAACGTGCAGACTGCGGGCGGCATCGCCGTGTATGAGTGGTGGAGGGAGTGGCATGGGAGGATGTGAAATGCTCCATCCACGTCGTATGCGAGACGAATGGATGCGTCGTCACGCAGTGAGGGATTGAGGGTGCGGTTTGAAATCTCCACGGCCTGCGCGAAGAGTGACAGTCCGCAAGGCCTCAGCGCGGTTTGTATGTATGACAGCACTCTCAAGTCCAGCACCTCACGCCATAAAATCCATCCAGCACCTCACGCCATAAATCCATCCATCACACTTCCCACTCACAGCTCGTGCTACTCGGATCAAACATACCTTGTCGCCAGGCAGATCGCCTCAGCGCCTCGCCCTCACGATACACAACTGCACTCCCACCACGTCCGACGACGCCACACCGCCAGCCCCACCGCCCTGGCGCCGCTCCACTTGCGTCCCCGTCCTCCTTTGCCGCTGAAAAGAGCGGTCTCACCACTAGTCGTGCGAACGACTTCGTCAAGCGGTCAAAGAGCGCCTGCCGCTCGATGAACATTATAAGTTCTTCGCTGTTGCTGTACGACAGCATCCACACCGCACTGCCCCCTGCAGCACTACCGTCGACCGCGACCCATGCTAATGATGAGCTGCTTGTCTTGATGGACTCGCCTGCCTCCTGAACTGACGGTACTGATGCTGTTGATAGCTGGAGGCTGCACTACCCAAGATCGAAAAGTTACATTCGTCATCGCTATGCTACGTACAAACGGCTCGCCGGAGCCCTTAGGGTATCTTGCAACTATTGCGTTCAACTCCTCGCATTAATCGTTACCGCATTACACTTCTTCTTCCAACTGTCCGGACGTCCCTCCCGTGGTTGAACTCATCGAATGACAACACCTTTGCTCAGCACTCTCTCGTCGTCCTCTCCGTCCTCCAACAGCACCGCTCGCCTCTCCGGCTTGTCGATCCTGACACACCACAAGAAGTAGTCCTCCAGCGGTAGCAAGTTCAGAAGCACGCGATTTCCAGTCCACGCTAGTCCGCACACCATGGCGCCCGCAACTGCGTCAAGGACGAAGTGGTTAGCGGTAGCCACAATGGCTACCAGGATGACAGCGGGGTACGCAAAGCCGATAATCAAGCAGGCAAGACGACGAGCGCTTGGTAGCCTAAGCCTAAGCGTCTTTCCTGCGAAAGGTGTGCGCATACTCAAAGTTCTCGAGCGCTGGTGCTGCGCTGCCAAAGGAAGACAGCTGATCGTCAGGCCCACCAAAAGACTGTAGCCAAAGTGCAAGGACGGCATCGCTGCGTACTGGTTGCAGAACTTGTTCTGTGTCCACACTGAGCTCTCGCCCTCTGCGCCGTGCACTGTATCCACAAAGCCAAAGCTCCTTGCCTCCTTCCCTACGGCGCCAGGCACGTCTGGGTCGGACAGCAGGCGCGGTGGCATGCATGGCCAGAGTGTGAAAATTATGAAGGCGATCAGGTTGCAAGTCGCCATCGTGCGGCGGCGCGCTTCGTACAGCTTCGGCCCGGCGGGGCTGCCGTGCGGTTGGCGGTTTGGCGAGGCCGATTTGTGGTTTCGCTCGTGATATGTGGGGAGCGAGACGTGGTTTTGCATGGTTGTATAGAAGAAGAGGAACACGAGGAAGAGGATGGTGCCGGGAATGTGGATGAAGCTGTATATCCTGTTGGTCCAGTGTAGAAGCAGCGGGTGCTGGAGAAACCAGCGCTGGACATCGAGCTCGAAGAAGATGTGGAGAGATTGCTCAAGGTGTATTAGTTGCAGGGCATGGCGGCGGGCGACATTCACAGTGCCCTCGACCATTGTCACAGCGCTGAAGGCACGGCCCAGCTGGTAGACCTGCGTAAGTTAGTAGGAGTGCTGTCAAGTGTAGTCAAGTAGAAGCCTACCCAGTAGATCAGAGCCCAGTACCATGCCTCGACCAGGAAAGGAAATTTCTGGAGCAATCGGCTCAGGAAATAGTCCTTGAACCTCCTTGAGTTTGGCGATGTGACTTCTTTGCGGAATCCAAAGACTCGCAGCTCACGTGTTCGCCATTTAGGGACTTCGTCGATGCTGGCCAGCAGGGAGTCGCTTGATGATGACGAGGAGCGTCCTGACTTGGAGTCTGGCGAGACTGATCGAGGGGAGGGTGTGTGATAATTTCGTCGACCGAAAAGTTTGTAGTCTTTATTGCGATTCACCCAGGTCCCTCCGAAGAGCAAGGTCACGACGACCAACGGTTCTGCTACCGCACCAATGCCCATGTTGATGTGTGGGAACCTTCAATCGCAAAGGTGACGAGGAGCGCGACTGATATGGAGCTGCAAGAGATTGCCGGAGGGTCAGATGGGAACTCCAATCTTTTTGAAGGAGTAAGTGTGGCGCGAGCTCGTGCGAGATGGAGCAGGGTAAGCTATCCGGCGAGTCCGCGTTTGCTTTGTCGTACGTCAAGCTACCTGTGGCGCGCAGCTTGTTTGCTGTGTTTTCGCTGGCGATTCGTGTTTAAAGAAGACGCCGGACTAGTAGCAGAAGAGTCGCAGCGACAAGGTTAGGAACTAAAAGCGCGACAGGAAGACTAGCAGAAGATGACAGGACTTGGGCGACGTCCTGAAGTCAGCGGACGCTGGCGGACCAAAAGTTTGATAGCATTACAAGGTCCTACCTAGACAAGCTAGTCTACGATGTCAAAGCCTGTCGGACGAAGCTTCTTCGCGTTCATCGGTGTGCTGGAGCACGAGGCAGCCGAGATCCGGTAGGCGCGTGAGTACATGCCATTTCGAGCAGGACCATCACGTCATGCATCCACGGGAGGTCGCTGCTGCTGTGCAGTCTTTTGTCGCTCTGTTTGCATCAACATCTCAATGTTTCTGTTGCGGTTGAAGCAGGTTTTGGGGCCAAGACGCTGATTACGAGCCATTGAGCGCATGTGTTCACCGCAGTGTCGTGGTTCAAACTTCGCTCATCACAGGGCGCGCGACTCGAGCAGATTAGGCGCTAAGGCTGCAAGAAGCTTAGCTTCCAGTCGTTGCCGGCGAGTGGCTTCCGTTGATTTGCGCATCGTACTTCGATCGGAGGTTTGAGAACGCGGTCTTCCGTGTTGGCATTCTTGTCGCAGTCTGCAGTGGCTGACTTCTAGCGACTGTGCAAGGCCGGGTGCTTGCTCGTACGAATCACTCATTCATCATTACCGTAAAGCACGCCTGCGTCTCTTGACGTCAACATCACATGTGTCTCGTGGGAAGGTTTCAACGAGTACGATAGGGCTGCAGGGTACCGGTAACCTGATCAAGTGCCGGGAGGGAACGCCAACGGCTGACTGTGCTCCTGCTACTTCGTAAACGACCTCTGTCTTCAGTTGTTGCTCACACACGATACATTGCCGCTGCGAAGGGTTCTCGCTGTTGCTCGGCGCTTGAGAGGCGAAGTCTGGACGCCGCTTAGCCAGGCGCCTGGTCAGGATCTTTACGATGTCATCGTGACTTTGAAACTTGAATTCCACGCTCAGACTTCCGAGTAGCCAGCCAATCATTACGCGCCTCCTCCGACACCATATTTCACACCGCATGGGAGCCCTTGCAAATCTCTTGTGCTGTCAATCGGTCACCAATGTGCTAAATTGCATAAACAGTCTTGATTGCGCCCTCGAAGCAGAGCAGTGGTGTCCCAGCCAAAGAATACGAGTGGGAAGCGCCCGCTCCCCGTATGCTATATCACAAAAGAAATCACCTTGTGAATGTGCGCCTGCCGAGTATGCTAATGCCATGAAACGCTTCTGCCCAAATTAACAATGCATGCTGAAGTGCTTGGAGATGTGTAGTGCTCAGTCTGATTTGCTGAACGCCCTCCAACGCCTCGCTGGACCCAAAGAAAGTAGGAGAGTGCGGCAACGTGCCGAGAAGTACCTGCAGGAAGTAACGGCAGATAGATGTACAAGTGAAATGGCGACGATCAAGATATTACCAGCAAGGTGCGATCATACCCTCACGCTCGAGAAGGGATCAGACTCCTGCATGTCCTCGAACAAGCAGTCCACGTTGGCGATGTATTTCCCCAGCATGCGCTGCTTCTCCTCCTGCGATCGTATTGGCTTGCCTGTGATGCTCTTGGAGCTGTCTGTGCTTCCTCGTCGTTCGAATGCGCTGGTGAGTTTTCTCGAAAGTGGAGGCGCTTCTGGTAGCAGGTAGAAGTACAGGAACTCCAGCACCGTGACCTTGACGCTCTGTGTTGTCTCCTCGTCGCTCTGTAGGCTGGTGATGGTGAGCAGACCGTCCATCTGCTCGAAGACGCGGGTGTTCTGAGGTGTGGCGAGGAGTGCTGTAACGAGGACGAGGATCGCTTGGGACTGGATGGCTGGGCAGTTGTACGGATCGAGAAGATCCAGGAGGAGGTTCATGTAGACTTCACGGCCGAACAGAATGCGTGACGGCGGGTGCAGGAGGAGTAGTCCTTGGAGATTTGATAGCGCCGCGAGGATGAGCATGTCGTTTTGGCCATCTGAGTGATGTTAGCTGAGTGCAAGACTGGCAGGGTTGAGCATTACTCTTACTGCTGCCCATGCCGAGTAGCCGCTCCAGGCAATCTGCGACTCGTGTAGTGACTGACGCATTGTTAGCGTATGTCTCTCGTCTGATCTCACATGAGATGCGTACCATTCCACTCGAATCCATCTTGAAGACGAAAGAACTCTCGAAACGCAGGGTCTTCAGACAGCTCTCCTAACTTCTTCGGCTCGTCGTTCTGCTCGCTTGCGTTGATTGCGGATTGATTTCGCCGATGCTCAGGCCTGGCGGGCTTTGCTTTGCTTCCGTCAAGGCAGATGTGCGCGAGCATGCCTTCGATCTGGCGCAGCCCCTTGCGAATCTTGGCCGTGTCCTTTGATGCAATATTGTCAAAGGACAAAGACAGCAGCGCCTCCATCCTGAAACGTGGAGCTACTTTGTCGCAATTCGGTAGCGAGCGCTCGGTCGACCTGCAGCGCATGCAATAGTAGTGATGTAGTGGTGAGATGGTTCTTGGATATAAAGTCGGGCGCGCAGCAGGGAAAGTTGAGGGCGCGTGCAGCTAAGAGTTGGCAAATGCGGAGAAGGAGGTTATCTTGGGCTGGATGCGCCTTGAAATTGGACGTCGGGCCTGACTAGGAATGGCCGTGCGGGAGAGCGCTCGTTCAGCTGGCGCCTCGATAAACAACCGCTGATAGCTGCGTTGCTGTGGTGAGGCCCCACTTCGCTTGCCGCGCGGATGCGGATGCGACCTCACCACCTCGCGATGGGCTGGACGCAGCGACAACTCATCGTCCTCGACCACCAGCCCCTGGTCTGTCACCGCTTCGCTGGCGTTCTTCTCATCTTCGAGTTTTCAGCTCAGCCCAACGTGACATCATCGTATCGCTGGGCAACCACGGCCGCCCCGAGCGCCCCACGTGCAGTCTCGCGCGCGGCAACGACCAGTAGTCAGCATCACGAAACTTCGCAGACTGCAGACACTTTCCCATCGATTGCACGAAGCGAGGTTGGCCTGGCGCACTGTCTCGCGCGTCTTCAGGGCCGCCGACGCTCCGTGAACCGTCCAGCACACGTGAGGTCCGCATGATCTAATGCCCGCGCAATCGCCATAGCTGCACGGCGCAGTTGCAGACGCTGCGCATCGTATGAAGAAAGGTAGCGATGAGGGTGATGATGTATGAGCACTGATGTATACCTCCCCTGGTTGTTTGGCGGGGTTTTGCATGCAGCTCGACCATGGTCCTCAACACCCTCAAATAGCCATGAAGTATACCTTAGCAATCAGTCGAACGCGATGTAAAAGAGCTGCACTCCTCTTCAGCACTTCGTGACCGCCGTTTCTCGAGCTTCAGTCTCGCAAGCACGGTCCTCAGCTGCAAATCGATGGCTGCTCCTCAGGACTGTGATATTGTTGACATACCACTGCGAAGAACTGGACCAGATGCCGCGACCTTGGACGAGTACGAGCGTGAAGTCGCGAAGGACAAGGGAGCCAGTACTAAAACGAGCTCTCACCGTTGGAATATGACGATACTAACATTTCCCAGCAATCTGGTGGCTCGTCCTCGTACCTATCACGGTCATACGTGCCGCACTCCTGGTGCCAATCGTCTTTTACTGGCAGATTGCACGCAATCACGATGCTATGATAACCTCTCATATTGATCTCCCGCAGAAGTTCGCATCACCCATACCTTCAGTGGAGCATTCCGCTGCGACATGGAGCACGGTTCTCTTTTACTGGCACTCCGCGATAGTAGTACCGTGCCTCACGTCTGTCGTGGCGCCCTTTAATCTGCCCATCGCAGTCGTGGACACCGTGCTCGCAGCATACCTCTCTAACATCACCAATCGACAAGAAGCCTATATTCCATCCGAGTACCGGTTCTGCCGCGACCTGCGCGCATGGGATCGACCATGGAAAGCTGACAATGGCTACTTCGTGTTCGCAGCAGAGCGAGCTGGCAGAGAACACGACGCCGGGTATCTATGTAGCACCTTCGTGCGAGAGTGGCAGTATGGAGTGTCAATAGTGTACGTACCACCGTTCACTGCAAGCTGTCTTGGCTAACGAGAGCGATAGGGTCTTCTACTTCTTGCTTGCCGCCCTGGAATGGATGGCCTTCTTCATCATGGCACCCTGCGTCCGGTACCAGATCGCACCCCAAAAGCGAAACTTGATCAGAGACTTCAGAATTCTATGTATGATCCCGTCAATGGCCACCACCCTCATCATCTCAATATTTCACCATATACCGAAAGTCCTCTTTCGCGCATGCTTGCCCACTACTGTCAAGTGGAGAATCCGAGCAGGACGGCGATTCGCCATCAAATTTGGCACGGGCGTCGAACAGAAGACCGAGACTAAGTTGCACGCCTGGAATAGCAAAGCAAGAAAACGATACATCGATGCCGACCCAGAAGGACCAGTACCTCCGCTTGCAAAATTCCTTAGCAATTACGATGCTCTAATCCTATTGATAAAACAGCTACATTATGCTGATGTGCTGACGCTGGCCCGGACCTGCAAGAGCGTCCGAAGTGTCGTGCTCCCATCTCACGACTTTGACCGCCGCCACACGGTCTTCTGCAGATATACGTGCGACGAGTCTAAAGAACGCTGCTGGCTGTGTGTGAGCCAAATCTGCGAGGTATGTAGTCTACTCTTCGTTCAAACCATCTGCCTATGCTAAGCTCTTGCGTCAGACGTGCGAAAGCCCAATGTTTATGGCACGACAGAACCTAGACTGGCATCTCGAATCTTGTCTACCGTACTGTGACCCTTGCTATCAGCAGTGGATCCTTCAGCGCCGTCAGACGGTCGCATTGAAGTGGTATCCTTTCTGCCGATGTAAGCCCGTCCCTGACCAGAGTTTGAACGCGTGTGTTTGGCAAGGGCGACAAAAGTTCCACACGACACCACAAATAAAGTCTCTTTGTCGCGACTGCAGGAATTTTGATCCAGCTGAGATACTCAAGAGAAGGGAGAAGCGGACAAAGTCGGAGCTCAGACACGGCCTGACTACGAACGGAGAGGAATGGACAAAGTGCGGCAGACCCGAATGCGACAACGACCTAAGCCGTGCGGGGCCACGGTGGTGGGTATGTCGCAACGACAGGTGCAAGAAAGAGTGCACCAGCTTGGCTCACGATGCATGGCGTCGATCACGGCAGAGTGAGGTGTCCACCAAAGGCCCTTGGTACTCCAGATGGTACTGCCCAGTCCCTGCACCTCACCAGCCCACGGCACAAGTGGCAGTCTGACGGTCAGACGGTCTCTGCACACAGCGTTAAGCAGCAGAAATAGCGACTGTCATGTTTTCATTCTTATACAAACTTAATAATCGCTCAGTGACCTACCAGAGCCTGATGCGCAGGTCCATACCTGTTTCCTGCCGGTTTTGCAGCATCGATGATCTTCCGCATCTCACTCTGCTCCTCATCTGTCAGCTCCACCTCCCGACTAGCAAAGTTCTCCTCCAACCTGCTCGCCTTGGTCGTCCCCGGAATCGCAATCACACCTTGAGCCGCGACCCAGGCAAGCGCAACCTGCGGCGTCGTGCACCCCTTCCTCTGTGCCAGCTTCTTGACTTCCTCCACGGTGGCCTTGTTCTTGTAGAAATTGCCACCCTGGAACTTCGGCACGCTCCGGCGGAAGTCCGTGGGTGCAAAGTCGTCTGGCGATGCGTAGTCGAAGTTGTCGACCAGCCAGCCGTGACCCAGCGGACTGTAGGCGACATATGCGACACCCAGCTTCTTTGCGGTGCCGATGAGGCCGTCAGTCTCATGAATTGTCTCAAACGCAGAGTATTCAGCTTGCACGGCGTCGATCTTGGCGATGGCATTCGCTCTGCGCAAAGTGGAGGCTGAGCACTCGGAGAGGCCGATGTATTTCGTCTTGCCGGCCTTGCGGATCTCATCGAGCGCTGTGATGGATTCGGAGAGGGGGAGTGTTGGGGTCGATACGGTGTAGATAGTAAAGATCAGGCGTGAAGCCTAGGCGCTCAATGGTTCCTTCAATGTACTCCTTGATATGGCTCGCAGAGTTCGTGACACTACGCTCGCCGCCGAAGCACTTGAAGCCGCACTTGGAAGCGATGAAGACCCGGGCGCGGACATTGTGCTTCCTGACGAAGTCGCCGAGTAGCTTCTCGTTGACGCCGGCTTGGTAGACGACTGCTGTGTCCCAGAATGTGCAGCCTAGCTCGATGGCCTTGAAGAGTGTCGCGGAGCAAAAGGTCAACCTTTTACTCCCTTGAGTAAGTTCGTCTTAACCGTGACAAGGAGGACTGGCTCGGCTTGCTCCAGCGTGAGGTCGCTGCCCAGGCCAAAGCTTAAGCCCATGGCACCGAAGCCCGGAGAGTTGACCGTGAGATCTTGGAATTGAAGCGTCTTGACCATCTCGCTGTTCTGGATCGCAGAGACGAGAGAAAGGGGTGGAAAGTACAGGATTGACTGCTCAAACTCGCAGAAGGAGATCACTTGAATACTGTTCTCTACATTCCTAAACTCCTAAAGCTATTCTAAACACCATCTTTGCCGTGCCTCTCGCACAGCTCATCAAGTTGCAAACCGCACAAAGTGGCACGTCAACCGGTTATATGTCGGGTTATCGGGGCGCATTAGCGTGAAGTGTAGGTCTGCACAGGACGGTGACATGTGCTAGCCTTGAATCTTGGGCATACCTATGTACATTCCAGTGGATAGCAATGAGTAGTCGCTGACAGGCACAAGCCAGCCCTTTACCAAGTACACCCGCAAATGCTGGAATGCGAGTACGAGGCCGATTGGACAGGATGCTATTTGAATTGGGGTTCTTGAAAACTCGTTAAGTCCGATACCCCCGCTTCAGCAAGGAATTTTGTCTTCCGCGTTGATGAGCCTCATCGAAGCGGCTGTAAGTAGGCCCTTATCGCCATACGGAGATAGGTCCGTTTTCCGGAGCAAGGCCGTCTCGATTCGGGCCCGTTGCTACTTCGCGTTCATACGTCGATGTGATGATCTATGGATGAACGACGTCATGGATTCAGGAGCACCATGAGCACCTGAAGACTTCCAGCGTAAGATATGGAGTACCTGAATGGTGCATACAGAAGACTTAAAGCCGGCGTACGATCCCGCGTGCCTGCTCTGCCCGCCGTCACAGATTTTCACTCCTGGAGGTGTGACCTGGAGCAACACCAAGTCCCACTTCTTGCCGCGATCGGTATAGCTCTGCTACTTAGGCCGTGTCACTAATTGTAATTCCAGACCGCTATCAGTCGTAGGCTTACTGGTAGCAATGAACACCCTTGACGTCAACGCGCCCACACTCCTGGTGCGTCATGTCTGGCCAGTCTCTGCCATGCAACGTCCGATAGCTTTCGGTGGCAGACGGACAAAGGATGCGGTCAAGTCAGAGCGGTGCGGGTCTATAAGATAGACAGGCTCGGCCACTTTTCACACCGCCCAAATCTACTCAATTCAACTCAAACGATTTTTTAAACAAACACAGAATCTACCACATTACATCACATATCGACACAATGTCTGACTACAAGTTTGAGGGATGGTGCGGCCACTCGCCAGAAGCTGCGAACGGCAAGATGAGATGGGGGGAGTACGAACCCAAGAGCTTCACGGACGATGATGTCGATATCAAGATCTCCCACTGCGGTATCTGCGGCTCTGACCTACACACTCTGCGATCCGGCTGGTACCCCACACCCTACCCCTGTGTCGTCGGCCACGAGATCATCGGCAAGGCTGTCAAGGTTGGAAAGAACGTCAAGCACGTCAAGGAGGGCGACCGCGTCGGTGTCGGTGCGCAGGCAGCTTCCTGCTTGAAGCCTGACTGTGCCCGGTGCTCCGACGGCTTTGAGAACCACTGCGGCAGCATGGCTGCCACATACGGCGCCTTCTTCCCTGGCGACAAGAAGGAGAAGACATATGGCGGATACGCAAACTACAATCGCACGCCCGGCCACTTCGTCTTCAAGATCCCGGATAACATTGAGAGCGAGCACGCAGCGCCGATTATGTGCGGCGGTATTACGCTTTACAGCCCGTTGAAGACGTACAACGCAGCTGGCAAGAACGTTGGTATTGTTGGTCTTGGAGGATTGGGCCACTTTGGCGTCCTGTTCGCGAAGGCACTGGGCGCAAAGAGCGTGACCGTCATCTCGCGCTCGCATGCAAAAGAGGAGGACGCAAAGGCGCTCGGCGCAGACAAGTTCATCGCCACCGGCGACAAGGGCTGGGAATCAGGAAATAACGCCTCTTCGCTTGACCTAATCGTCTCAACCGTTTCCTCTGACAAAATGCCTCTGGCCGGCTACCTCAGCCTCCTCAAGTTCCGCGGTACCTTTGTCCAGGTCGGCGCGCCTGAGGACCCACTGCCGGCATTCCAGGCGTTCGCGCTCATCCAGAAGGCTATTCACATCACTGGCTCGGCCATCGGCGCGCCAAACGAGATTGTGGAGATGCTGAACCTTGTCTCAGAGAAAAACATCAAGCCCTGGACGCAGAGCGTTCCTCTTAAGGAGGCCAACCAGGCCATCATTGACTTCGAGGCTGGCAAGCCTAGGTTTAGGTTCGTTCTCAAGAACGAGAACTACTCTGATTAGACATAGACATTTGATTTTAAACGAATGAATGAAAGTAATGATGCCACTTTATGAAGCAAACATCCCAGACACTCATGCTGTGTCGGACCATGAACGAATCGGCCCAGGGTACGTATCTGGACCCGAGCATCAGTCTCTGCCCGAGAAGATCTACAAGATGAACAGTGGACAACCACGGATGGATAAGTCAAGAGTTCCACATCGCATCGACCGCCTCGCCTTCACTGCAGTCAAAGTAGAGGTGAGTCTGTTTGTTTGCCACCGCAATCCAAGGCAGCAACACCCCATTTACTATACTACCCCAGACCACATCATTTCCTCTCTACCTCAACCACAACCCAGAACTTGACAGCCCATCATGGACAACAACGACATCTTCTTCGACGACCCAAGCCCTCCCTCAGGCAGAGGCCAGCCCTACAAATACACCAAGCCCGCCGACGACTTCCGCCCGCTCCCTCCCTCCAGCACCGCCGTCCTCTATCTGGCCATCATCACGCCACACACAGACAAATACGAGATCCACGGCCCCGCGCCCTCATTCTCACACCTCCTCCCCAAAATCGCAGAGCTCTGCTCCGACTCGCCGCCCGCGCTCGACAAGCTCGAAGACCTGCAGTACACGGCGGCAGACGTGTGGGACGAGCGCGTCGCGAAGCCGCACTTCGCGGAGCAAGGGTTCACTACGTTTGTCGTTGAGGGTCAGCGCGGGACGTACACTGTGCTCGAGGTCCTGCGTGAGGAGAACGGCAGAGTGCGCGACGTCCTCCCCGCGCCGGTCTACACGGTCACGCGCCACGGGCCGCTTGTGCATACGTACACGGGCGTAGGTATGAAGATGAAACTCGATGTTGCCAAGGGCATGGCGGCGACGAGTACACTAGTGGGTAGCTATGTGGAAAGGAAGGATGCGCAGCTTGCGGCGAGGATGACGATGGAGTTGCTGGTGGGTGAGGAGAAGGTTAGTGCGATTGAGGACTGGGCGGCGGGTGGCGGTGGCGGCGTATTGCTTGCGATGGGGGTGGGGAGGAGGTGGGAGGTTAGGGTGCAGTATGAGGATGAGGCACTCAGACGGGCGAGGAAGGGCGCGGATGCGGAGGGTGCGGGGGTGGGATGGCGGTTCTGAGGCTGGATGGAGGGGGGATTGGGTGGGGATGGAAGTGGAAACGCTTCGAGGACTCTCAGGCCATCAGGGATCAGCCAGAGTCAAGTTGGGGTGGAGAATTTGTACAAGACCACGGAAATTGGTATCTTAAATAACCCAGAACGGCCTCCGGAACTCGATGTGCCTGTGCTTTTGTCTCTCGAAGAACGCCATGGCGCCGTATGCATGCTCACCCTACCACATCGCCCTCTAGTGCTTGTTCGCCCTCCTCGCCTTGCCGGGCCTCGCCTTGGCCGCACCGCCGGTCTTGCCCTTCATCTTTCTCGACGAGAAGCCGCGGCCGTCGCTGGTCGACTCGGATGTGTTGCTCTTGGCGTGTCGCTTCTTGCCGCCGAAGCCGAACTTCTCGTTCTTCTTGTGACGCTTGTTACCGCCCGCTCGGTCTTCGCGGCGGTCGGGCTTGGAGTCATCGGCCTCGAGGCCGATGTCGAAGAGGTCTTCTTCGTTGGTCTTGGTGATGTCTGCGCCCTGGCGTTCTGGGAGGTGTTAGCATGTGATCGACATCATTGATTTGGATCTGGAAGACGCACTCCTCTTCAGCAGGTTGATCTGCTCCATCGTGTCCCTCTTCTCCTTCGCGCGCTCCTGCATCTTGGCAACCTGGACCTGCTTGCCGAACTTCTTTAGGTCACGCTGCTTGCGCGCTTCGGCAGACGCCTTCTTGCCCGCCGCCTCGTCGATCAGCTTCTGCTTGATCTTGCCCATGTGCTCGTCGCTCTTGACCATCTCGGCGAAGTAGTCTGCCGGCCGCGAGAACGACACGCCCTCCTTCTTTAACCTGCCTCGCGCATCCTTGACCGAGGACAGGCACTGCTTGTAGAATGCCAGCTCGCGGTTCAGGTCGTCTTCGACGTCGGCGATCTCGACGGGCTCGGTTGTGGTGACGGACTGGTACTCTGAGAAGGCGAGCTTCGAGTATGGCAGCTCTATACGTTTCACGGCGGCGGTGAGAGCGGCGGTGTTGTTGATCGTCAGGCGCTGGTGGGGAATGATGTCGCCCTTGTCTTCGGAGGCGAGCGACTCGATGTCAGAAAGCGGAATGTCCTCTGCCTCCTCCTCATCCTCGTCCTCGTCCTCCTCATCGTCGCCGCTGACGTCGCTCTCGCTGTCCTCGAGGCGCGAGAGGTCGAATGCAGGTCGCTCTTCCACATCGTCCTCGTCATCGCTGTCGTCGTCCTCGCTGCCCTCAGTCTCCCACTCAGCCTCCTTCTCTGTCGCCTTTGCCGCCTTCTTTCCGTTCTTGGACTCCTTCGCCTTGCCATTAACCTTGACCTCCACCTCATCTAGCGGCACACCGCCCGCCTCATCATCGTTCTCAACCACCGGCGCATTCTTCGCCTTGCGCTTCTCCGCAGCCTTCTCCTTCTTGCGCTGCTTCTCGAGCGCGATGTCGCGGCCCTTTCTGGCGTCGAGGATCTTCTTGAGCTTTGCCTTGGCCATTGTATCTTGATTCGTAATGTGAGGTGCGATGCGCGGATTGTTGCGAGTTCAGGCGTCAAAGCTCCCAAGGAAAATCGAAATCAGACAAAAATAAAACTGGGGACGTACATCGACGCTGACCGCCTCCCAGTTGGGCAACAAGCCGCGGTCCGCAGCCCACGTGTGGACCTACCTTCACGCACGCCTAATCTTACCGAAGGTACCTGATGTAAGCACTTGCATTCCAAACGCTATCGACCCAGACTTCCAGGACATTTCTCCACACTGCAGTATTCCCTCCAAATCACCCAGCATCGGTCAAGCATCATAATGGCCACCCCGCAAAAACAGTCCCCAACACCCAGCGACACACCAGTACGCTCCTCCCCGGCTCCGAGACCCATCTAACCCCCGCAGTCGCCAGGCTTCAACACCAGCACAGACAGCTCGACCGAGCTCGCCGCCGTAGTCGACGATCTGCTGCACCAGCTCAACACCAAGTTCACAACCATCAGCAGCGATCTGTTGTCGAAGAGTACGTCTTTCCTTTGAACATGCACTGCACACCCTCTGCGTGCCTGATCTGATTTGATCTGGTGTAGTGGACGATATGTCGCGCCGCCTGGATAACCTGGAGTCGCAGATCCAGGCCGGCGATGGCAAGGGTCCGGGTGCGAGCAAGTAGGCATTGTCCGCGCGAGAGTCTGCGCTTACGGGGACTGCACCGCCTGCGCCTCCGGTCCCGAGGAAGTCGATCTGGAGGGGAGTTGGTCACGATTAGGGCCAGCTGATGGCGTTCATTTGGTCAGCGATGCAGTGCTTGTTGAAGAGGAGTGATAGAAACAGGTCTCTGGGAGTATCACGTCTAATGACTGCATAGGGAGGCGTATGGAGTGTTGTATAATACTTTTCGAGTTGCTATCATGATTCTATCGATACACGTTGATTCATTGTCGCGTCACAAGTGAGCCAAGGCTCTGCTTTTGCTTCCAGTACCATCTCGACTCGCTGGACGTCTTACAACTCGGTCCTCCTGTATCCAGGGTTGGGTGCTTTCGGACCTTAGAGCACATCATGACCTTGCCTCCTCCGCCCTTGCGCACGAGTCGAAATGTCTCGCTTCAGCTCACGGCTTCCTGCTGCGCGTCCATTTCCCGTTCCAGGATGCTGCGAACCTACAGCTCGCTCTTGTCGTCGGTGCCGAGGAACTTCTGGAGAATGTTGCTCCTGCTGATCAGGTCATCGAGCTTCTCGGATGCGAGGTTGCCGTTGCTGATGAGACTCTGAAGGCGCTTAGACTCCTTCGCAGCGTACTCCTTGTTCGCGCCAATTTTCTGGAAGACCTTGACGTAGTACTGGGCATACTTGTCCTGCAGAGTGGAAGCGAGAGTCGTAGCTTCCTCGACACCATCGCCGTAGGCAGACTTGAACTTCTCGATGACGGTATCGAAAGCCTCGATGGTTCCGCCAGTGGCGTCAAGACCGCCGCCGACAGCGCGGTGGGTGCCGGAGTTCTTGTTGAGGTACTGGATGAACGCCTCCTCGGAACGGCCACCCTCGTATGGGGTGGGCTCGAGGGAACCCTTCTTGAAGTACTTGATGGTCGGGTACGAGGACACGCCCTGCTCCTTGGCGAGGGCCTTTGCGTTCTCAGCTTCAGCATCAACCTTGGCAATCAGGACGTTGGGCTCGTTGACGAAGGTGCTGGCGAGAGTCTCCCAGATGGGAGCGAGGGTCTTGCAGTCTGTCGAACGTTAGCGATTGCAGTCAAAGCATAGACTCGGGCAACGCACGTCCGCACCAGGGAGCAGTGAAGGCAACAAGGACATCCTGGTCCTTTCCAACCTTCTGCTTGAAGCTCTGGTCGTCGAGGAAGGTGACGGCGCTGGGAAGCTTGCCCTTGACCTTGGGCTTGATCGATGTCTTTTCGGTGATGAACTTGGTCAAGCTCTCGAGATCACGGCCGCCCTTGTAGTCCTCAGGCGTGTCGCTCTTTCCGTCGAACCACTTCAGTGTTGGGAACCCAGTGACGCCGAAGCGCTTGCCCAGAGACTTGTGCTCGTCCGCATCGACCTTTGCGACCGAGACCTTGCCAGCGGCGTGCTGGAAGCCGGTGCCGAGCTCCTCGTAGATGGGGGCGAGGTTCTTGCAGTGTCCGCACCACGGGGCGAAGAATTCGACGAGGGCAGGCTTGCCCGACTTCAGGACGACCTCATCGAAGTTCTTGGGTGTGAGGTCGATGACGGAGGATGCGGGCGCTGAAGCGGAGGCAAGGGCGGGGAGCAGCGCGACGACCGCGGGGAGAATACGATTGAAAAGCATAACGGTGGTATGCTGCAGTCCTCAATGGCGAGTGAGGTCTGGGATGAATGGAGAGTTTGAAGTTGCGGTGGGTGGTAGGTAGCTGCAGGTAGGACGCCTTGGCGGGACGTGGCCTCTTGCCTCACACTCGAGTAAGCTGTTTCACTGACCTGACAAATCAACGTAAAGGAAGCCGTCGAGCAACGAAAGCAGGAAAGATTTGCTCTGATCACTGAACCACACGGGCGGGGGAAAAGAGCTGCTCTCGTCTTAATGTTGGGTCAGGACTCAGGGTTCAGAGCTCGGCATGGTAAATTGTGGGGTAACACTCTGTCAACCATGCATTGCAGCAGAGCCGCAAGCGGCCAAACAAGTGAAAGGGTGAAATGCTCTACATTGGGTATCAAAATGACACACTCCAGCTCGATCTTCAGGCTCTAATTCTTGTTCTTCATGAGCCTCTCAAGCATGCTCAGCCCATCATCATTGCTCTTCTTCTCTGCCGGCTGCTCTGTCGTCTTCTCTTGCGCCGTCGGCGTAGCAGCAGGCGCAGCTCCACTGCTCTTAAGCTGCGCACTTGCGCCCTCAATAGCCGCCTTCAGGGACCTCGGATCCGCGCCCTTGATTTCTTGGATTTGCTTGCCGTCCTTGAACAGCAAGAAAGTTGGCATGGCCTGGATGCCGTACTGTCCGGCGATCTCTCGCGCTTCGTCCACATTGACTTTGACGAAGCCGAAGCTGTCTGAAGCATGCGCCGTGCTGAGTTGCTCATAGATGGGCGCTATCTGCTTACAGGGCGGGCACCATGTTGCGTAGAAGTCCGCGATCACGTAGGTGTGGCCCGAGAGCAGTGTGCGGAAGTGCAGGGGTTGAGTGACTTCTGTCGGCATCTTGGTAGGTATGTGTTTGGTAGTTTGCTTCTGGTGCTCGCGAGATGTGATGAAAGAATTGGCCCTCGTTTGTGATGCGTTTGTCGGCGCTGGAAGATCTACAAGAATGGGTCGTGTGTAGTTGTGAAGTGGATCTTGCGCTACCATATACTTCAGGTGACGATGTTGTGGAAGATTCCACGTGCTTTCGTCGAGGAATCGTAGCTTGGTCTCGCCCAATCAGCATTTGCCATCTAGTCAGTCCCGCATCACTTTTACACCATTCAGCGCTGCAGCACCACATCCTCGTCGTCGTACTCAAAGTACCTATATTCATCAGGCTGCTCCCGCCTCACTTCCCTGTACCAAGGTTGCATAACCTCCCCCGCATTTTTGCGCACCTCCCTCCACTTCCTACTCTCAACAACCGCCTGAGAGTCTCTAGCCTCGACGCGGATGCGTACCGGGATAATGAATTTGACCTTTCCATCAGAGGTGTCTAACATGTATGCCTCTTCGGCGATCTCGTTGGCCAGCGACTCTCTTAGCGCCCTTGTTTCTTCCACCAGCTGCTCAGCGTACACGCCTTGAGAACGCTGGCGCAGGCGATTGTCCAGCGCTTTGGTAGTTGCATCACGATCCTGCTCTGCATGCTTCGGAGCCTTTTCCTTGTGACGCAGTGCCTTTTTCAGCTCTTCATTCTCCTCTTGCAACTTTTGCAGCTCATCGAGAATGTCCGAGTGTGCCTCCTTCGCCTCCCTGTTCAGCGTTCTCGCGCCCCTCAGCCTTCGCGCGCTCTGCTTGTGGCGCACTCCCATATTCACATTTCCCTTGGTCCAGTCCTCTTTCTCGCGGGGAGCGCATCGATGGCGACCTGGACGGAGAAGTTCTCGGACGATAGCTCTTCGTTCTGGTGCTGCAGCTGCGCCACAACACTGACTGGTCCGCCGAGGGGCATGTCACCATCCTCTGGATGTGACATCTATTAAGTGAGCGTTCGTGTGCTATTGAAAACGGGGGTAGCGTACATTGGAGGTAGTCGGTTTGGTGGTGCTGCACTGCGCCGCGTTGAGCTTGTGTGTGGTGAAAGACAATGACAGGCAGAGACCATGGAGGAAAAGCATAACGCAATGCTGCGAAGCATGCAGATAAGCGAGGTACTGTACTGGAAGATTCCGACAATCATTGCTACCCAGCACTTACTTTCACTTCCGCTGCCGCTGCCTACCCCACACCTCTGATACCTTCACGCCTAGCAAGCTCTGAAGTCCAGACTTGTGGTCAGTTTTAGCGAACACAGTCACTCGTGCTTCCAACGCTTGTTATATCGAGCCAAGAAGTGAGCGAGTTGCAACGAAGGGACTGGTGGCGGAATTTTGTGAGGTATACGCGTAAGCATGTTGTTACATTGCAGACGTCAACTTCGAATTCTTACCCATAAACGCCTCGCTATGCTCGTAAGCATGTAATATGCAATTATGTCGTCTCGCCATCGAACCAGGAGAATATCGTCGCCTCAACTAGCCACCGCCTCTACCCAAGATCTCCTCCCTCTCCAGCACCTCTGGCTTGAACTTAATCAGAAAGACCGTCTTGTCTGGCCACATCGCCTTCGTGTCTTTCCCTTGCTCCTGCTCACCGACGCTGTGAGCTGTGACGCCTTCCGTTGGGAACCCCGCACCGTCGCAGACTCCTTCGATTACGCCTGCTACGAAAGCAGCGCAGTTCAGGCTGCTCAGCTCCCTCGGTAGCGAGATGTACTGGTTGACCATGGGTTCGTTGTCGAAGAGCATGTACTGCCCGGGCTCTGTACTTGACTTTTCCAACGCATCTGCAGGCCGCCCGAAGAGGTGTCGATATAGTGTTTGCGCGATGAACTGGAGGAGTGGGAGGATTCGAGTTGGCCGTATGCTTGCCAGGGGATTCGAGGATCGCGAGAGAAGGAGGTCGAGGAGTCGCAGGCCGATTGGGTAGCCCTGTGTGTTGAGTCTGTACGCATCGGTCAGCATCCTTTCACATGCATTTGCGCATTGTATCCGGAATCCTACTTCTGCTCGAGGTCTCCAACGTTGGAAACCCCTCTTTGCGCGTACGCAATCATCTCAATGAAGAGGTACGCAAACGCCGCCCTGCTGAGCTCTGCGTTCTTGCTCCGGTTCAGATTGCGGTCGTATATGCTCTTCTTGTTCGAAGGGTACCGCAGGCCAGACCCCTGGCTTGGTGTCCCGCTCATCGTTGCGCTTCGTGCTTGTGTCACTCTCCGGTCGTGGTGCGATTGCTGCTGGATGTGGGGCTTCTGGTCAAGTGATGCAATGAATGCCTCTTCTAACGCACGTGCTGGCGGTGATCGAGGTATGTCGCGGGTGTAGTAGTGGGAGTGTACACGGAATGATGCCGGCCATGTTGAAGCTCGTCACCGCGGTTGCCGTTTGGTGGAGCGCGATGTGGGTCCAAGGGCGCGTGCGGCTCCGGGGCTATCGCCAAGAAGGAACGACATCTCATGCTTCACGACCACGAACATCCATGTCAGATCCATTCATCTAGACATGTTCTCATCGCGACCATCTAAGCACATAACCCGTTCTACCCTTAAGGAAATTTTGCCAGCTTGCACATCGCTAAACACTTCCAAAGGTCCCCACGTATATGATGCGAGGATCGGCGCTCTCCTGATGGTCCAACAACGACCATCTCTAGATAATGGTTACATCCTCTTCCTCCATGAGTATCATCTCGGGTTGGTTCTACCTTATTCAAGAACCAGCTCCACAAGCTGCTGTCTTCTGCTCTTCTAGCCTCATTCTCACAGCCAAGCTTGTGCTTTAGTACGCTCCCTTCCTTGTCGACAAGTCCCAGAAAGTGATACACACTATGCACAGCATGAGACCTACGATGACTTTTTGCGTTGCTGCGGATATAGTTTGTCATGCATTATCCATATTATCTTTCTTGCTCAGAGAGCTGCAAAAGCACTGCTCTGACCTCCCAACAGGCCTTGTAGGTATTTATCAGAAAAATTTCAGGCACGCCACCGCTCGAAGTCCTGCAGATATTTTGCCCTTATCGACTCGATGAGGGTACTGTAGGTTCCGTCAAGCCTTGTAAGTCTTCGAACGTGGCGCCAAGATATGATGCTCAGCCCGCGGCGTACTATCTGGCATTCTTGACTCTTCAACGTCCTATTCACCAGCTCTTGCATCCTCTGAAAGTGTTCCCCGTCTCTGATTCATGCCCGGGAGCCTTGACTAATTCCACAAACTACGGCCTTTATCCTCTTCGGATGCAGACCAATCACTGTGAAGAGCTCCCCACTGCCATATGTGGGGAGAAGGTGAAGGCTTCGAGGAGGCAGGAACACCCCGGTCAGCTTCCCTTCGCGCGCTTTTGATGTTAACAGCTTCTGCTGAACTGAAATCTATGTAACGACTGTTGCGCCTAACTCTGTAGATCGTTCCCGGCCTTGCGTCGTACCTCACACAGTAACCGCGCTGTACATTCATGCTTGTATGCTGGCCACGGCGTCGTACTGTGCACATTTCAGAGCGCTGAACGTTTGTGTTGGGCTTCGGCCGTAGCTTTTTACTTTTTGCTCTTGTAGCCACGAGGTACGTCGCGTGCGCGTGGTCATCGATGCAAGTCTGGGTCTCACTATCAGACCCTGGAGGCCTTCACGCATCCCAGCAAAGCTACGACCTTCCATAACGATATGTACGCACAGTCAAAACGTCAATGGATGTATAAAAAAAACAAGCCCCTAATTAATGCAAACGATCTACCAAACAATTTTGATTCACACAAGTAGTCCTAACGCTACCGAATATTTCCAGGTCGCCACCAAAGCTTTCAAGAAAGCTGAATGAAACAGAATGCCTCTAAGCGGAAACTGTGGTAGTAACGGTGTTGGTGACCGTCGCGGTAGCAGACAAAGTCATGGTAGTCGTGACCGTGACGCGTCCACTTGGGGAGACGAGGCGGTTGTACGCTGCACAATGTCATTAGCTACTAATGTTCAGATAACAACAAGAACGAACTTACCATTGCTACCCCGCATCAGAACCTCAAACTTGTCACCGTCATCATCGACGGGACCACGTTCCTGGCCGTTGTTTGTGGCCTGCGCAGCGCTCATGGCGCTACGGAAGAGGGCGCAACGCACGACGACGTTGGCCTCAGGGTTGGGACACGCGCGGCCAGGGGCCAGGCTGGGGTGGCGTTGGAAGTAGATGTTGACTGCAAAACGAATCAGAGTGGTTCGGTACATCACTGGAGATGGATAACGATAGAAAGGAAGTAGGAGAAGTTGAGCAGTAGCGGTTGACTTAATTAAGGGCAAACGAAGGAAATGAGGAAAAAATTATTACTCACAGGAAGCGCACCCTTCCAACCCATCACACGCCTTCGCGCAAGCACCCACATCGTACGAAGGGAACTCGCCGTACGTAACATAGTGCCCATCGCTGTGGACAGCAGCGTGACCCGCCACCAAGAAGGCCTCATAGCCGGTAGGCGAAACGGCACTGTTAGCGATCTCGTCGTAGTAGCCGAAGGAGGTGAAGGCCTCCGGGGTATTGGGTGTGGGCACTGGGGCACTGCTGTTACCAAGGGGACGACAGTCTCCCGGTGCGGCGGCGGCGCGACCGCCCAAAGCGGTAACGAAAGCGAAGAGGGTACTGAGATACATTTTGAGCTGATGTAGGTGGAGAGGGGACAGTTTTGTAGCGGGAGAAGTGGTGAATTTATAGTGTGATAGCTGTGCCTAGTGCATTGGTGCCAGAGCTTACACTTGCCGTTTCTTCTCTTCGTGTTCCTCAAAGATATGGTACGGTGTTGGAATGTGCGAGATTTTATTTCGGGTTACGAAGGTCTTCAACTCGCTACCTGGAGTTGGAGGGCCCTGTGTGGGCATAAAATCAGACGAGGCCAATAGAAGTCCCTCTTTCAACCTCCAGGGTTTGCACGAACCTGCCATCTAAATAATCAAACCAACAGCTGGGGGCTAAGCAGATCTAAAACCGAGTCACTGCATCCAGGCGGCAGTATATTGTAGCTCAACAGGGCATTCGTCCAATACGTGATTAGACCGGGCCAGATATTCGCTCCTCAGAGATGGACGATGGAAATCCAGCGAAGACTCTTGGGGTTCCACAGCAGAGCGAAACCTGATCGTGCTTATTTACTGGCCTAGGTGTCGGTCTAAGATCTAACTCGGTCCGCGATGCTTGAACTTTGTAGCCGTAAGAATCTGCAATATTCGATGGCTCAGACATAGACCGTTAGCGAGTTTTTCGATACCCCAGTCAAGTGTAGTTGAGAAAAAAGGCGCATGAAGATTGTGTAGCGACAAGACACACAAACGCAATATTAGATGTTGAGCAGTAGACGACGTACAATTGTTCAGCGACATCAAAACGCATTGAAGACCTACATGGTCGAGGTCAGGATCATCAAACGGGGTCGACTGCGGTACGATCATCCAAGTATGATTTCTTCGTAGCGATTGTTATTGCAGACTTGTAAGAGACTGTGACCGTAGATGTAGGACTCAGGTAAGACAAAAGCAAGGCGGCTACCCAAGAAGGCAACGAGCAGGTCGTAAATATGTGGTGTTCGGTCAAGTCCAAAATCAGCCACGCAAAGCAGCGTTGCTACTGTATCAGCCCGTTCAATCACTCGCCTTCGAAACATCGAGCAAGCCTTAAGTTGTTGTCAGTGTTGCAGAGGAAGTACGCGTTTGCGCCTTTGACAAGGCGTGCCATCGAACTTTGCAGTATGATACATGTGTAGCTTCACCTGGCCCGTAGTGTGGTGCTAGAATTGAGGTATGCATCCCCCAATGGACCTCAAGGTTGCTAGGCCGTTTGTAGGTGCGTGTTGCCAGGGGACGGAGGTTTGGGCGTCAGTTCATGCCGTGCGGCAATCGAGTGCAGGATTCAGATCCCATAGCAGATCCAAGGTCGTGGCAGTTTGGAGATGAGCATATTTGAGCTGGTCGCAGGTGCTATCGCTCAGTATGTTTGAGTAAGACAGATGATTAGTTCAGTAAGTGGAGTAGTCGACGGTCGTCCGGCCCGTGCTCCGAGACGCCCGCACACTCCGGCGTTAAGTCCAAGGTCCTCCACAACCACCCATGCAGGTCGTCAAAGGTCGCGTTATGCCGCGCCCCTGCCAGAAGCGGCGTGCACGTGTCGCTGCACAGAGAGGCGGGATTGCAAAACCGGCAGCACCACCTCCACCACCGAAGCCGAAAGTACCGGCGCGAGGAAAGCCAGGGCGAGGGCGCAGCCGAGGTCGCAGCGGTCGCGGCGGGAACGTTGGAGGCCGACCAACACGCGGACAAAGCAGCCGAGGTGGCTCAGGAGATATCAGGAACAACTTCACGCATGGAAAAAACACCCAAGACGGTGCAGAGGAGTTCAGATCGTTCGTCGAGGCCCAGAGGAGCGGCAATCAGTTTGGCGCACTGAACAACAAAACGCGCGCAGGCGGTGGCAGCTCGTTGGACCCAATCACCCTCGACGACTCAGACGGCAGCTCAGACCTTGAGGAGGGTGAGCTTACAGACGATGGCTCAGATATGGACGATTCCATGAGTGAGCTCGACACAGACGAAAGCGCGGACGACATGATGATCAACCTTGGAGAAGTTCACACCCAACAGGGGAGATCGAGAAGGGCAGAGGTCATGTTCACCGCGCTTGAGGCAGTGGCCATCTACCACAGCATGCATCGGGCCGGCTTCCCGTTGGCATCAAGGAAAATGGGCAGATTTGATGCCAGAGGAGAGATCACGCAGGTCGAGATTGGTGCAGTCTACACCAGCAACTACAATGGGGCGCAGAACACCCATATCACGTTTTTAGCCGAGGCGAACGAATTCGTACCATACAGAAGCGCTGGCGACCACTCGACGAGATCAAGCAGGTATGTCTCAGACTTTCCACGCGGACAGCAACCGCCCGCAAACAACCCTACGAACGCGCGACCTTCCAGACCACGATTACCCGACCACGATTTTGTCAAGGACTACGTGTTCGACTGGGGCAGGTACAGGGGCAGCCACATCTCAGACGTGCCAGAGAGCTATCTGCGCACAATTGGCGGGCAGTCCTTTTATTTCGACGGCAGACATCCAGGTCTGAAGGAGGCATTCGACTACAACCGCTCGCAGGTGAGGCAGACAGCAACAAACTCATATCCTGAAGCCCAAGACCCAGTCCAAGCCCCGAGACGCGCACGCGGTGGAGCTTCACCCTACCAGAAGTACAAATTACCTAAGGGCGCGCATGCCGGCAGGCGTCTTGATCAGGTTGACGAAAACTACATTCGAACGATCGAGGGCATGCCAACCGTCGTCAATTCATGGCCTGGCCTGAAAGAAGCACTGGCAGACTTCAACGAAAAGACTGGCCGTCAAGGAAAATACTTTCCTGAATCCGCTATTTGAGGCGCTGGAAGCACGTGGGGTCGCGACTGCCTCAACTTTTTTGGCGTTGCGGGCCCGTGCGCCTGCCCAAAAGTTCCCAAAAGACTGCGTCACTGCAAAACCGCAGTCACTCTTTGGTCTCACGGCGGCACGACGCCGGGACTGACGCTGCGATGGTCACGACACGCCGCCAATCGAAGACGATCGATCCTCCTGTCCTTCCACCAGTCGCCCCACCCAAGCGTAAGCGCAGCGACGATGCTGCCTCTGAGCCGGGCGCGGCGCAGGCACCGAACCAGCCTTCGACTAAGCGTCGAAAGAAGGTGAAAAGCACTGCAAAAGTCGATTTACCCGTTGCTACTCGTGGAGGTCCTGCACCGATGGACAAGAAAGAGAAGAAGTCCATGATAGCGGCAGCAAGACGAAAGGCGCGCAAGCAGGCAGCTCAAGCAAAAAAGGCCCCGCAACCAAAAACAAACAATACAGACCTAGCGAGTTCGCAGAAGACTGCACACCGGGATTCGACGAACGACCACGAGTCAAGTGAAGACGAGGCGCCACGGCCGCCACGACCTGCAGCTTCGCAAGATGCAGACGACGAAGACGTCGATTCGCGATACGCGTTAGGTTCGAAGCGCAAAGGGAAAGCCAAGAAGCCAGCGGCATCGATTGCGCGCCGGACGGCTGAGCTCAGGTTCGAAGAGGATGGCTTAGAAGAAGTCGACAAAGCGCAGGTTGCAGTTGCAGACGCCAATAACAGAATGTCTAAGCAGACGAAGAAACCTGGATCTATGCCTTGGACGCCAATAAACGAAATGGGTGCGGTCGAGAAAGACAAGGCAGCCAAACCATCAGTCAGTGGGAAAGGAGCAGAGAAGAAAGGGAACGTGCCCCAAGTGAACAGAAACGGCGTGGGCAAGGCGAAGGCCGTAAAGAGGAAGGTACCACCCGCAGCTGCTTCCTCCCAGGTCGTCATGTTCACGATTGCCGAAGCCATTGCAGCTTTGTCATCATACAAAGACGGTACAATGTCCATGGCAGCAGAAATCGATCCCGAGTCACGACAGCCCTACGAAGCCCTCCAAACAGGCGAATACCTCTCGTACCCCGTCAAGAACAACTACCACCTGGGCGCGCTCGGCCGCTACGGGATCAAGATCATCCCACCACCGTCTTTCTCTCTCACCGTCCCGCTCTCGGAATACTCCTTCATCGAATCCACTTCCACTTCTTCAACCACCGCTCCCACCCGCCACGGCCTCGGTTTCACCGCCCTTCCGGCGCGCTCCAAAGCCCCCACCGTCCGCCGGCCAAATAACTACTGCTTCACCTTCGGCAGAAACCGTGGGCGCCGCATGGACAGTGTGCCTCTCACATACCTACGCTCTATCTTCGAAGGCGATGAATACTACGCAGACATGAAGCTTCAACAAGCTTTCGCAGATCTCTACCCCAAGGGGCTCTACGAGAACGAGACGGAGAGCTTTATGTTTGAGAAGGGCGGGTTCAAGGGGAAGAGATTTGACGAAGTGCCGAAGAGCTACTTGTGGGGCCTAATCAGGAAAAAGGGCGAGGGTGCGGAGGTCGGTGGGAAGAAAGGGAGAAAGGCGCTGGAGCGGGCGCTGGAGGCTTGGGAAAAGAAGCAGTTGGACCTTACGAAGGAGTGAGTGGAAACGGTTCTTTCGACGTGCAATTGGCCAGCATCAGTACATAGCATAGATCTCAGGCGTTTGGTGCGGGTCCTGCAAGCGAAAGTGCTTTGCGGCAGGTCGTTGATGATTTCCTCATTTAATATGCCAATAGAACGAGTACACTCCAAGTTCTCATGTGCTTGCTCGTTTGTATGCTTCACTGGCTCGCCCTCCGCGACGCGCACACTTTCATGCTCATCCAAATGTCCAGTGCGGTTTTCTCCACACCAAGTTCGTGCCTGGCAAAACGTCACAGTCGATACCCTCATCCGTCATCATGCTCTTCTCCCTGCTTGGCCTGCATCTGTGTTCCCAGCTCTCTGCGCCGCTCTGTTACGACTCGTTAGCTCCAAGAAGACTCTCCGGTGTGGATGTACTCACCTCCTGAATCAACTGCAAGGCAGTGCCTTCTTCACCATCCCGAATCTGCCACCCGTTCTCGCTCGTCATGCGCGTCTGCTTCTGCGCTCGTCAGCCTCGCTCGCCTCTTCAGCGTAACGCCAGATACAAAGGAAGGGGCCGCTTGTACTCGCTAAGGGTCACTCGCCTCCGAGTAGTAGTCCGCATTCCAGTCAATGCCCACAAACAGCCAGCTGTGCGCGAGGAACCACAGTCGCTGGTCCACCGGCGCCAGCGCAATCGTCTCGCAGATCCCGCCGAACGGCACCTGGCCCGGCGCGTCGCTGACGGGAAACCCGTCGCACGGCCGCTTGCGGACCATGGCGATCAATCGCCCGGCGCTGTAGGGGTCGCTATTGCTGCTGATCCAGGTTATACGGTCGCGGATCCAGGATTTCATCGCGAAAGGTAGCCACGGGACGAGGGTTAGGTTGTGTAGCTTCAGCAGGAGGTGGAAGGCGCTGGCTGGGTCAAGGGCGCCGGGTGTGAAGGGGGGGTTTTTGACGGGGTTGGGGTTGGGGATGGTGTTTTTGCATGCGTCGGATGATGTTGTTGATGTGGATTGGGGGCTCGAGGCGTCGCATGTCCTTGGTGTTGATGCGTTCGAGCCAGGGCCGGAGTTGTCGGACGCTGGCTTGGTGTGGGTTGAGGAACTCGATGCCATGGAGCGTTCGGATGGGTTTGGTGACCTAGAGCGTGTTGGTAGTGCGAACTCGGTCGTTTGCAAAAATTGGTTTAGGTAGTCTGCGTACGAGAGTAGTTGTGGAACAGTCGCACAGATCTCTTCGGCGAGCACTATCGTCAGTGACTCGGAGGCTGATCTTTGGAGACGCAAGTTCGCGTACTCGCTCCCAGCACTCGAGGATAGGAGGATGGAGCACTGCTGGTGTACCAGCTGGTGTAAGTGTATTCGGCAAGAGCGCACGTTATTCCAGAGGTGACCGGCAAACTGTTGGGGATAGGCTTGGCTTCGTCAGCGAACGGTCAAATGCTGGAACTGAAAACTCACCATGAAAGACCCAATTATAGACCAGTTGCTGCACCTCTGTTACTTGCGCTGTTGGCATCCAGCACTTCTCGAAACAAGTGTGGGTCGGCATCTCCTCAATAAAGGTCTTCAGTTCGGCATCGACCTTCAAGGCTCTTTGAAGGACCGTATCTGGATTCTGATACGAGCCTCCCTTGAGGTCATCTCTGAACTCGATTACTCGTGACAGGACGTCCACAAGCTTCGCGTGTACTGAGTGAGGGTTGATCCTGTCAGGGACGTAGGGCCTGATCGACTTGTACCGAGCTGGTAGGGGTACGTGCTGAATCCAGCAGTTCATAATCACACTCTGAATCAGCATGCTCAGTAACGCCTTGAAGACGTCACTGGGTGGGCGTTGTTGCAAGCTCAGGTACGCGACTGACATAGCGCCTTCCAGGTGCTTACTGACGTTGTGCATACCCGATTCCGAAGAGACCAGCATAGTCTCAAACATCGCAGCCATCATGATTGACATGAGCGTGATGTCGCTGACCGCATTTTGCGGACTGGATAGTGCGGTGTTGATGTCTCGGATCGCGCCGACGTAAGTCCTGGTAGACTGTTCGATCAGATCAGGTCGGCGAGTAGTCCTGGCGTAGCCAGCGAGTCCACTGGCAATGATCGTTTTCTTTAATGATGAAGTAGCATAGCCCAGCTTCCCATAGAAGTCTGGAAGATAGTGAAGTTGTGATACGGCAGGGTCTTTGCCGACATAGTTCGACATGAAGAAGTGCACGCCCAAGTCGTCCCATGGCTGGTACACAACAAAGTTGTTGAGTTTGACGGGAGCCAAGGTTTGTACTACGACAGCAGTCTCGACGATGGTCGAAGTCGTTGCTGCTTTCGAAGACTTGCCTTTACTCTTCCGCTCGACCTCTGCGCTCTCATCGTGGAATAAGAGATCGACGGCATTTCGATACCCTGGACATACGCGACCAGCTTTGACACATTGCCTGCATGGAGTGGCTTGATCGCACTACGATACACCGTTAGTCTTGCCACGCAGGTTGCTCCGGACGAATCGCGGGGCGGTCTCTAATGCAGCAGGGAAGCTGTCAACATACCCTGCTCCTGCGTTTTCTACATTCTCCACATGCTTCAACACATGTTAGTAGTCGTTCTCGCGAAAATATCTGTGTGCCATAGACACGCACCCGATGATGGCTTGCCTGCGGTGAGGAGTCAGCTATTTCGTGTAAGGCTGACTGGCGCCAGGCACTCACCTCGGTACACCATCGTCTGTAACCCCAATCCTGCCCTGCATTGAGGCGTATAAATCACGACAGCATGTAATCGGATGTCAGCAGTGATTGGTCCCTTTGGATCGCGCGTGTACTGGGAGCGAAGGATGATATTTCAGCTGCAGAAGGATGAGTCTGCCTCCGCCAGGTGGAAGATGCCGTCGGCGTTGACGCAGACCGCCCCTGCCGCGGTCGCTTACCTAGCCGCACAGCCCTCTAGTAACGATCATCGTCAACGTCGGTACGCACAATTCCCACAGAACAGAAAGCCAAGCTGTAAACCGCCGAAGAAGCTCCTGTCATCATGGAGGCGCCATACTATTCAATAGTCTTGAGTAACAAGCAGCGGGAAGAGAAGTATTTGCCAAGTCGCTGAAATAACTTCAGCAAAAAGGCGAGGAACATTCATCATTACGTGGGAATGGTTCCCATCTCCACCTCCCCCATCGTCTCCATCATCTTCCTTCTCTCCCTTTTCTCTCTCCTATCCCTAAGTTTTCCCTTGATGGATGCCTTAACGCCTGAACAGCACATCGTCGACGAGAAGAGCGCGCTTCCCAACCACAACAACGCATTGACGAGGTCGCACCAGACTGCTCCCTCCATCCGCCCTGCGTTTACCCCGCCATATGCTGGTGTCATGTCACCGCCAAAGTAGACCTCATAAAAAACTGCGAAGAGTGCAAACCAAAACAATGCCAGGGTCCAGTCGGTCATCCATGAGAAGCGGTAGTATCGCACGGTCACTCCGTTGATAATCAGGACGAGAAGCGTGGCACTGAACACGACCTGCGAGAAGACGAAGCTTCCTGATGCTCCTCCACGTCCACCGCCGCGTCTCAGCTCAATGGCGTATGATATGCCCGAGGCCAGCGCAAAAATGAGCTGGAGTACCTGTACACTCAAGCGGAACAGTGAGACCAGAGGCTTGTCGACTTTGTCGTTGATAGCGGACTTAAAAGAGCTTGGTTTGATGAAGTGAATCTTGAAGTAGGGCGGCGGAGGCATTGGTGGCGGCGCATCGAACGCTGGCGGTGCCTCATTTGGTACGGCGTTGACCGACAAGGAAGACCCTGGCATCTCGTTGGGAGATGTAGCCTCTGGTTTTTCAATTTGTTTTGGAACTCTCACCGTTGTGTAGGAATAGGGATCGAGATATTCGACTTGTCGCGGTTTGTAGAAGTGGGTGTGGACGAGGCCGAGGATGAGGACAGCCAGGCATTATATTTGCAACAGGGAACACCCACATACATTATCAGTGGACCGAAGAGGACGGATTTAGCACTCACCGATCCTACATTATGCATCATTACCTCATTGTCACCAAATTTTGCTGGTGGTCTTCGTCGTACTGAGGACGTACTCTCTTTCAGCGCGTATTCGCGAGTCAGGATGACGTCGATCCGAACAACGTCGCAAGTAAGTCTGCTTCTCAGCAATGACTATCTGCCTGATTTGACCGCTACCGGAACTGTTCCGGCAGTGCTTGCGAGTTGCAAGATAATCTGTGCATGAAGGCCGCTATCAGTGGTGACTGCGCTAGCGGGGAGCAGCCGCGCGTTCGTATTCGCTCTTTCCTCGTGTTCAAATACGCACCTGCCGTCACCTGCATCCTCCTCTCAAGCGTTCACACGTCTAACATCCAAACATGCAGCAAGAGTCCCCGATATCATTGACGAAACCTAACACGGCATCGCCTTCCGCGAATGAACATGAGCAAATTGATAAGAAGATAACGAGACGGTCGCACCGCAAATCGCGTGCTGGGTGCAAGAACTGCAAGACGCGCCGTATCAAGGTACGACAGATGGCATACACAACGATTAAGGCCGCGAGAGTCTTCCAGAAATGGAGTACAGCCGCTACAAAGATCACTCGTGGCCTGCAGAAAGTATCCTCGACAGCCCTGAAAATAAAGCAATTGATCGCACGAAGAGTAGAACGGCAGACTAACACGTGCAGTGCGATGAGACGAAACCGAAATGTAGCAATTGCAAACGTCGTCAAGTACATTGTGACTTCGATCAAGCTGCATCCTCTTCACAAAGACCGTCAGTGGCAAGCACCAGTCTAAATTTCGAAGAACTACCCATCTCCGAGATCGAGCTCACGTACCACTACACCACGTCGACTTGCTTTTCCATCTCGCCATGGCTGACTGGTAGTATTACATGGCAAACCCAAATGGCCGAAATTGGATTTGAGAACCCTTATGTCCTGTACCTGATGTTCGCTTTCACAGCGCTGCATCTGGCACATTGCCGCCCGAACCGAAAAGAGGAATATACTGCAACAGCGGACCGAAATTATGAGCGCGCTCTCGTCCTCATCACACCAGAGATTGCTGACCTGAACCCTGATAATTGCGATGCAGTGCTAGTTGCTGTGCAGATGATTTGCTTCATAAGCTGGGGGCGTGGACCGCAGCCCGGAGAGTATCTCGCCTTCGGACGAGACAAGAGATCAGATTGGTTGATGATGTTCCGTGGGATCAGAACGACTCTCTCGAGTATTGAGCATCGACAATTCGTCAAGACGCATGCACCCGCAGCACGCGGCAAAGGTCGCCCACTGCCGACCCAAGAACTGCCCGAAGAGTATGAGAAGCACCTCGACGAGCTCCGAGCGCATGTGGAATTCGTGTCAAGGGATACAGCTAATCACGAGGACGACGTCATGGCCGTCGATATCCTGCGCGAGATGTACGATAATCGGTATCAAGGCGTGGATAGCGAGTATCATGTGTCATTCGGGTGGCTTTTCCGGATGACGGACGACTTCCTTGAGCGATTACAACAGCGTGATCCCGTTACGATGATCATTTATGCGTACTTCGTTGTGCTGATCCGTGTTTTGGAGCAATTCTGGTATATGCAAGGATGGACACACCATGTCATGAGTGGGATCTGGGAAATGACGCCTCGAGAGCAAAGGGCCTGGTTGGACTGGCCCATCAAGAGAATCCATTGGATCAAGCCTTGAGTCAACCTGGATTCGAAGCGTGATATTTGGGTTGCGGTCAAACACGCAGAACAGTCACCGGACGGTACAATGGTACTACACTGTGAAGGCTTCGGGACAGAGGCTGCGCAAAGGTTGCTCGAACGACGAACAATCCGATTCATACGCTCTTCATAGATTTAATAGGAGGTATGCATCGGGCACGAGGATACCGACCTGGTGTACGAGCCCACGTCATTCTCCCCGGAGTTCGCACGTTCGCACCCCACACCAGCTCCCCGCCGGACTCGGTTCCGCGCTTCTCAACTTGCGCGACGCGCAGCAACACGACTGGCTCTGAATTTGCAGTTGCTTCAATTCCAAATGGCATATGTTGTAGCCGACTTGTATCAGCCGCCAACATGTTGCTCATGTTCTCAGCGGCTCCAGAAGCTGTCGGTGCATCCACTGGCTCAGTGACGACGGCGCCGGTATAAAGCTGTTACATTCCCTCGTACCGTTTGGAGCAGTCCCCCAAATTTCACTTCAAATCCTCGACTCGCTCATAGGGCTTCAATCACCCAGGTATCACATTAATCCCCTTCATAAGACTAGGATGGCACCCCTCCAGCCGGGTGACAAGTTCCCCTCCGACGTCGTCTTTGAACACGTCAAGATCGAAAGCGACAACCCAAAGTCGGCCGGCATGCCCTACGATTATGATGCTTCGAAGGAGTGGGCAGACAAGAAGGTTGTTCTCTTCAGCGTCCCCGGAGCTTTCACGCCTGGTTGCCAGGGCGCCCACATCCCCCCAATCCTCGGAAGGATCGACGAAGTCAAAAGCAAGGCTGATATTGTTGCCGTCATCGGGTACAATGATGGCTGGGTCATGTGTGCTTGGGGCAAGATCAATGGCATCTCGGACGACAAGATCGTGAGTCAGATCCCAGAGGGCACCGATGAGCAGGATGCTGACCGTAGCAGCTCTTCTTGAGCGACTCAAAGACGCAATTCTCCAAGAGCCATGGCTGGGAAGCAGGAGTTGGCGGCCGCAACGGCCGATACGCCATGGTGATCGATCACGGCAAGGTGGTATACGCCGATGTGGACAAAGACTTCACACAGGTTACAGTCTCAGGAGTAGAGTCAGTCTTGAAGAGCTTGTAACCTGCTGAAGGCCAAATAGAGACACGATACCAAATTCAAGTCTACGAACAAAACAAACGTCCCAACTTCACCGCCACTCGCTTAGTAAATAGGACGCGTAATATCAATCTCAGACAAAGCAAACATACTAGCCAGTAGCGCCCCAACCACCTCCGATACCACTCGTAGGCATCATTCCATGGCCGTCATTAAACGCATACGGATCGTGATTCTTCCTGCTATGCGCCATCTTGCTGACCTGGTCCAGCAGATCTTGCTCTGTGCCTTTACTCGGGATGAAGACCAATCCAGCATCCGGCGCCTTGACGCCCGTACCGATGAAGTTCCCTTCCGCGTCATGGGCATAGCGCTCGTTATATAGCCTTCGTGACATTGGGCGCGGAACAATGCGACGCGTTACGGTCCCGACGTTGCGGAAGGCGAGGTAGTCCGTGAGAGACTTTTTGTCGTGAGAGTAGATGAAGGGGACTTCAATCTTCTCATCGGGGTCGCCCTCGCGCATCGCGAGGAGGTCACGTGCTGCGGACTCGGGGGTGTAGGCTGGCGGTGGCTCGCTGGGTTGTATTAGCCATGTAGATTGGCTCTAGAATGGGTAGCATACGATTCTGCACAGGCAGGTGCCCCTGTTTGTGCAGCTACTTGATCTTGATGCACTTTTGCCACTTTGGTGAGTATTCGCTCGCGTTCGGCTACGGTCGGTGTTGGTGCGGTGTAGTGTGCGAAATGGGGACTGCTGTACATTGTGATCTTCTTTGCTGGCTCTGTAAATGAAGACATTCAAGCAGAGCGAACCCTGCTTCTTATGAACGCGAAGCATGCCTCTAGCTCCCTTCGATCGTTGTTTTGTTGCAGCTGATGCTCACCGGGGTCAGACTGCGATTCGCTCATACGAAGGTGGATCCAAGGCGGATCGACAGGCATTCCCCACCATTCCTGTAAGCTTTAAAGCTTGTCTGGACCTGACATCGCATGAAAGATCTTAGTGCCCAGACGATGTCACGATTCAAGTGTTCAAGTGGCCGCTTCGGTGAATTGAGGGTCAGGCGTACCAGCCACGACGTCATTTTTCGACTGCGCCATCGCCGAAGTGGTTTCCGGCGCGAGGCTGATATAAACGCCACAACACCAAAGTTTTCTAGTCGGAACATACCGTAGGTACACAGAAGAATTTGCCAAATGTAGTAGGACACATTGATCAAATCATGATGCCCTACAGTACAGCATATGTCAATCCTCCCTGTGCGGCTGCGGATGGAACGAAAGAAACACCAGGAAGTAACGCCTGACGACGGAAGAAGAAAGTATACGGCATATGTACTGCAACAATATAATGTTCAACATACTCCGGCAGCAGGTAGGGTTAATAGGCTCTGTACCGTTCCCGAAACGAACTTATCTGGTGTTGATATTGTTCTGCGCATGGAAGATACGCTGGAATGTGATGTCGATGTGATCTGACCATCACCGCTGATTTTGGTCTAAATTCAAAGGCTCCGAAATGCAATTCACTTTCTGGACGCTTGCTGGGGTAGACAATGGGGGTCTCTCGGGAATATTTGTCGACAATCGCATGGACGCAGCCGCAATTGCAATTAGGCCCGATGGCACGTATTAGAACCAAATGGTCAATCTCCATACTACTGTATATCGTCGTCACGATACCAGGCGTTTGTTGAGGCCAGACTTTTGGATCAGCCACAGACAATCAGGTAACCCGATTGCAACGGCCAGTCATTCAACGAGCATCTAGCAAGGAGACGTTTCATTGTCATGGTACGACAGCATTGTGCTGGCCTTGCGGTCGGCTTGGTCGGTAAATTCCATGATATTGGAACGGACCCTGCGAAGGGATACCGTACCACGCTCCACCATTCAGAAGGGGAGTTGCAATTGTTATCCAGGCAAAGTCTCGATTGGCAGCGGTTGACGTTATAGTGTCGTTGCGAGGCGTGCAGAATTTGGGCTTTGCAAGGCCAATTAAACGCATGCGAAGACATCAGTTACGTACGATCATCTAAACAAGATGATTATGTGAGCTCGGAGAGATTACGTTCGATGGGTGTACAGCAGCTTGGAACTCTTCTGAAGAAAGGGGTCGGATCGTGTGATAACAATCGAAAGGGTCTTTGCATTCGTCTGAGCCTCGTGAATCGACCATGAGGTGTACGAGTAACGTGCATTGTAGCTGGACGAAGGTTTTGACGGAGAAGGCGGAAGCATGCAGGCGTGTCCAGGTGTCTCACTACGCAGGAAGGCGCCCGCCAAACTAAGAGCCCCGCTTAACTACCCCGCACATGTGACGTGCCTTCCTGCTCAGCCTCAGGATCTCGTCAGAACAGCTCCCACAACCTGTATCCTGCCAACGCCCGCATACGCGCCGCGTCCAATCTCCTCAGGCCACATGTCGGGATGCAGTATTGTGTACTCAACCAACTGGGCACCCTCCACAGCCTGGAGCTTCTCAAGGAACATGTCATGCCCTGGGTCTGCGGCCGGTACTGCAACTCCTGTGTACACAATGATGACGCCTTTCTTTGAAAGTATCCTCATTCCCTCTTCGACGATTTTTAGCGAAATATCGAGTCCGAATTCTGCGCCTCCGTCTGCATACATGGGCAGATCTTTACCGTCTGGGCTTGTGGCAATGTACGGTGGATTGCTAACGATGAGGTCTATCCCGGCCTTCTTGTTTTCGTCTGGCACAGCAGCGTACAAATTCGACTCGTAGTAGTCAACTTGAGCACCCGCGAGGTGCGCGTTCACGCCGCCTAGCCTCAGTGCCCGTGGGTTGAGGTCCAAACCGAGGACTTTGGCTTGTGGGAAGGTTTTGGCCAGGTGTATCGCACCTGCGCCCGATCCACAGCAGACATCTATTGCACTACTCAAGCGTTTGGGCAAGTGGCGTTGAGCAGTCTTCAGGAACTGTGTGAACAGGTATGTGTCAGGTCCGAAGAACACTGCGTCCGAGGAGGCAGGAAAAGACGAATGGATGTAGAAGAGCGGCGCGGCACCGGCGTCTGGCGAGGGAACGTTTGGGAGGTAGAAGTTCGAGACGCGAATCGTCGACCGATATTCATCCTCACCTTCACTATTCGTGATGAGGGAGGCGTTTTGCAGGCTTTCGACGATATCTTCCGGTATTATCGACCTCAGCGTATTTCTATTGAGTTCCGTTAGCAAGGATATCGACGGCCAATGGAAACTTTCCAATCGTTGCCGACATGCTCGATTGTTTCCTTGAAAAAGAAGTCTGGGACTTGAAGCAGATCATGGCTCATGGCACGTACCTCGAACATGGCAGACTCCAGCCAAAAAAATCCTGTGCGTTCTGAGCATGCTTCGTCGAAGAGCTGGACTTCCTTTTCTCTACAACTCTGCCGGTGGTTTCTGGCGATGGGCAGACGAATGTGTACTTTTTTGCAGCCAAATGTTTGGTAAGGGCCTCATACGCAGCTGTCGACTCGAACATGATAAGGGGTATGTTCTAATACATGCGATTGCTTACGCTGGTCTGCCCTTCCAATGGATTCGAGCCTTGTTGCAGGTGTCAGTTGACGTTATGTACACAAACAAACGTTACTTAGGCACTCAATATTGTGACGTTCATGCTCCGCGGGCATGGTGCGCGTGCAAAGCGCACAACGCAAAGGTTGTGCCGTAGACGGGTAAGAGTGACGTGGCGGTGGTGTTACCCGTGATTCTCAGCAGTGCGAACAACACCAAAAGCTGTCATCCTTCACATGTAGCCAAGTACACCTTCCTAAACGGCACTTTGAGAACTCTCAGGTGATGTTGAGTGCATAAAAGTCGTATCGCATATACGACAGCGCTCGGACGCGGTAGTTATACCAGTAGCACAAGTAGAAGTAGCTACTCAGAGCGTCGAGATGAGTGGCGTCAGGGGGACAGATCTCACGCTCGAGTCCCATTGCGAATCTGTAGTGCCTAGACGCGAATCACGCACAACCCGCGTGGATATTTTACGTTACCCATGATTCCTGATTGGGTCGGCTTACTTTTGCAGGGGCCATGACATTGACATGTCAGGTACCGTTCCCCAGATCTGACAATACCATCGTCAGCGTGATCCGATTCTGGATTTGTGCGACGATTCGCCTTGATTCGCTCTCTCCTCCTCCGGGGCATGTCCTATGATGTGATACCTCAGTGAAGCCTCAGCAGCCCCACGTCCACCTTCTCACATCACATCCACCTACAATGTACATTATACAAACTACAACCGCCATATTTATCGCGTTCCTGGCCCTTGTTGCATGGAGTGAGGTCCGGAATCGTCTAGCAAAGGGACGCTCAAGAAGTAAAGATCCCGAAGCTCCAGACAGTCTGAGAAGATTGTCGTTCAAAGGATGGAGGTTGAGAAATGCTGAGAAGAGTCCGCAAGTCGTCGCCACCCAGGAAAAGCAACCTGTCATCGAGCCAAGCCGGAGTTTGGCTGCCCTGGAAGAATCAGCTGAGCTGAAGACGTACAAACAGCTTTACTATAAGCTCCACAACCTCGAGCAACATCCGGAGATCCTGCCTGAGTGTCTCGAGCTTTTTGTTTCATTACTGGCGTCCACAATTATTGAGGCACGCGAAAGCACAGGCAGCACTATTTTGGTCGTCGACACATTCTCTCGTAGACGCTTGGACCAATTTCTGAAGGCCAAAGATGAAGATTGCACCAGTCGTTGGGAAGCGTATTTGTCTCGCCGTAAAGCAGGAGGTTCTCGCGAAATTTTTGGCGACAAGAAGGAAGCTAAATGGTGGCTGAAGCAGGCGGCTCCGGTCAAGTACGTCGATGGTGCTTGGCTTGGACATATCAATAAGATCACCACGCCGTTCAAGTACCGTAAAATTACCAAGAATGCGTGGCAGGTGATGTCAGAGGAGCTTGGAGATGGTGACCTGGCCAAGAATCATGTGTACGTCTACCGACAACTGATGGACGACATCGATGCCAAACTCCCTGCCGCGGATTCGGAAGACTTTATCGACCCTCGCCACCAGCTGGACCAGACCCGCTGCTGGAAGGCTGCCATGGCTCAGCTGCTTATATCGCTATTCCCGCATGACTTTATGCCAGAGTCTCTAGGTTTCAACATGGCCTATGAGAGTCTGCCCTTACATCTGCTCAAGACGGTCAAAGAGCTCCGCGAAGTTTACCTCAACCCATACTACTTTGAGCTGCACATCTCGATCGATAACGCAGACTCGGGCCATGCGGCGATGGCGATGGCTGCAGTTTCCGACTACATTGATCTTGTAGAGAAGGAGGAGGGCGCCGAAGCTGCCCATATTGCCTGGAGACGTTGCCAAGCTGGATATATCCTTGCGGAGGGTCTGCCAACAACACCTGAGAGTCCGTCGCTGAAGGTTGAGCCGGAGAGTCCCTTTCCTCGCACAGAAATGGAAGGTACTCTGCTTGACATCTTCGCCGCGAAGACCTTCGTAGCACACAAGATCCATTGCAACAGCCGCCTGAAGATTGGTTGTCGGTCTCTGATCGACTGGCTTGAGCCAAGGGCTTTTGCTGATAAGCAGTGGCAGAAAGAGTTTCTCGTCGACCTGGGCAACTGCAAGCCCTGGGTCATCAAAGGCGATAGCGAAAAGAGTAGGCTCGTGAGAGAGCTATCTTGGGAGGGCAAGATGTTCGGTAGCTTCACCCAGAACGAGGTTGGGGTTGTGAAGGCCTGGATCGATGAGCTTGGTGCACCTATACAGACACCCAAGTCCGACCCGAGTGTCTACTACAACTTCACGAAGCAGTCGCCCAAGCTTCCAGCAGCGGCAGCTTCCACTGATTTAGATGTCCTGGTTGACTACCCCACCCTCTCGCGTCTGGACATGTTGAACATCGCAGTCGAATCGAAAGTTCCCAGCGCTATGTCTTATTCCGGGCTCAGGCTGAACAAGACGAAACTGCTCAACCTTTTGCCTCTTTGGTTCACTTCACCCACTCTTCTCGAGTCTCTACCATCTGTACCAGTCCGTGCAGCAGACGCTTTCGGCTCTGCGCTTGTTCGAGTTTTGCGCGCGCAAACAGGTTTCGATGTTGAAGGCCAAGGTGTAGCAGGCATGGACGAGGTGCACCGCACCGACAACGGCGAGTCGTTCGGCATCATCGAGCTGGGTTTGGAAATCTGCAGCCGAGCAAACATCCGCGTTCCAACGAATTTGAAGGAGGTCGTGAGCATGGGTAATGCAGAGTCAGTTGCCTTCTCGCAAAGCATGGTTGGTTTATCGATGCGGTGGTTGTCGCAGCGAGACGTGCTCATTGGCATGTCGTGGGCTTTCATCGAGTTGCATGAAGCGATTGCCAGACTCGAGGAGGATCAAGCATTGTTAAGCTCAAAATTTGCGACGATGCTTGAGGGTATTGCTCAGAGGGAAAGGTCGGGCTTGAACATCTGCAAGGAGGAGATCGAGATGAGTGAGCAGAGGAGAGTGAACTTCGAAAGAGGACTCGCGATTGCTCGAAGAGCCGTAGCCTGTGTTCTTTCGTAGCATTTTGACGGTAATACTTCTTGGCGGGATTCAGATATTGAGAGTATCCTCTGAGTCGTATGGTGTGGACAAAGTTGTTTGACGCGTAGCCGGTAGCTCGAAGTAAGGTATCTAAGAAACCTCACAAAAGCTTTAGCGAGGTGATGTCATTACTTCGCCGTCACCATCACACCTGTCACAGACTTGATCAAGTAAGCAAGGCGCGATGGATGCATTCGTGCAAACGAATGACCCTACGATATGTGAGACCGGACTGAAGGCGTTCAGCGTGGTGTCTATAGCGGCAGCTGCCCTGCACTTGACGCACCTCCCACTCTGTCTCTTGTCAGACCTTTTACTTTCCATGACTCTCCTTCGACTCCAACCTTTTAGTCTTCCAGTGGCGCCTTTGAAGGTGCTAGGTACGACGCCTGTTGCTGTCACCTCTGAACGCAGATGACCACGATGTTCCAGCGTTTAGGAGCGTCATGTCTTCAGCTATGTTTGCTACCAGGAAGACCGGGTACTTCAACGCACCGATCTGCCAGCCGCAGTTCTCTCATACACTCTGTGCACTGAAAGTGCTTGTTATTGGGCAGAACACCTTCCACTATATAATCTGCTACGAAGTACGGCCATGAGTTACTTGTCAACACATCAATTTGTGACACTTTCTCGCATCACCAATATCACACCGTCTCGAGACCAGATCTTCGCCGCAACTTACCGTACTATCCTCACGAGTTTAAAAAGGGGCATCTTATTCTCCGTCTCCGGTAAATCAACATGGCGGACGAGATGAAGTACGCCCAGGCCAAAGAGTCAGATCGGCTCGCAGATCCCGAGGTCTGCCAGAAGCGAGAGAGAGTCAGAGACATCATCACGTTCGTCAAACCTGCTTGGTACGACTTCGACTGCGACTATCACGAGCCTGGAGCTTTCCTCGACCAGTGATGGCATCGATATGAGATTGCGCGAAAGGTTGGTGTACTTGTGAGACCATGGGGGGAACGTTTTGACGAGTGTGAACAGAGCCTGGACGAAGTCGGTAGGGACCTGGACGAGATAGGTAAAGACATCAGTCATCCTGAAAAAGAGATGCCCCGCTCTAGAAGGGGGAAGCATCGTGAGACCGATGAAGAATTTGGCAGTGGTGTTACAAACGTCGCTTGCACCCGCTTTTTTGACCATGCGCTCTCAGAAGGGGTTTGCAAACCGCAATCAGCAAAATCGAAGGCACTACCACCATTTGCAGACGAGCACACACCGTTTCACAAACTATACCTCGAGAGTATCAGTCGACGCATAAACCTCCTCGTCCAACGGCTCAGTGCAGGTAAGCAGAACGCCGACAGGATCCGATCCCTGGTACATAGTCTTATCCGCGACATGCATCGCCACAAGAAGGACAAGATCTTATGCAGCGACGGGACTTACGAATGTCCACTGATCGAGCACCTAGGGAAGAACATTAAAGCCAGCACACTGGTCGACGTACGGGAAGCCACGCCTAAGGTATTGAAGCACCAAGTTCAAATCACGTTACACCTCGCATTCGAAACTATGTGCTACCTTTTGGAAGATCACGAGTGCAATCGAGACACTGAGAAAATGGCAGTCGTCCTCATAGCTTCAGATATAAACATGAAAGATACTGTTGGTGCAGTACATGCGAAAGAAAACAGGTTTTGCAACAAATCATGTCTCTATGGATCACCTTCGTGGAAGTGCAGAAGCAGATCGAGGCTTTTCGCAAAGAGATAACAAAGTAGCCCACGAATCTTCGAACCATGGACGACATAGCATGCACTACGCTGTGCATGTTGGAGTCCTCTATATACTTTATTCCCCTGCAGCTAGAAAACGACGATATCATTGTTGAACAAATTCAGACGACATCGAACACGTCCAAGTTACGCTTAAATATCTACCTTTACGTACCGGCCACACTTTCAGCGCGGGCTATGGTGCAATTTTCCGCGGCCTTCAAGGAGTTGCTTGATGCTATTGCCAATATTGATTACTGTCAAAAGATGTAACTGCGTGAGCAGTGTCGTTCGGAGACTGTGATCAACGATTGTATCGCTATTCGTTGTCGTGTCGTGTGATGTTCTGCTACAGGAGCTCTCAGCTCTAAGGTAAGTGCATTTGCCCACCGGGCAGTGCCTGCTACAATAGGATATCATGTGATCTGAGCCATGTGGTTACAAAAGACTACCGAGCAGAAGGATTCGCAATCAAGTTCTCAACTGCAGCCAGGTTCCTCAACGACCAAAGCAGCGGTCTTAACTCCCCAGACTTTGGAGCAAAAGTCAGGGCACACTCGGTGTTTCAGTCTTCAAAGATTGAGCTAAATAGCCTCACTGCTTCTCCACGCGGTCGCAATACGTACCGATAATATTATCCAGATTCACACGGCATCTGCAGCCATGGTAGGTGCCATCATGTAACGGTTGTGAGGAGAAGCAGGTCACGTGTTGTTGGCGGTGGTCTGGTGCTGCTTCCTCACGTTGTTGAGCACCTCTTTTCTCAACTGCATCACAAACACGTCATACAAGACAGACCCCGCAGCCAGCCTTCGACAGGCTAGACACAAGCAGAACAACAGCACAGAACAACAGAACACACTCGTTTTACATTTGCACTTGATGCCGCAACATATCATCTACACAGGACTCGTGGAATCAGAAGAAAACGACGCGATACCGCTGATCAACGATATCGTGGACAAAATCGAACAAGTGCGAGCTATGATGAACTCTCAGTCCCGTGTTTACCATGAGTCTCTGTATATCATTATGGACGTTGTTTCGGCACGCTTCAGTCTCTTGCTGTCATCAGCGTGAGACCGTCTTTGAGGGGCGGTGCTTTCGATTCTAAGAACTGCCCCGACAAGCACTGCAGAAGCCTCGCAGCGAGCAGGTCAAGCAGTAAGCCGAATCTTGTGGTGATCTTGCACCGTTTCATGACATCGAAGCTTGGATGAGGCTTGCAGATTTGCTGCAGATACGCAACAGCTACCTCGAACACCAGATGCAGGAGCTGCAGGATACTAACACAAGCCTAATTAAAGATGTAGAGTGGCATATAGGCGCGATATCCACGCTAGAGGACACACTAAAGGAAGTGCACTTAGAGAAAGCAGCTGCGTTTGCTGAGGTACTAGACCTCAATGCTTGGCTGATTTGTATACGAACAATACTGACCGCGGCGCAGTGCCTCTAGCTAGCTTAATTAATAATGACTCTACTAATAGTGATATAACTAATTCTAGATCTAGCTAAACATCCTAGAGTGACGACATAGACTTGCACACATCCTGGACTATCATTCTAGCAGCGCATGTGACGCCATGGGTACACAAGGAACCTACCACTGACAGCCAAGCAAACACTTTCTACTTCTTCCCCAGCACCGCCCTCATTCTGCTCAAGAGTTTGCCTCTTCGGTCCTACCAGTTCCCCCGAGGATCCACACTGCCCCAGATCCATGAAGGTCTCGCGCACCGCTACAACAGAGAAAATGAAGACGACCCGGTGTTCCAGACCCTGGAGGTTCTCCATCTGAGAGAATGCTTCGGCATTCAAGTCCCAGATCACGCTCACGACGAGGTGATCAAGATCGGCCTTCCGGACCCCGATTCTGTGTCCGACATGGGTGACGAGATTCCAGTGGCCGCTTGGGCGGCGTTCGACGTCAATGGAGAAGCGAATCTCGAAAGCTGGCAGTGTTGGTTCGACCTTTTCCAGCCGAGCAATGGCCCTACGCGGCAAGATGCTGCCAGACTATTCGACGACTGGTCGTGGGGCGTTGGTCCCTCGAGTGAAGCTCGGCAATCGAGCCAAGTGAGCCCATGCACGCGACCACGTATCCAGCATGTCGTTCCAAGCGATACTAATAGGACACCGTGTATCCGGGGAGGTATTGGCGGCGATCCGGACGAGCGCCACGGCACCATACGAGCTGAACCGGGCGCTCAGTGCTGCAACGACAAGGCAGGACATACCTACCCCAAGTTGTCTTCAGAAAACTTATCGGCGCACTGGCTGCGGGAACATGTGAGCGCGGACACTGGCTCTATGAAGGTCCTCGAGAAATTCCCAATGTACCCAGGAAAGCGCCATCTTGTCGCGAAGCAGCTCTCCACTGATCATGCTTGTGTCCGCTGCGGCATTCCAAACCCAAGGATCTACAGACTGGCAAGAGAAAGCCGGCTCCAGGACATGGGAACTCGTGGTACGGCGACACCCATGTATGAGCGTGATGTTTGGTGGAAGGAGCGCGGGCACTGTCTGAAGAACGCTGAAGGTGATGCGTAAGCTTTACGACTGTGAAAGCCGGCAGAGCTTGTACGCATTTGCATGTTTTAGCATTGTGCTCGAATCCCAGTTAGCTCTGCCTCGCAAACCCTTGTCTGATACTTCGTAATGCGTACGACCACCCCAGCCAATAGCCAACCAGTAGCGCAGCCACGTAGGCATACCGTCAGATATCTGACGAGCTGGCGGCCAGACATTCTCGCAATTATCCACGACAGCTTTCACCTTTAGTCGCTCCTAGACACCTATCCTTATCCCAGAATACTCCACTTGTCTCACAAGACATGTCTGGCTCCTGTGTTCACAGGTGGCAATTCAAAGCCCCACGATATCCTGTCTGTAGATGGCTCCGCGCCCCTGGCATCCTCGTGTTTGGCACGGGCCACAATTTGCGCGGCATCAATTTCTGGATGGAAGACGACGAGTACTTCGATGAGGATACGAACCAAGATGGGTGCGTTTCATTTGACGAGGCGCGCGAGCCAAACGCTGGACCACCGGATGGTGATGATGGATACGGCTGTCCGGTTTGTGGATACTGCTGCGTACAACCAGAGTGCTTCGCATGGGCATGAACGCATCTAAGAAGATCTTCGAGGGGGGGAGGGGGGGAGGTCAGTCTCCCCAAAGCGCTTGGCGACCATGCGCTGTCTTCACGACACTCCACTGTTTAATCATGAATACGGAAAGGGGTCGGACGGTGCGAAAGCAGGTCGGAGGATGAACCTGACGCACGCAGCAAGGATCTGCAATGACATCCTCGTTGTTGATAACTTCTCATGTCTTCTTTCATCGCTTTCAAGGCCGAAAAGCGAACGGCCATGGATATGGCAGCTGGCGAGGCGCGACGTCATCACCAACTGCGGGATGCGCGCTGATATTCGGCCAGCATCTGCACAGCCGACGTCCGCAGCTGGCAGGCGGCAAGCGAAAAATCAATGCCTGTGCTGAGTGCTCCACCAGTGAGATGACTTCGATCGACCGTCGATCGTCCGCTGCGAAAGCGCCAGGGTCGACCGTTGATGAGACAGCGGAGCATCGGTGCTTTTGAATCCACGCTTGTTGACTTTGATCAATTAAACGCCTTCATGCAACGCCTTCAGCGCCTTCACATCCTTCGCGTGCAAACCAGCGTGTCGACTGACCAAAGGCAAACAATTCACCTAGATTTGCCATGGCAAGACACGCGCAGGATGCCCATCTGTCGACTGAGGAAGATGCGGTATCGGATGCCAGCGGAACGGTGAAACCGGATGCGGTCCGCGAAGAGGCTAACGGGTATCAACAAAACACCACATCAGGAGACGACACGGAAGAAGAGGAAATGAAGAAGAAAGAGCCTGGGAAGTTCAGGAAGACATGGGACAAGCTGGGGCTGGACGCTCCGACGCTCATGATGATGGGCAAGGCAGCGCTGCCACCGACGATCGCGCTCGCCATGTATCAAGCAGACAAGGTCGCGGCAACGTTCACGACGCTTGGGTATCTCACGGCCATCATCTCGATTCTAGGATTCTGCATCATGCCGAGAGCCAAGTTCATTCAGACGATGACCTTGAACGTGATCGCTACTTGCTTCGGTTCGGCTCTCGCCTTGTTGATGGTGTGGTCTGCGGTCAAGGCACGAGAGCACACGACGGTCCCCGGCGCACCTGTATCGCGGTACAACTCGTCGCAATCGGCGGTTCTGGGTGTCTGGTTGTTCTTCCAGATTTACATTGTCAGCGCCATGAAGGCTAAGTTCCCGCAACTGGCGTTCCCGGCTATCATCTACTGCATCCAGGTCAATGTCGCTGCAACGTCTGGCATTCGGCTCATGACATCTGCACAGTGTGAGAGTTTCATCCGGCGGCTGTTGGAAGCATTTCTTACTGGATTTGGCATCGCTACTGGCGTCAGTCTATTCATCATACCTGTCACTTGCCGAAAGGTCGTCGTGAAGGAGATGACCGGGTATGTTGGGCTTCTCAAGGCAGCCATTGCGGCGCACAAGGGCTACATCCACAGCCTGGAAGGGTCGGACATGTTCGGATCGACATATGTTCCTGAAGCCGAGGACGGCGAAGATGCAGACACGGAGAGGAAGCCGAAGACGAAGCCCGAGATTGCGGCTGTCAGAAAGGCCATTGCAGGTCTTCAGGAGCTGCACGGGAAGCTCACTGCCGATCTTACGTTTGCCAAGAGGGAAGTTGCGTACGGTAAACTCACGCCAGACGACTTCGAGGCCATGTTCAAGCACCTGAGGGCTATCCTGATGCCTGTGCTTGGTTTGGGCTCAATCATGGACCTGTTCGAGCGAGCGGCAGAGAGCAACCACTGGGACGGCGAAGATGTGTCCGAACACGACCACGAGCTGCGCGAAAAAGCAGTTGCGGAATGGAACGAGCTGTTTTCGTTTGTGCATGAGCCGTTTGACCACATCATGCAGGTCATGGACGAAGGCCTCACGCACGTCATGCTCAGGATGCAGTTTGTCAAGCCGCCCAAGAAGAAGAAGGGCCAGAACCAGGACGATACGGAGGCCAAGGGCGGTGTTGTGAAGCCTGGCGACGAGAACTTTGCCGAGCACATGGAGAAGCAAGCAGATGTATTCTACAGCGCAAAGGAGCCCATGTTGCGGCATTGGGTCGAGAGCAAGGGTATCAAGCTCAGCGCCGACTACTTCTCGCGCCCTGGCCAGATGGACGACGAAACACTGAAGCGGCTTCCCAGTATTACAACAAGGAAGGGTGATCAGCGTCAGCTGTACCTGGTGCTGTATGCCATGTTCCTACTCAACTCGACCAGCCGCGCGATTCTCGAGTTGGTCAAGTTTGCCGATGGGCACGACCAGGCGACAGCAAAGAGGAAGATTATCAACCCCGGAGGACGGCGTCTGAAGAAGTGGGCCAAGAGCATCTTTGCGGCGCAGGACTCAACCCACGATGACGAGACGACAATCGCCGGGTTCGACAGGAACAACACCACCGTGTACATGGGCGAGGCATACAGCAGCCAGAAGGATCCCGAGCACCTGCCACCCAGGAACGGCTGGGAGAGGTTCGGTAACGTGATCCGCGGATGCGCCAGCTTCCTGCGCTCACCTGAATCGGCGTTTGGCTTCCGGGCTGCGTGCGCGACCATGTCCATTGGCATCATCGCGTTCCTGCACGACACGCAGACGTTCTTCACCGAGCAGCGTCTCATCTGGGCCATGATCATGGTGGCCATGTCCATGACGCCCACGGCAGGGCAGTCCATCTTCACGTTTGTGCTCCGCATCGGCGGCACGTTTGTCGCCATGCTCTTCGCGTGGATGATCTGGTACATTCCCGACCAGAAGACGGGCGGGGTGCTCCCGATGCTGTGGCTCTTCGTCGCAATCGGCTTCTACATTCCGCTCAAGCGCATGGATCTCGTCGTCGTCGGCATGATCAGCGTCGTCAGCGCCACCATGATCGTCGGCTACGAACTGCAGGTCCGCAAGCTCGGCGTCAAGGCGGCAACCACCACGGGCCAGCCCGCCTACCCCATCTACCAGCTCGGCCCGTACCGGCTCGCGACGGTGGTCGGTGGCTTGGGCGTGGCCTTCTTCTGGACCGTGTTCCCGTACCCGATCACGGAGCACAGCGCGCTGCGGCAGAAGCTGGGCGGCGCGCTGTACCTCTCGGCCAACCTGTACTCGATCATGCACGAGCAGGTCATGGCGCGGATCCGGGGGGACGCGGGGGACGAGGAGAACGACAGGTCGTCGCCCGGGTTCATGCTGAACAAGGCGCGCAACAAGGTCTTCTCCAAGCAGATGCTCGCGCTGCAGGCGCTGAAGATGCACTCTGGGTTCGTGCGGTTCGAGTTCCCGCTGGGCGGCAAGTTCCCCGCAGACGACTACGCAAAGATCATCGGCTACCTCAACAGCATCGTCAACTACACGGCGCTGCTGGGGTACGCGAGCCAGGCGTTCGCGGCGACGCAGCCGGTGCCCAGCGCGGACGACGCGGCGCAGACAAGCCCGCAGTGGCTCACGGACTTTCGCCGCATCATGCAGGACGCCAACGTCACGAGCCACGAGATCACGACGCTGCTGAGCCTGCTGAGCAGCAGCATCACGACGGGCCAGCCGCTGCCGCCGTACCTCAAGGCGCCGCAGGGCTACCAGCTGAGCCGGCGCCTGGAGGCGGTGGACGCGGACATTTTGTCGCTGCGGCACATTGCCGAGCCAGGGTATGCGGCGTTTGCCGTCATGGCCATCAGCACGCGGTGCATATCGATGGACATTGAGCGGTTGTTGAAGTAAGTTGCACGTGATTTTTTTTTTCTGTTTATTTTTCTGTTTATCTTTCTGTTTATCTTTCTGTTTATCTTTCTGTTTATTTTCTGTTTATTTTCTGTTTTTTTTCTGTTTTTTTTCTGGTTTTTTTTCTGGTTTTTTTTCTGTTTATTTTTTTTCTCTGTTTATTTTTCGGTTTATTTTGGATGCAGAACGCTAACTTTGTCAGGGCGGTCAGGAAGCTGGTCGGCGAGCTGGATTTCTCCTTCCACGTTGTCAGCACGAACGCTGGCGATAACTCGTCTGCAGAGACGCTAGTCAAGAGCGCGTCGATGCGCAGCAAGCAGGAGTAGTCTCCCGCTAGGATGCGGACGTGCTGCGGGTTGAAAGGAGTGGCGATAGAGGGCGCCGGGAGTGACGATGGAGGGCGCCGGGAGTGACGATGGAGGGCGCCGGGAGTGACGATAGAGGGCGCCGGGAGTGACGATAGAGGGCGCCGGGAGCGGCACCCTTTCTACTTCAATTCACATCTGCAAAGTTGGTTCCGGTTGAGTTGGTGGCGAGCGGTGACTCTGCTGCGACTGGGCGTACAAGCTGGTGTCTCATTGCGGCCACAAGGGACGGGTATCTATTCTTGTCCGGGTCTCTATTCCTGTCCGGGTCTCTATTCCTGTCCGGGTCTCTGTTGCATACTCCCAGTGTCCTCTCCGTCCTCCGTCCTCTCTCCCAAGCCTCACAGCATCTCATCCTCCACAACAGGCACCTCGTCCACTCCATCCACCCCCGCACCCTCGCCCTCGCCCTCGCCCTCATCAACATCGACCCACACGCTCTTCCCCCTCCCCTCCAGCCCCTCCAGCCCATCCAGCCCCTCCTCCTCCCCCCCCTTCGCCTTCCCCCTAACAGCCCTCCCAGACTCCCCGTTAACCTCCTCCCACACCTTGGCCCTGTCCTTGATGCCCCTCGCCTTGTCCAGGCTCTTGGCCTTTTTCTTCTCCCACTTGTCCATGTCGTCAGCCGCGCGCTCCATGGCCTTCTCGGCCCGCACTCTCTGGGCGCGCGTCGTCTTGGTACTCTTGCGCTTCGACACGCGGCTGCTCTGCGCGGACAGGATGTGGGGTTTTGCGGTGGAGGGCTGGGGCGAGGTCGAGCGCGTGCGCGGGGCGGAGGCGAGGGGGATGCTGGGCGAGGCGGCGCGGCGCGCGGCGCGCGAGTGCGGGGCGGCTTCTGGGGCGTGTCAGGTGCGTTGTTTGTGTGCGGGTGGGTGGGAGACGGACGCTTTTTCTTGAGCTTTGCTGTTTTGGCCATGTTGGGGTTTGGGGTGTTTGTTTGGGGTGTTTTGTGGTTGTGTATTTTGTGGTTGTGTATTTTGTGGTTGTGTGTTTTGTGGTTGTATGTTTTGTGGTTGTATGTTTTGTGGTTGTCTATTTTGTGGTTGTGTTTGCGTGTCTGCAAGACTGTGTATCTGCAAGACTGTGTATCTGCAAGACTGTGTATCTGCAGGACTGTGTGTCTGCAGGACTGTGTCTGCAAGACCGTGTATTTGCAAGTCTGCGTGTATTTGCAAGTCTGTGTGTATTTGCGTGGTCTGGAAAGCTCGTGGGCGGCTTTTGGGTTTGGTCAGGTGAATAGATGATGCAGGTGAATGGATAACGCAGGTAACGTCCCTCCCTGCGTAGCGAGACACCCTGCGTAGCGAGACGCCACAGCCACTGCGCCACACAACAAAATCTACGTTTAGACTTGGGAGTAGGTATTCTCGGAATAGCAACTGCTTGCCATAAAATCCAGTTCTGCCTAATAATTTCATAAGAATACTCTAAGCTTACGGTGCAATACGACGACTTGCTCAGAGCGTCGCATAACCGCTTCACTTTGGTCGACAGTAGATGCATTGGACGTTGTTGCATCGTTATAGAAATCCATCAGCTTGTAGATTAACATATAATTACCCTATCCCGAGATTTGTGCCTTCTTTCAATAGGCTGGCGCGCTTCTGTTCTGATTCCAAGTCCGCCTGGTAGAATGGACAAATCAAGACGATTTGAGCACGCGGCTTAAAACGGCTTAGCTATATGGTAATTTATTGTTACCGCACTAGCTTTCATACATGACTCACGCTGAGCTAGCTGAACGCAAACGATTGTTCGAAGCGTGACTCGAGCGTGCTTGCTTGCGACCTGGCCCAAAGCGCTGACTCTCTGCCTATATCACGTGTGTTGAGAACTGCCATCGGTAGACGATTATATATTACAACTATGCTTGATTACCACGATTCACATTAACGTTAGTTTTCCCTCGATGCTTAAAGCCCCACGACAACTGCCAGACAAGTACACCTGCGGGGATGACAAACAATAGTATCCAGACTAAACCTAAAAGTAGCAACATTATGACTGAGAATATCCAGAATGCCCGTCTCATTGCTGCAAGTGAAGAAGCACCTATGCCGCGAAAGGCTAACCCTTCTTCAGGAACTGAGACTAAGACTTGCATAGCTGATAAAACTAAGGACAAGCTAGCAAAGCCAAATATAAATGGCGCTATCGCTCGCTCAACATACATGCCTGTTGACCAAAATGGAAGCTCATAGAACCATAACGTTGTAGCAGACGAAGGACGGAATAGGCGAACCGCCCAATCCAATCTCGAAAGACGAAGCTGGCCGTAGTGATATCGATTCGCGACCTCCTCGTCCTCAATATGTCGAAAATAAGCGATGAACTTAGACCACTCGTCCCACTTAAAGTCAGTTGGAAAGAGATGGGATTCGCACGCGAGGACGAAGTCTACGTGATGACGCACAAGCAAGGCGTACGATCGCATGAAACCTAGTGCAACCTTTCGGTCATATGTTGGCTGGGAAGAGCGTTTTTGCGACACAGAGCTACCCTCGTGAGGAATAATCTCCTCAGCCGGTAATGGAAGATAGGTCGTCCAGAAGTCAAAGTTGAGCAGACATAGTGGCATAGGCTTGATATAGATTTTGTTGCGGCGCCATACTAGATGCAGGCGGATATCCTCCGCTGCAACGATCTCTCTTGTCTTCACTCTTTGTTTGTTCAGCGGCTCGACACTTTTGCCAGACTTTCGGGCAACAAGCCAAAGGTGGTCGTAAAGCTCGTCGAGAAGAGTCGTGTCAAGCTGTGAGCTCAGAAAGTCGTATACGTAGGCCTCTGTGAGGGCTATGCCGGGTTCGCCGGGTATGTGGTCGATGGACGTATTCGAGTCATCGTGCGGTGGAGAAGGTGCCAGTCTCTTTGACGTTCCCTCGTCGGAGCTTGCTGCAGAGGATAAGCGCTGCTTTGCGAGTGCACTTGGCCTAGGGAAGGGCAACGAGAGAGGACGTTGACTAGCCATGTATGATTTCAACATTTGAAAGCTTTAATGATAGATGTGTGTATAGGCGTTGAGAACAAGAGATGAGGACGAAGAACGGGTGAGTTTCTGAGCAGGTTTTCAGCGACAGCCGCCACAGCGTCAGCGACACTCAGCCGCAGCTGGCCTCAGCCTCGCGCCTAGATGACATGTCGCTTCATCACTGTACGCGCCGTATGCTATTCTCTCTTTATTCCGCTACCTGCTCTACATCTCTGCGACTTGACTAACTTCTCGTTGAGCCTCAAGATCGCATATTCAACAAGCGTCCCCACCAGACCCGCTTCCCCGCCCCGACTAAGCCGCACAGGCGCTAGACAGGACAATGGACGCAACGACGACCACGCTGTGCCTGTGCATCGGCGTCGCATCAGTATTAGCCGTGCTCTACGACCGATGTACAAAGGGGATCCCGTCGCGACTGCGAGCGGGAGAGGCACCTCAGAGCGCGTCTGGCTTCGTCAGAGCTGACACGTTCAGCCTGCCCGACAAACCCGCACGCGCTCACGGGATCGAGCAAGTCTGGTAGCCCAGCAACGTTGTAGGCATACTAACTGACCTCCAGCATCGTCTTTGTGCACGGCCTCGGCTCAAACCCCGACACGACATGGGGACGGAGGGAGTCCAATTGGGTCAATGACTTCCTCACGCAAGACATTCCCAAGGTGTTTCACGAGGACATTCGAATCTTCTTCTACAACTACGACTCGTACTGGAAGAGGGATGCTGTGCAGACGCGCCTGTGGAGGCTCGGAAAAAGCCTGCTTGACGGCATGTGCTCGCTGATCCGGGGCACAGAGGAGGTTAGTGTGTGTACTGCATTCCGTCAGAGTAGATTGCTAATGCCTATGCCTCCTAGGAGCGGACGCGCAGTCTTATCTTTGTCGGCCACAGCTATGGGGGCCTTGTTATCAAACGGGTATGGCGAATTTTGGCTGCGCAAAGAACATCTCATTCGACTCTTGCGCGGCGCTTGTCAGCACATGTACAACAACGACTGACTGCAGCAGGCACTTATCCTAGCTTACCAGGACCAAGCCTTCAATCACGTCGCCGAACACACGAGAGGCGTTGTTTTCTTAGGCACGCCCCACCGAGGATCGAGCTTCAGCACGTGGGGCAGCCTCGCCGCACGAGCGCTGGGGCCGCTCGGATCAAACCCATCGCTTCTGCAAGAAGTAGAGTATGACGCGCTTCCTCTTCTCGAATTGCATGAAGAGTTCGAAAGTGCAAGGAGCGAGAAGCTTCAAGTGGTCAATTTTTTTGAGCAGCGCAAGATGCGACTTGTCAAAGTGTGGTTCTTCCGGTGGGATGAATTTGTAAGCAAGCTACCGGCAGCTAGAGAGGCAGATACTGATATACACGCAGTGCGTTCGGGAGCAGTCAGCGACGTACAGCCGCGTTGAGAACATTGGCCTCTCTGTCGACCACTACGGCCTGAACAAGTATACATCAAGAGACGGAAACTACAAGAGGATTCTTGGCAAGCTTCTTAACATTATCACACCCATTGCCTCCCAGAAGCAGCACCAGCTGTACTCTGTTCCTATCGCTACGGTCGAGAGCTATGTCAAGCGGGATCTACTTTCGACTAAAATCGAAGACGAGCTACGTGTGCACGACCAGGAAGCTGGTGTTCCTCGTGTGCTTATCATCCATGGACTTGGTGGTACTGGAAAGACCCAGCTAGCACGGCAGTACATCGAAGACTATAAGGACGAGTACAATCCTATTCTTTGGATTGACTCTACAGACCAGGGATCTGTGCAAGCAAGTTTCAAGCGGTGCGCAGGCGAGCTTGGGCTACCAGTGGATCAGGGGAGCATACAGACCTCTAAGCTTGCGGACTCTCTCGCTGTACAGGCGGTACTCAGGTGGTTTCGCAATCGAAAGAGAACGGACGACCGGTGGCTAGTAGTTTTTGACAATGCTGATGATCACAAAATGGAGGTCCAAAGTGTCATTCCAAAAGGCAATTATGGGAGCATTATCATCACCAGCCAAGACAGTAATCTGTTGAATCGTATGAAAGACTACAGAGAAGTAGAAGTGGGTACTATGGAGTCACTGGAAGCAAAGACGCTTCTTCTCAGACACCTCAAACTAGAAGTCAGCATCGCCGCAGAAGATATCCTAGTAGATTGCAACAAGATTGCAGAGAAGCTTGGATACTTGCCTCTTGCTGTTGACCTCGCTGGAGCATATATTGGCAGAAGTAAAAAAGACCCGATACGAGCCTTGCGGCAGTATCTTGTGGATTACGACAAACAGCATGACTATCTGCTAAAGGACACTAGGTTCTGCGATTCCTCAGCAAGCGAGAAGACGGTGTGGACAGTCTGGAGCACAACGCTTAAAAGGATTGAGCAGAATCATGCGGATTTGCGACCAGACTTGTTGCTTGCCTTCTTGGCGCGATTTCGCAGTGGTGTGGTGCAGGACGAGCTGCTCCGTCTGGCGAGCTTAAGCTTGTCTACTGTAGCCCAAAAAATGTACGGCGGGACTGCAGAACTACCAAACTGGCTCGCCAAGATCCTGGAGTTGGACGAGAAGGGGTGGGTCGACTTCCATTACCGGCAGGGCTGCGACGTGCTTGTTCAATACAGCTTGCTGCAGCGAACTCCAGGAACTTGGCAGGGTGTGAGAATGCATAGTCTAGTCAAATGGCGAGCAAAGAAGTACGAAGAGGAGCAGCCGTGGGAAAAGTGGTATCTAATGACTGTTTTGGCAGGGTGTGTTCAGTTGTCTAGGGATCATGCAAGACCAGCGTTTCGAAGAGAACTAGTCACAAATGTCCCGGCGCCAGATGAGAGGTATTTGGATGAGGTGGGCGTAGATGACAAGAGGAAAGAGTTTGTATGGCACACTGTCGGCACAGTGTATTTTTATGAAGGCCGGTGGAAGGAGGCTGAAGAGCTGGAGGTGCAAGTGATGGAGACGAGCTCAAGGGTGCTTGGCAAGGAGCATCCC